CTCAACCCAGCAATTCTTGCTGCATCAAGATACGCCCGTCTCTGCAAGTCTGAAAAGTATGATGGAACCCCAATAACACAGTCCGAAACTGACATTTCCAAATCTTTTTCAGTTAAAATTTTCAAATGAGCAAGGAGCATTGCTAAAATTTGAACTGGTGTAAATGTATGAGTCTCCTTGAGATATTTCAAGTGAACCAAAATGCCACCATCTGGGCCTTCAGAAGTTTCAACGGGGAGCGTTTCCAGCTCATTTTGCACATCAGGGTCTGCATGTTTTCTCCCCATCAGCCTCTTCACTTGAGATATTGTGGACTTGATGTTCATCATAGCAGATGCAGCACCAGCTGAGCCCAAAAACCTTTGCTTCTCCGCAAAGCAGACCACAGAAGGGGTCTCACGTTTGGATTCATCATTCAATAAAACATCAATCCCACGTTGCTTCACCACAGAAATGACACAGTTTTCATTCCCAATGTCAAACCCCACCACGCTCATTGTAACCAACTTTATGTTGTATTTAAAACACAAACAACAACTTCAATCCAATTCCCCTACTCTACTATATTATTGTATGTTTCTTCCAATACTCTCGAAACACCACCAAATTCTGCAAAAGTTGAGAAAACAAACCTTCACCTCCTACAAAAAGAAGTGGGGGAAACAATTCATTAACACAAGTATTTGCCAATTGCAAGTAAAACATCATTTAAAAAAAAACAAATAGAATGAACTGTCTGCACTTGCGTGAGTACTTCATCTGATTGTCCGCGACTACAGGGAAGAAAATAGAGAGGAAATAGGGGGAAACGTAAAATGAAAGAGTGATGGAAAAAGGGAGAGAGAAAAATAAAAACTAATAATCTAAACCAAACTCAGAAGTGAAAAGGCATCATCAATAAATTCCCCTCAATCCCTAGCAACGAAAACTCTTGCTGCTTTCAATGTAACAAGAATTACCCGGGGGGGGGGGGGGGAACCCAAATTGAAGACTAGAATATTAGCAGATGACGTAAAACACCTGCTTAAGTTAGGTTTGCTTGGATGAGAATGACGAATATCCGAATCTAGAATCATTTAGAATTCTCACTTCACAATTAATCCAAGAATTTGCACTTCACATTATGCAGGCGATGATGGTAAATGAAAAGTTGAAAAATTCTTCGCTTCGCACGCCCAAGCCAGACCAACACAAAGCCGTTCTTCAGGGTTCTTACATTTGATACAAAAGCCGCACATTTGATACCAAAGCCATCAAATTCAATTTGCTACTTTTTCCTTTCTTTAGTAATTCACAATTTAAAATAACAATAATCATAACAATAAACATGTTCGTGGAATTACAATTACATTAACAATTTATTATTATTATTTCTTATAAAAGCAATCAATCAAATGTGATGCTTTTGTGAACGTTTTGCATATTTTATAAGATCCCTTAAGCCTTTTTTTTTGGCATAATTATGTGAACAAATGAGCATCAATTTTGCAGTATTAAAATGAAAGACTATTTATCACGTTATTAACTCATAAAGTGCAGTGATAATTTTTTTTACCAAAATTGTTAAACAATACCATTATGGTATTATTTTTTAAAGTAACTTTGGGAAAAGCAACATTACTCTCTCACAAGTGTAAAGATACAAAGTACATAATTGCCAGCAATGCTCAAACTGAATTAAAATAATTTATTTAACTTTTCATATGTTTCACTGAAGAGTCATATAATTTAATTGCGACAAACCATGTCTTCATCATTGCAGGAGTATAGCCATGATTATTCCTTTTGAGTCATACCAGCCCTCGCTGTTTCACTCTGCTTTACTGGTAAAAGAATAAATAAATAAACGGTGAAGCCTCTTTATTTTATTTTAAATGGAAAAAATGGAGAGTAGAGCTAATTTATGGTAGAAGATTTTATATGGGTTTTTTTTTTTTGGTGGTCAAAATGGGTTAATTTAATTTAGTTATTTTAAAATAAGGCTTTTTTTTTTTGGCCTTAGGTCAAAGCATTGTGATGGAATCTCAGGCATTTCCATTTCACCTTCTTGGGCCCATTTGATGGGCCCGTCTATAGATGGGCTTCTGCAATTTTGACAAAGTAAGTAGACAAGGGTCAACGTGATAGGCTGACCAATCAACAGACAGGCCTGGTCCAGGCTTGAAGGTGGACTTGGCCCACAACGAAAAATTCATCAGTCAACAAACAAATCATCGTCATCAATATTCAAAAAAAAATGCAAAATGGGAATGTAACCAAAACAAAAAACGTGTGGAATATATAAATATAAAGTATAAAATTAAAATGCGTGGGCCACAGAAAACAAAAATCAAAATGGGGAAAGAATGTTATTGCTCACAAGTTGTAAATAATGATACAATGAGTCGGGCATTATCTCGTCAGTTAGGATTTCCTTAACAATCACGTCAATCTTTTTTGACATTTTATTTTCTATTCAAAATATATAACATCATCTTATCTATAGTAAATTTTTTTTTTAAAAAAAGGATTGATCATGAAACAATAAATTTAACAATACGATGGGACCCACAATTGTTTTTTTTAATTCAATTGTTCATTTATCACTTTTTTTCAATATTTTTCAATTTAATCTCGTGCATCCCGCTGAACATTTTATAGTTTAAAAGAGAAAATATAATCATCAGTTTTTATAATTTTATTCTTATTTATTTTTAAATCTTGTAGTTTTTTCAGCTTTTATAAGAATTAAGAATATTAAAAAAATTGAAACTATAAGAATTTGGAAAACAAATATTTCCTAATCTTTTTAAAATTATAAGAATTAAAAATATTAAAAAAAATTATAGAAACTAAAAATAAAATTTGATAAAATTATAAAGATTGATGATTGTGATTTTTCTATTTAGAATTACATGACATTTTTGCTCCTAAGTTATATCACGAACAGCAATGTTTGCCTAGATTATTAGGTTGAGCAATATCATCTGCAAATATCAAAATCATGTTTATCATATTTATAGGACTAACAAATGATAAAAGCTTATATAACTTATGATAACATCATTAGTTGATTGTTAGTGTGAAGTGAAAGGCTTTTAAAAAAAAAAAGTTGATGAATATTTAGCTGGCAAATCTTATGACATCCTCTTCATGATGCTAACCGCTCCTTCACAATTCGTTAATGTCCTTTGACTTCATTAAAAAAACGTAGAAACCAATTAAAAATTTTAGCCAATGAAAATTAGATAAATGTTTCATTAAAAAAAACGCTTGTATCATTACTTGAAAATTATTTTTCTTTACAAATTAACAAGTGTTACTTGCAAATTCATGTTTTAAGAGTTGCAAATAAGAGAGTATTAAATCATTGTAAATAGTGGTATTTTTTAACAATTTTTTTACAAATTAATAAATTTGACTTACAAATTTTTATTTCAATAGTTGCAAACAATAGAATAAAAGTAACAAATTTTTAGACCAGCTCGTTGAAAGGTACTTGGTCCTTATTTTGGATATTCAAATATCTTAATCCTCATTTAAATTTAATTAAATCTCTTTTAAACCTTTAATGTAATTTTCCCTGATATAATTTTCCTCGGCTCTGCAAAATATGTTGTCAGGTCTTAGTATGAGGTAATTTGAGGTACAGTTTTTACCAATGCAGAAAGTGATTACGACTTAAAGATATAATCTTAATTTATAAGAAATAATTATTTAAGAAAAAAAATACAAAAAAAAATGTTTTTCCCCCCATATATAACGAAACACAGAAAAGGGCCGCGGCATCAACGTATCAATTTTGGACAAAGCATTGTTTAACGTATTCCAAAAGTGATCCTGGCTGTTCAAGTATGCAGAATACACTGCACACACGTCTCTGCTAAACTTTCCTAATCACCAAAAAAATGTATTTTTTTTATTCTATCACTGCTGTATGGGACTATTACTAATAATGGCAATTTCATAGGTATCTCGCTGATTATTTGATATATCTATTTAATATGAATGTATTTTTTCAAGATTTAAATTTGATACTTTTAAAATAAATTAATTCATTCCTTTTGATTAGTTGAACCAAGTGTCTTCTCTATAAATTAATAGCTTTAGTTGTTTGCACTTTGCTAACATTTAAAAATGGCTACTTAAACAAAATACTCCTTTTTTTTATCTGAAACAAAATGCTCTTATTTACACACAAATTACAAGTTCTAAAATTAAATTAGCAATTTAAGAAGTTTAATAAGAACGACTTTTTATCAAGCATGCCCCCCCCCCCCCATTTTTTTTTTCATACCCACTCTTCATTCTTAAAAATTGTCTAAAGTAAAGTTAGAAAAGCAATGTACACAAGTTGGAAATGCTAAACAAATGAATATAAAAAATTTAGTTGGTTAAAAATAATTGTAACCGAGCTTTCAACATTTTAAATAAAAAAAAAAATGAAGTTTCAAAGATTGCTAACTTGTAGGTGAATAAATGCTTTTTAAAGAATCAAATTCAATCAAAGGCTTCAAGGTTAACCAAAAATAAAAAATAAAAAATCAATCAAATGCAAATGAATTTGATGCCTATAATTTCGCATATTTTTTCTATGTACTGAATACATATATTATAGCAAGGCATAAAATACACAAATGATAGGATGTCAAATTATATGATTGGACTTGTGAATAATGTTTTTGGGCTATGAATAAATGAATGATCTGACTGTGAATTACTTAAAAAATAAATTTAAATAGGATAATAAAATCTATCTTATCATCGTATCATAGTAGTTCTTTACCTTGTAACGCATACTCTATGCAGCACAATGTTTAGTTTCTAATTGAAATTAAAAATATTTATTCTATTTTCACCAAAAAAACAATATGAATAATTAAGGTAGAATTTCTTTTGATAGCCATGATCGTAAATGCATAGCCCCTTAATTTTGTTGATACAGGACCTCTTGACAAAAATAATAAAAAATACCAAATTTTGTTCCCAAAGAGGATTGAAAGATGAACCAAGGTAGAGAATCAACGCGCATATCCGAACATCTTAGAACTGTACGACTTTTGAGACCACTCCCTGCAGAAAGAGAGAAGAGGCTACGGAGAAGGGAGGCTCTCCTATTTTACTCTTTTTGTGACCACATATTTCATTCCTTTGTCTTGACTCTGCTTCTTCTTCTTCTGGATTCATAGATTGACTTCTACGCTTTTGCTTTCACTTTCTCTCGGATTGCCTTATAGGATTTTCTCCCACCCAGTTTTGGTATAGCGGGAAAGCAAAAATATAACTGGTAGGAATGCTTACTATGTTTTGTTTGGTTGCTGAGAAAACTGCACAAGATGGAAAATAACATCTCGTTGATGTTGTTTCAAAGTTTGAAGCTTTTTGACGTTTGGTCATCCTCGTTTTCTGGGTAATTTATGGCTCGCGGTTTTATTAGTTCTTTTTCTCGAATATGAAACGGTGTTGAATTGAATTCGATTCCAAGTACTCTATTTTGCTTTGTTTTCTTGTCTTCAGTTTCGTTGTGATAGGAACTTGAGTTCATTCATTTTCCGAAAACTGATGAAGGGACAAGAAGGACTAGAAGTTTCTGGTCAAACTTGCTTATTTTAATACATCGATAGTATGTAATGGAAAAACGTACGTGGTTTGTCTTCCTAAACTGATACTTTCAATTTTCCTGCGTTATTATCCGTCAAATTTCTCAGCAACCAAAGGGAATGTTTTCTTTCAGGTAAATATATATATATATATATATATATGATTTGTTCTGCTTTTGTTCTGTTCAGATTGGAGACAGCTCAAGTTCATGGAGAATGCTGGAAGCAGTGACTTTTTGAGGCATAGAAGATTGGAGAGCTGTCTGAACACAATCTCTGGTCAAAGGTTGGAAGAGTCTCCTAAGATTTCAGTGAAAGACGAATCAGAAGAAAGAAGGCTGAAGACTGACGTATTTTCGAATTACGATGATGAAGGGTGGTTGTTGAATATCATATCATGGATCAGAATTGTCATATGTTTTGTGTCTATGATGGTTACAACATTCATATGGGCATTGATCATGCTTGTTCTTATTCCATGGCCTTACGAGAGGATTAGGCAAGGAAACATTTATGGGCATGTGACTGGTAGAATGCTGGTAAGCTACTTGATATGCTTAGTTTGGAAGAAATTGTCACAAATGTTTTTGTCTGGTTTCTGTTCCTTTATTGGTTATTATTTAAAGAAAATTAGGCACATGGCTTTGGTAGTATTCACTATCAGGTTTTATTATAAAGCATGATCTTTATAGACTTACATTAACCAACATTGTTTTGCAAAGACACAAACTATGCTGTCATCATTATTCAGCTCATTAGCTAGTTGATGACATCCTCTGGTTTTCTTCTCCAACTGATCATATGGATAATGACACATTTGAAATATTATCGTTATTCCAAGAAGGCGTTAAACTCAATATGTTTAGTAACGATAGCCTTATTCTAAATAAGTAACAAACTAACTCTTTAGTCATGGAGGTTACTCAAGAAATAAAATAATAAGGTTAGATTTTTAGATTTTGGCATTCACTTATGTGAGACTAATGACAAAGTTTATGTTGCATCATGATTGATCTAGTATGCACGATAGTTCCACCAAAATGCATGCTAAATGGCTCTAGTTCTGATTGGTCTGTGGATTCCATCAGTGGTTTATTGTAGGTTGTATTGTTATATCACTTTTATATATCAATAATACATCAGTAGTTCTCAGTTGTGCTATTTCAGAGAAATGAAAGCCTAATGTTAGTTTATAGAGGCCAACATTTTGAGTATATATTGGATTTTAGTTTATTAGTTTATTGAACAAATTTCTTATAAAGAATCTATGCTTTGCTTTGTGTGTGTTATGATCAATAATAGCTTTCTGAACATTATCACCAGATGATGCAAGGCATGTCTGAAAAGTTTGACTTTCAGTTTTCAGTTTTGTTATGCTTATTCATTTGTATCCCAACTTTTATGGCTGCTGTGGCGAATTATGAACTTATAATTGATATTTGCATTGATGGCAGATGTGGATTCTCGGCAATCCTATAAAGATTGAAGGTTCTGAGTATTCTAACAAAAGGGCCATTTACATCAGTAATCATGCTTCTCCAATAGACATATTTCTTATAATGTGGCTAACCCCAACTGGTACCGTAGGAATTGCGAAGAAGGAGGTATGTTGTAATTCTTCAAGATTTTTTTTCCCCGCTTTGAATGCGTAATGAAAGTTCTAAGTAATGCTTTATTTAGCAGTACTTTGCAAAGTAACTTTGGAAGAAGGATTCAAGAAATACCCCTTACCTACACATAGTTTCTCTTTGGGATTAAGTTCATTTGACAGTCCACAGTTGACGTCCAACTCTTCATTTGAAACTGTGAGGTTCTCTAATAGAACTCTACCGTATGGAAGAATCTTTTTTAAGGAGTCAATAATGTGATACAGAGTTGTAAAAATGCCTATATATTATAATTTTATTGGAGAACATGATGATAGTATTAGTAATAAGCATCTAAAGCCATACAAGATATGTATGAGGGGGTAAAAACTAGTATAAGAACGCCCAATGGTCAAACAAAGGATTTTTCTATAAAGATTGAACTACATCAGGGATCATCTCTGAGTCCTTATCTGTTCAACTTGATCCTAAATGTTTTGACGGAACATATTGAAGGGGAAATTTTCCAAATGTATGCTCTTCGAGGATGATATAGTTCTTATAGCAGAGACAAGAGAAGAGGTTAATTGCAAACTTGAGTTATGGAGGAGGACATTGGAGTCGAAAGGTTTCCGTCTGAGTAGGAGTAAGACGGAATATTTATATTGTTAATTTGGTAAGAGACTATTCGATAATAATTTGGAAGTGAAATTGGGAGATCAAATTATACCTCAAGTGAAAAAGTTTAGATATTTGGGAGCCATTATTCAAAATGATGGCGAAATCAGTGGAGATATTTTACATAGGATTCAAGCTGGGTGGTTTAATTGGAGAAAAGTTAAAGGAGTTATTTGCAACCGTAAGGTGCCTAACAAACTTAAAGGAAAGTTTTATCGCACTGCTATCAGACCGGCAATGTTATATAGTGGTGAATGCTGGGCTCTAACGGGACAGCAAGAGCATAAAATTGGTAGCAGAGATGAGAATGTTACGATGGATGTGCGGACATACACGTAAAGATAAATTTCGAAATGAGCACGTACGCGAAAAAGTGAGAGTAGCACCTATTGAGGAAAAAATGGTAGAAAATCAGTTGAGATGGTTTGAGCATGTACAAAGAAGACCAAGGAAGGCATCAATAAGAAGAGTGGAACAAATAACTGAGTCTCATTAAGAGGGGTAGAGGAAGGCCTAAGAGAACACTCTTGAAAGTTGTTAAACGCAATCTCTTAATTAATAATATTCCTAAAAGCTTGATAAATGATAGAGTATAATGGTGTCTTGCAATCCATGTAACCGACCCCACTAGTGGGATAAGGCTTGTTGTTGTTGTTGTTGTTCTTTTTATTTGCATCTTGAAATGCCTTGCTTGTTTTTTTACATCTATACAGCATTAAGAAAGAACAAAATCATGTATGATAACCTGGTTTGCTAATATAAATGAGTTCAAAAACATAACTACTTCAGAAACTTGTTGAAAAGTTGGTTCTTTGCAGATAATATGGTATCCTTTATTTGGTCAACTTTATGTTTTGGCGAATCATCTTCGTATAGACCGATCAAACCCAATTGTAGCTATTGAGTCCCTGAAAGAGGTATACATAACATTTTCCTGCTATTATCATGTGCTATTGACTTGAGTAAGGTTCTAAGACATGTCCTTGTTATTCTCAGGCAGCTCGTGCGGTCGTGAAAAAAAAGCTGTCTCTGATAATTTTTCCAGAGGGCACAAGGTCCAAAAATGGGCGGCCTACTTCTTCCTTTCAAAAAAGTGATTTTCCTATCATGTTGATGCATTACTCTCTTTATTGCAGAATCAGGGTCATGATAAATTAAGTAGACTACAAACTTGGTTTAATCTAGCTGGAAGCATTTGATTGATGACTTAAACCTTGTTTGCTTTGCCTATCAATCTTCTTCAAAAGCATTCTGTCTTTAGATATAATCATTAATTCTCACCCATGAGCTAACTGCAGATAATGATTTTCGTCTATGAATCTATCATCATCCACCAAAAGGTATTCTGGATCATGATCACGTTAGACAAAGATAGTAAGATAGATCTTTGTAGGACGATTGATATTTACCCATGTGATCTGAAAATATCAATTTGACAATATTTTTTCTATTTCTGGGTCTCTTGGAACCAATCTAATCCAGGAATGAGTCACGGGATATTACTCCCAAAAGTTCTCCCCAGATGATAATGACCTTGTGGCCATCAAATTGTTTTCAATCATGAATCACTTGCTTCTACCACTTTTTTCCCCATGCTTTATCCCATTACATCTCAACTTTCATTATGCAGGGTTTTGTTCATTTGGCGATACAATCACGCCTTCCTATTGTACCGATGGTCCTGACAGGCACTCATCGAGCATGGAGAAAAGGCAGCTTACATGTTCGTCCTGCCGCCTCTCGCTGTCAAGTACCTTCCTCCGATAAGTACTGAAAATTGGACAGTTGACAAGATTGATGACTATGTCAAAATGGTATATAACTTGTATGCTGAACACCTCCCAGAGAATCAGAGACCTTTGACCTGAAGGATTTCAGAAATAGGGTCAAAATTCAAACAGAACTGAGATACCTATTTTTGTAAGCTATGGCTGAAGTGAAAGTTCCCTCTCTCTGATCAAAGTGGTCCTCAATTGCTGCAACAGGCAATATGACCATCGGTGGCTGGTGAGTTCTCAAAAGGATTGTAAATCTTGAAATAAGCTTGGCAAACTTTAGTTGATCAAGTTTTATTGTCTTGTAGTTTTCCTTGATCTTGTAAATTGTTGACGTTTGATTTTAATGTTAATGCTGTCAAATTCCATTTCAGAGTTTCTGAGTATTGTATGACAATTTGTCACTTTGTAGTTTGTTTCGTGTTACCAATTCAATGTGCTTCTTTGGAGCAACTCTGCATTACTTCATATGTGTTTTTATAATGAAGAGTATTTTTGTTTTCAGTTGGCAAAGGTCCATTGGTTAAAAGTTTATTTGTCAAAAATTAATTTGTTACAAGTCTTTTTGTTACATGTTCATTTATGTCTGAATATATTTTTTCAATTTTTTTTGGGGTAACTGAAAGTTGTATAATATGAAAATCAAATGAAATTAGCTTAAATCCACAATTTAAAAGTTAAAAGCTATTTGAAGCTGCATTTGCCAAATAAAAGTTTAGTTGCATGTCAAGCATACTTTCAGATCAGTATACTAAATGCTCAAACAACATATTGTTGAAAGTACATTTTAAAGGAAAAAATTATATCCAAACACAACCTAAGCATGAATGATAAGGTAGGCTATGTTGCTGTCGATGGTGAAAGTAGAATGAAAATGTCTCTTTTTAGACATTAATAAAATAAAATAATTGAAAAATGAATGTCATTTAATGGTTTTTTGTTGTAAGGGAAAAAGAGTGTTTTCTTTTATATTAACCAACGTGGTTGCTACATTCTAATTAAGGCAAAATGTAGACCTAGAGAAATATTTAAGTAGTTTAGGTACATCATATCATTTATGATTTATCTAATAAAAACATAATATTTAAATGGCATTAAATATAAATTAATTTTGATATCAATGTCAGAGAAAGAAAAGATAAAAAATTAAATATATATTCCTTCCGTTAAAAAATATAAAGCATTTTTAATCGAATCTTACATCAAAAAAATAGTTATCTACTTTCAAACAAATTTATATTTTTATATTTATCTTTATTAAATATTTTACAATAAATATAAATTCATTTATTAATATGCGCACTTTTGAAAAAAATTTTATGATTACACTTCAAAAAAACTAAGAATGCCTTACATTTTTTTGTAGCATTCAACTCCTCAAAAAATACCTTATATTGTTGAACAGAAGGAGTATCTTATTATAAGAAAATCAATTTAAAAAATGTCACATAAGACTTTGTTTAAATTACTTGAAATATTTTAATTGAATAGATCATAAATTATATGATATACTGAGTTTATTTAAGTATTTCTTTATACGCCTAACCTCTATTTTATTTGAGTGTAGTAGTTGTCTGGTGTCTTAATATTATCATGTTAAACATCAAAGGATGTTTTGTAAAAATCCTGAATATTAGGTTAAAGATTTTTTTTTACTTTTAAAATTTTATAATTAACCTATAAACTTTAATATTTATGCAAATAAGTTTTTTGTAAAAAAAATCTGGTTACTAAAATAATATGATATGATGAGTATATTTTTACATGACTAAAATTTAGTGAGGATATCCAGATATCAACACATAACTCAAAGTTTGAGAGGTTATATTCCAAAGGGGGGGGGATATTTGTTGGCCAATTATATACTGTGCTTAACAACAAAAACGGTCAATAATATCGGTGTTATATGCAACAAACTTTTTTTTGGCTAATTATATGCACAAAATTAAAAGTTTAGGAAACTTATGACAAGATTATTTATTTATGGGTCAAAATATAGAAGAGTGCTCTATAATTTAGTGAAAATAAATGTTATTTTGCTGAAGAACTATAGATTATATTTTTTCAAGAATCATTAGAAACTATTAATTAATTTTTATGAAAATATTAATCAATAATCAAAATATTTTTTCATACTAGATTAACCGCGTATGAGCTAGAACTTATAGTCTAGAAAAAAAAATAAATAAATCAAGAATGCATAGAGACTATAAGAGCTGCAGGGCCTATTTGGCAACCTATTTTGTAAACAGTTTTCTATTATTTAAAATAAAAGAATAAAAAAACTGTTTAATAATGTGTTTTTAAAAAATATTTTAGAGATAAAAAATATTGTTTTGGAGAAAAAAATAAAAAAAAATAAAATATTATGTTGGAGAATAAAAAAATGAAAACAACTTTCAGGTGTTATGAGATTATTATTCTTGAGAACAAATGAGGATGAAAAAAAACACTAATTTTTTATTATTTTTTTATTTTAGAACATATTTTACAAAACGCTAGTTTTAAGAATAATAAAATAAAAATAATTTCAAACAATCTCATAATTATTTATATCTTAGCTAGAAGAAAATATCTTATATGTTTTGAACAGATGGAGTGAAGTTACGAATAATAAATGACCCTAGTCCCTAGCAATATAATTTGTTTTAGGGTAAATGAGCAAATTAATTTGTAAACTATAAGTTCAAAAATGTTTACGATCCAAAACTTATATTTTGTGCAATATTCTCTTCAATTTTTGAAGATAGTGCAATTTAATCCCTATTGTTAATAAAAAATTAATTTTGATCGTTAGTTGAATAGAAAAAAAAAAAAAGGAGGTAAGAATTACAAAAAAAAAGAAGACTCAAAATTACAATAAAGGCTTCAAAACTTATAGAAAATGATCAAGAAAAATTTTGGTCAAGTTTTCAATTTTGATGTCCTTTTCCATCATTTTATGATCAACTAACATTCAAAATTAATAGGTTAAATTATTATATATTTTTAATAATTGAAGGACAATATGAACACAAAAGATGAGTTTATCATATAAATTCTTTTAAATTTATAATGTAAGTGACAGTTTACTCATTTACCTTTTGTTTTATAATGTTCAAGGTTTATATTAATGATAATATTGGAGTGTTCATGCTTTATTTATATATTACTTTGGATTGAATATTGCATGAAATTAAAAAGGAATATAATATTCAAAATACTTGAAAAATAGTAAATTAGAAATGTATATTTTTATATCATATATATGTATATTTATAGATTATCTCTTGGATTTTGGTGCTAGTTTGTCAAATTCCAGTGTCTGGGTGCGGCATGACATTTTCACATCCCACAGTTTTGTAGTTTGCATATTATTATTCCAAGAGCCATGTTCTGATTCATTGCACTCATTACACAAAATTACAATTTTAAAAAGTAGATTTAAAATATAAAATAGCTTATGAATAAAAAATCTTAATTATATTTTAAAAGGCATAATGAAATGATAAATTACAAAATATTTTAATTATCAGAAGTTATAAATTTATAAATTACAAAATATTCAATTTTAAAATAAATTCATAAACGATAAAATATTTAACTCTAGCAATGTAGGATTAATTGTGTCCCATGCGATGTACAATTTGGTGTCTAATTATATCATCAAAAAAAAAAAAATATGCCAAAGATTGGAATACATATGCACACATACATATATAGATACATACGTTACTATCAATTTCTAATGAACAGAAAGTTTGGAACTCCTCGACCAAAAACAAAAAAAAAGAAAAAAAAGAAGAAGTTGATCTCCATCTTCATCAGTATAATTCTAAAAACTCTCACGAGTGTATTCGATGGTTCGACACTCAGATGAACACGAGGAGTTGAAGGGGACAAGCTTTAGAGCAAGATTCTACCTTTTTCTTTTGAATCTTTTTTTTTTTTAATGTAACAGAAGCTAAACCTAGGAAATGGAATCTCGACACAGAAGAATGGAGCAGATACACCCTAAACCATTGTCATTGCATGCAGAGTGAATTTACTCAAAGGGATATTTTTATTATGAATTATTATGTTCAAGCCAACTGACTTAATTTGCAAATTGTTTCATGATGGAAACTTTTATCAAAAAATAAAAATTGTTACGAATAAGTATTAATTATAAAAAAAATTATGACTGATAAAATATAATATTTCAAGAATATTAATTAAAATAGAATAAATAAGTAAATTACTTTACTTTTAAACTTTATGTCAAATAATATTACATATTTTAATCTTGTTTGTTATGCAAATTGTCTCCCATTTCTTGAATACACTGCAATTTAGCTCTTGTAGTTAGCAAAAATAAATTTTGACTTTTAGTGGAGCAGAAAATGATAAAAAAATAACAAAAATTACATTAAAATGGCCAAAAATTGCAATAAAAGATCCACAAATTACATAAATTTGATCCTTTTATGTCATTTTTTTGTCTTTTCGATAATTTTTTAAAGCCTTTTTTATTATTTTTTGATTAATTAATAATTTAAATTAACTTTTATTAATTGTAAGAATTAGAGTCTATCATTTTTAAAGGTTGAAAGAAAAATAATTATATAATAAATAAATTTATAATTTATGATATTATTAAATTTAAATTTTGAGTAATAACTTGCTTTTTTACTTTTAAAAATAACTTGACCTCAAACATTTTCAGATTCGCACAAAAGAACTTGAGAAAATGTTATCCCCGCAAAGGAGCAATTTTGAAAATTTGTTCACTCCACGGGAGTTGCTTGTAACAGATCGTGCTGCCGAAATAATCTAAGGCCACGTGCTCACATATAGTCCAACGTTCTGCGGGGCCCATATCTTGGTCAAACGTGGCATGATCTCATTGCGCCGTCATAGATTTCCCTCACAGCATAGCCTACCACTAACTGAGCGCTCCTTAGTCATACGGGCACCACCACCTCCTTGCTCACATCGATTAAGCCCAACACAATCATCACCTTCATTCGTTGTCTTCTTCTCCTCTATGAATTTCTCAATCGCAAACGATTTATTATTTGAAGTTTGTATTTAATCCTCCATTTCTCAACATATAACCCCAATACGGTATGCTTCTTGTAACCTCTCTCTCTAAGATTCGCTTATTGAGCCTTTGCATGCCCTTTTTTATTCAATCAAAACTCAAACTGGGGATTCATGTGATCTTTATTTTCTATTTTGGGAATATATATATTTTTTTTGGAAGGAAAACGTTGTTTGGTTGCAAAAAGAAGAGAAGTTTTCTACTTTTCGTACAAAAATGTTAAACCTTTACCCTCGGTGTACGAGTACTTACTGGATTTTAGTTCTTTAGTGGTATTTCTGGGAATTTTTTTTTTTAAATCAAACTGCTTGCATGATTTTTGAGGAGTATAAGTGCTAGTTTGCGCTTCATGCTTTGCTGAAATTTAAGATTTTTAAGGATGGGTCTTTATTTATTGTTGCTAGTGTTCATATTGCTGCTAACTTTACAGTGCTGAAAGAGGTCTCGTGGCTAGAATATCTGAAGGCTACTTTATTATGGATTGAATAGTTTGTCTATTTATGTGGGTGATGCCTTTTCTGGAGCTACTTCAATAACCTTCTGTTTCTTCGGTTTCCCTTTCATTGTCTCCTTTTCGTAATTCATTTGGTATGCGTTTAAATTACTTGCTGTTTAATGGCTTCATGGGAACACGGAGTTGATTGTCATTTGGGCTACGTCTGCTTCCTAATTTCTTTTTTACCTCTCATTCTTCCACATTTCAATGTATTTCGATGCTTTATCAATTTTTTTCGAAGTATGGAGTCTATTTATTTTCGTTATGATTCAGTTTGATGTATGCCTCTATGTACCGTAGGGCATCTTATGTCCAATTTAATCGCCAGTCTGAACTCAAAGGAAAATGAAAAAGAAAAAAAGAAAGAAAAGAAATCTGGAAATCATTGGTACTTTGGTACAGGCTATAGAGTCAGTGGTTCAACCTTATGTACGACAGCTGTCTGTTTCGTGTTGCATTGTTCCCTTCTGAGGCTAATATAGAAGCTTAAGCATACTTGTCTTGCTTTTCAAAATTCTTCTGAATGTCTAATTATTGGATTAATTATTAACTTATTCTGGAATGTTTGCTCTGCTTCGTTGCTGCTTTAACTGCTACAAGTTTATCAAAGATGGCATTCATGATGAGGACTACTTATTGCCAAAAGAAAAAGATTATGTTGCATTAAATTATTTTGACTACAATTTGCCGTTGATGCTACGCTGCTATCATCTATGGATACGCTCACTGTTCTCAGCCAGGAGGATTGTTATTAATGGATAGTAGTTAATCACCCTTTATTTTACTTGTATTAAGAAATTGAGAAAGTTTTGATCCCAGTTGCATCATTATACTTATGAACAATTTTTTCTTCCTTCAGAGTGAGGAAGGAGACACTGAAGTAACATAAATACGAAGATGGACCAGCCTAATCCAAATAAAAATTTTGATAGCTCTGGAGACATCCCTTTGAAGCGCAAGCGTGGTCGTCCAAGGAAATACCCGAAACCATATGCAGAGGGGAATGCCCACATCTCCTCCCATGTCCCAAATGTTCAGAGTGTAAACCAGAATCCAGTTGGTGCAGGAAATGCTGGTGTTCCTCCAGGATTTGACAGGGCTAATGGAAGTCAGCCCCATCGAAGGGACGTAGGAAATGAATTGAATGATCCCATGATTGGTCAGGTCGTTTCTTGTGTATTGAGGCAGTATTTGATGCTGGATATTTGCTCAGTGCTAAAGTGGGTAACTCCAATACTACTTTAAGGGGTCTTGTCCTAAAGCCTGGACATTATGCTCCTATTTCGGCTGAAAATGATGTGGCACCGGATGTTCCAATGATCCAAAGAAATGAGGTTCCATTCTCTACATATGCTCAGAACTCTCACCGAAAAGAAAGAAATAAGCACCATGTCAATATTCATAGAAATATCGGTCATACAATGAAAGGATCACCACCTGTCAGTCAGTCATCTAGAGAAGCAGTTAGCTCCAGTAATTTGGTTGCTTCTCATGGCAAGAATCAGCAGTCAATGGAAAGACAAACTAATTCTCTACTATCTAGAGGTAATGTGGTCCCTGTCACACTCCAACCTGTTAATTCGCAGAATGGGGTTATGGTTTCCAATCAATCATCTCGAGTCATGACTCAAGCTGGACTAGTAAGCACGCCAAGTGTTGCCAAAGAAATTCTTGCTGATAGAAACCAAATGCTGATTTCTCAAACTCCATCTAGCCAAAATGTGTTGCCGAGAGCAATGCAAAATGAAGATGCTTCCCGTAATCTATCTTCAGCTGAGGTTCAAAGCAAAGTGGAGGCCAAACAATGAGACAGCCTGGCATACCTTTTGAGAAGCTGGTTACTGAGGCTGCTAGGAGAATCGAAGCTCCATCTGAATCCATAGATATTGACACTAACAACAGCAAGTCAGTAGAAAATTATCTTTAAAGGATTCCAGCAGCTTCCAGGAAGAGAAAATTAATGATGTCAGCCTGCCACTTTTGATAAAGCCTTTACAAGCTGTACAAACTGTTGCTCAGGAGCATTCTGCACCTGCTTCCAGGCCTTCTGAAACTGGTGAAGCAGGCAAAGTGATTGACCCGCCACAGGTAAAACAAACATCGCAAAATGTACTTACTTTCACCTTGAATAATCTGTTCATTGCCTAGAACAAGTGGCATATGTAATTATGACTAATCCACTATGATGTAATATGGTTTTTCAGGAGAACAGAATTGAGAATCAGCCCCGCCAAATAGAACAGCTGGATTCTGGAAACAAGATGGATAGCATTTATAAAGGCGAAGTTGATGAAAAAACCAGTCAACCAGCATAACTCACGATTTTAAACTTTCCTTAGCCTGGTTGGTTGATAATGTTGCCATTATCAGCTATTGCCACGGCAGGTTTATTGATTGTTGTAAAGTAGGCAAACCAGCGTATATTTAAATATTTAGGGATTGAATGATCCGTGCTCAATTCTTGAGGTACTGGCTTGGGTTAAACCTGCATGCCTTGTCAGGTTTGTGGAGAAAACTGGATAGGGAACTAATTTCCTTACATGGCCTTTGATAGGTAAAAATTTTGTTGTGTATTGAAACCAATTGCACGAATGGTATCATTCTGTACTTTGTGTTTTATACTTTGAAATTTTATTTTTATTCTTAAATCATTTGAAATTACGTTATCATAATGATAGCATGGCTACTCTCTGGATTTTATCAATTTCTTCCCAATACTGAAAGTGGGTATTGGTATGGCAGTATTCAGAAATGGACTCAAGGAAGAATTCAAAGCGGATTATAGTTAGGCTTTACTTTGATCACTTGTGCATGAAAAAAGAAATTGTTGCGTTGAGTTTATTTTCTTCTGATAGCTTTATTTATGTATTTTTTTATTTCGGGTCAAATTTCTCTTCTGATGTGGTAAAGGTTTGGACCTTGAAACATTATTACTTGATCCAATATCTGCTGGTCACATGAAGCGCAATGCGTAAAGCTCAAAATCTCAGCCGGGTTCAATAAACCAATGAATCTCTCGCCACAAATGCATAGAACTGTACCTTATTATTATTTATTTTTCTCCATCCAAAGCAGTACCTCCATAACTCTGCAAAAAAGTACTTCTAAAAGGATAAACAAGCCAGACTCTGAACCATTTTGATGGCCTAAAGAAGAATACCATGGACCATTTTTGTCCACCATATATAAACAAACATATAACTCTATCGTGACCCGGCCTGACATGTGAGGAGAGGTAAAATGCTCCTTCAAATGTAATCAAAATACAGTTGAGATTTCAGAACATGGTTTTTGTCAACAATAAGTAAATGCCTCTCTCAAAAACTTAATAAATGATATAGCACAATGATGTCATATAACTATGTAATCGAGACCTCACCAAGTGAGATAAGGCTTGTTTTTATTGTTCTAAGTAAATGCCCTCTCATTTTTGGACTTTGGAGCAGCTTGGAGATCTAAGACTTCATTTGATATAATACTTGGCCATCATTCTTTGCTCTCATATGTGGTTCCTGTAAGTGAAATATGAAAATACATCACTGAAAAAAACAAGAACCATTTTTCCTCTAAATTTCAAACGCCATTCTTTAAGAGTGAAATTAAATAAGCTTATGAGGCCGTGATATATAAGCTGAAATGTTATGGTGCAAATTTAAAGAAACTGACTCCGTTGCAAACATATTAGAAGTAAAATCAATCTTGAATTATATATGGAAAAATGTCAAATATCATGATAACAAAAATAAAAAATAGAAGAAATCTAATTAGTATCTCTGTTACCTGAAAAAGCAGAATCAACTACGTTGCTCCTAATATTTGGGCACAGTATGCGGACTTTGCAAAGTTCCCTTGGGGTAACGTGATTCCAATATCAACAAGACTCCCCAATTCCTCAAGTCTTAACTCTCTCAAGTTTTGAAAGATGAGTGGCTCTCCATCTACAGAATCTCTCTCATTACCGTGTCTAAAAAATCTCCTTTAACTGAGGAGCATCGACTATGATTAGACTGCTTAGTTGGGGAAGATTTCTAGCTATGGCAGTAGAGAAAAGGCTTTTCAACTTGCCGCATCGCCTAACCTCTATCCTCGTAAGTTTGGGAAAGCATGCTTGAGTAATGAATACATCATCATATTTTTCATTATCTGCACCAATTTCTTCCAACTCTTCCAGTTTCCTATATATAGTTCCAGCAACTCTGGCAGGCGCTTTTGGAAACTGAAGGAAAGATGGATTTTAGTTTTCTGCTGCACCACTCACAGTCAAATACCGAAGATGTTGAAGCCTCAGAGTTTGGGTCAGAGTGGAAGATGTCCATATGAACCTCAAATCATGTACATTTAGTAAGGACAAATTTTCTAGTTTTGAGGTCAAGCATTCCTTGCCAAGGTAGGTTTCCTGTGGTAGAGATGAGAAATTTGACTCAATGTATAGTTGAGACAATAATTATATGGAAAATCTTTTATATTCTTTTCAGAGTCAATGAATGATATGAACCAATTCATACACTATCACTTATTACCAATTAAAAGTAAATGCACCCAAGCATGTATGTGGCACAGACATAAGCTATCGATGCTTCATACATTATTGCCTTTTTATGAATATTCTTTTTAGAAAAAGGAATAATAATGCATGGTATACTTCATTTTTGCATACTTCAAAGTCATTTTGAATGGAAAAAAATTGTCCACAATAATATCTACGGATTCATCCATTTTTTTCATATCAAACATATTCAGTTGCATTACATGAGTAGCATGATCATATGCAGATTTGAAATTTTACCTACATGCCATCTATTTGATAGAAAGAAATTCTTGAAATTAATACATCGGAGAGAAGATCAATACCGTATTTAAAGCAGCTGTTGATGTTCCAAAGCAAAATTCAAATTGTGTGAGAGTGAATTTGTGCTCAATTTGGGACAATTTCTCCATGTTAGTTTCTTAAGACATTCCCAGCTTAAATGATAGTTTCCAGAGAAAATCCCAAGAAGATTTGGGAGACTTTGAAGTTCTATTTCTTCTAGATGAGGAAGCGCCATCTTGGCACTGTTCAGATAAGATAACTGATCTTCGTTGTGGCATTGACCAAAGATATATTTCAGCTTAGGGGAAAGAGAAATCTGCATCTTCCGCAGCTGCAAAAGGCCTTCAACACACGAGTTTGGGAGAATAAATTCTAACTCGTGACAGGAACTGATGTTAAGTTCCCTCAGTTCAGGGAGTATCTCATGAGAATTACATGGAATATGACCTCTTACCTCCTCTGTATGTGCGCCATCTTCTTGCTCATCATTATTTATTATATACCTCAATTCTAAGCACTCTTTGATATTGAGATATTCTAGCTTCACTAGAGTCCTAGCAACAGACATCAGGAAGACGGATGTCAAAGTCCGACATCTGAATATCGAGAGCTTCTTAAGATTGTGCATGTTACATTGCCGCGGAAAGATTCTGTGCAACTGGTGCAACAGCCTATCCTAAGGACTTGTAACTTTTCAAAGAAGCAATGCAGCAATGGACCACGCCACAACTCTTTTAAATTATCCAAACGTGTCAGACTCAACTCAGCCAGATTAGGGAGCGTTGCATTAGCAGGATTTTATGTGTCCCATTGGAAGTAGAATCAACAAAGCATTCCAACTCTGAACAAAAATTAAGCTGGAGATAAGTCATCTCATTCATGCATCCAGCGGCTTGGACTGTGTCTGGAAAGATATTTTTGCACCCTCCATGAAGGCCATACAAACGAGCATCACACGTCTTCTGCAGAAGATACTTAACAAAGCATCAGAGGCAGATGGATTAAATCCGTTCACATATAGAAGTCTCATGCTTGATGAGTGCAGTTCAGATGGAAGGCTCATAAGTGGCCCTAAATATAATTTGTACCTCTGCAAATTCGGGAAAGTAACATCATGATCATCCCCAAAGCATTGATAGGGATCCATAATTCTAGGACTTGAGCAATCACCATAGTCGAAGGCATATAACTCTTCTAGTTGTGAGCATCTTCTTATCACTTTAAAACAAGACCCTTCAATTCTACAATGTGACAAATCCAGCAACTTCAACTTGTCCAGCATTGTGATCCCATTGGGCAGTTCTTTGAATTTACTATTTTGCAAGTCAAGAATCTCAAGTCTTTTTAGGCTTACCACAAAAGAGATATCACCCAAATCCCATCCCACTAAGCGCAGAGTTCGAAGATTAGTCAACATTTGCAATGATTGAGGGAATGATATAGCCACTTTCTGATAATTTTTATTGATCAAAGCCAGAACCTTAAGTTCTTTCAGACCTTGAAATGATTCATCTGATAATTCCAAGGAACCTGTTAACCCTAAGGGAATTGTGTGAGCAAAAAGATTTAGTAGCAGGATCTGAAGTTTTGGGGCGTCCAATCTATTAAGAAACTTATCTATTCCATTACTGTACCATGAAGACAGTGCATAACAATCCTTTATAGCTCCATTGTCCATCGATATGTTCAGATTTTTGGCAAGATTGACTTATAATAGCTTGATCTTTTGAAGCTATCCACAAAGCTACATGGCGAACCATGTCATGCATTTTTACATGGTGACTTTTATGGCGAAGGATCCAGTCAACTTTACTTATCTCACAACGCATCAACAGACAAGAATCTAGGAGTATATTGATGCATACTCTCAATTGAGTACTTGCTGAATCAAATGATCCGCCACAGACACCTAGCCCCACTCCGTATTTGATCAAGTCATCAATAAGGATCTCATGATCTTCTGGAAACATGGAACATATCAAGAAGAGCAACTTGGTCTCATCTCTTTTCAAGTAATCATAGCTTAATTTAAGACAATTGAAAGCATCTCCAACCCCTTCATCCACATCCACAGGTTTTGAATCTCTCAAACTTTGTAATGCTACCTTCCACTCATCAACTGCACTCAATTTTCCTTTTAAGGAGGACCCCACAGTTACAATTGCAATGGGTAGTCCTTTACATTCCTTACAAACCTCCTGCTGCACATCATTCAGCAAGTTGGAGGATAACGCAGCATCTATGCCTGCATGCTTTTGGAATAAACTCCAAGCTTCCTCTTCAGATAAGAGATCCAGTGGAATCCTCTTAAGACAGTCCATTAAATTACACACTTCTTGACGACGAGTGGTTAGGAGCACCTTGCAACCTTTGAGATTTCCATCAACAGGAATCCCTATGTCCTCAAGGTTAAGTTTTGCCCAAACATCATCCAAAATTAGGAGAATACGTTCTCCACTTTGTAATCTAACAGATATCCGCCTTGCTCTTCCTGCTTCACACTTCTTTCATCCAATTTCAGACCTAACAAGTCAGCAATTTCATCTTGAATTTTCATGACATTTGGAGACTGGGAGACAGTGGCAAATACAACATGATCAAAATGCTTTAATTCCTTGGCTTCTTTACCCACTTCTTTCACCAGTGTTGTTTTGCCAGAGCCTCCCATTCCATATACACCAATTATATAGAAACTATCATCTTGTAGTGCCTGCAAAAGTTGATCTGCAGCCACTCTTGTAGATTTAAAATACTCAAAATTTCCAGAAGCGAAATGCTCTATATCTGGAATTGGGGCAGGGAAGGAAAATGGCCCAAACTGACATCTTTTGTTCAGCTGAATCATAGCTTCTGTTTTATTTTCCATTTGTTTGCACAGAATGTATCTCTTCCGGGTAGGAAACTGCCCTTGGAAACAGCTGCCGTGGACCAGGATTTCTTGTTCCAGCTGCTCCACCTCTTTTATGAGTTCCATCACTTCATTCATCCACGTTGAAACATCACGATTGACTCTTTCCGCTTTATGAGTAGCTTCTTCAACTCTTTTCTGTACATGATCATGAGTTGATGCCAGTGCCTTCTTCTCACTTTCAAGATTCTTCATGATTTTGTTGACACGAAACAAATACTGTCCTTGACGTACAGTTAAATTCACCAAATGTTCTGAGACTTTAGCAGCAATGGAAACAATGATCTCCGTCATCTTAATCCAGTGAACCTGAAAAAGGGTATCAATTTTAACCGACATATTCATAATCGATGAATATGACATGCATGTTTCCAAGACATTATTCTGCAATGAACTGAGTTTAAAAGCTTAGAACACAAATCAAGAGGCAGGTTACATTTTTAGCGTGTAGAATGTGCAAGGCTAACTGCAACCATTGGAAAACTAATCAAACGTTGCAAAATGATAACATAGCATCATCAAAAGTTTGAATTAATAAATTTTTTGCTTTTCTGAGTTTAGTAATTAAAAAGAGGTTATTAATCAAGAGTCATTCAGTTCTAAAGGAAGCAAAATTCTAGTATGTAAACCGCGAAAGGGTAACCACTACAGCTAGATAAGTAATCGAAGAGTCAAAAAACTACTTTACTTTCAGAATCGTCGATGTCAAAAGACAAGAACACAAAGTACAAAGCATAGTTATACGTGCAAAATTAAATAACTAACTAACCAAATAAAAAGATAAGTAGACGAAGAAAGTAAAACTTGAGGGAGTTGTACCTAATGAACAAAATTTTCCAGGCTCAAGGATGGTGACGATCCCGATCTTCTCTTCCTAAAGACGACCTGCTTCTTCAGCTTCAATTGAACGATTAAAGAATATACAGAACTGATTTGGCTGAACTGCGAAGGAAAAGAGTTGAGCTGTGTGACCGAATCGATGGGTCAAGTTCAAAGAAATTATAGAGATTTACACTGCAGCTTCATGAAAAGTAGAGCGCTATTTCTCTACTTCTTAGCAATGGATGTAGGAAGGAAGTGCTAGAGGGGACTTGGCTGACTTGGTCTAAACAAAGTATTCATACATACATACATATATATAATATTAAAAAAATGGGAATAAAATGGTAAGGAAGGGACTAATAATTGCCTCATAATTTATAGAAATAAGATCTATTTTGTTTTTGAATTATTCTTCAAAAAATATCTAATTATATAAATTATTTATCATAGTAATTTTTTTTTCTAGAATAATTAAAAGGTAAAACATTTGTTCTAAAGTTAAATATTCTAATGTTGACCTTTAAAATGTGTATTGGGACTTAAGTTTGATAAAATATCTTCTCATATTAAGTAAATTTAAGTTAAGATATATTTTTGCTATGCGTTAATTACTTTAGATGTAAAATTCCTATGATACAAATGGTCTAAAATATTGGATGTTTCTCAAATAATAGTTTAAAGTCAAAAATGCAATTTAATTTGAATTTACTTGGTATGACAATGACATTTTTGATCAAATTTAAGTTCTAACCAATATGTCATCATTGAGATATTTAATGTTAAGAATAAATATGTTATGTTTTAATTATTTTAAGAATAAATTTATGTGATAAATAATTTAAGACTTGGATATTGTTTAAAAAATAGTTAAGAGGTTAAAAATGTATTAAATCCTAGATTATAATTTGTACGAATTGAAGGTGAGAAAAAGAAGAGTAACGGAAATGACAACAAAGGTGACACAAGTCTCTCTTCAATTATTGTCACACACAAAGGCATTATTGCGTGTTACTTTACCGGCTTGCCCTTTTCTTCATGTTGCCTTTTAACAAGGGATAATTACACCTAAATTCTATAGAGCAAATATAAATACAGCAAAGTTCTATCAAATAGAAAAAAATTCTACATACCTGTAATACTTTGGTATGAATAATTCAATAAATAAAATCACTCATTGCCTTTACTAAATCAAAGGAAAGAATAAAGATAGGGAAACCTTTTGGCATAGTGGAGGTAACAAGTTGAGTTCTCACTATTGTTTTAAAAAAAGTGAGTTAGGTAGGATCATTTTGTAGCTAAACTATGAACTCATTGTTATCATCCCATCCCATATTGCTGCATCTTCGATTTTCTAGGTGTGTTCGATATTTGCATTGTAAGAGTTCATCAAGAAAGAAAAGCCCAGCTTTGACCTTCAGTTTTAAATGTTGTTGTGACCACGCCAAACAAGAAAAATAATGAGATTAATTTGTATGTGTTCTTTGCCAATCATTTAATTCAGCTTTTTACTGTTTGTTGGTTGAATAAAGTCATATGGGTTGTCTCTTTATCTTTTTATAAGTATATTAGTCTGGATGGTCTCTCTTTATGCGATATATTTGTGGTGAGTAGTCACAGGCCTTGCATTTGTAATGGTGTATTTAGGATTATAATGCTACTTGGTTGAGTTGACAAATTTATTATCAAATTGTAAGACGTGTTGTTAGTAGCTTAAGTATAAATTGTCAATATGGTATAGGTAGTTGTCAATATATTCTGTGTGATTCAAGTTGAATTGATAAATCTGTTATAAAATAACAAGATGTGTTTGTTAAGAGCCTAAACATAAATTATCAATATACTATAAATAGTTATCAATATGTTGTGTGTGGTCCAGGTTAAGCTGATAAATGGCAAGATGTGTTATTAATAGTTTAAGTGTAAGTTATTAATATGTTACAATAAATTGTTAATATGTTATGCAGTGCAACTTGAGTTTGATTGATAACTCATAGCATATTGACAACTTAGGCTTTTAACAACTTGTTCGGCACAGTCATAGTAACACTAAAACTAAATGTCGAAGTTAGGCCTTTTTTTCTTGAAGAACTTCTACAGTTGCAAACATCGAACACACTTAGAAGATCAAAGATGCAACAATATAGGATGAGCGGATAATAGTGGGTTCGCATTTTAGCTACAAAATGATCTCACCTGACTCACTTTTTTGAAGACGATCACGAAAACTTAGCTTGTCACCTCCACTTTGCAAAATTGTTTCTCTTTCTTCATTCTTTCCTTTTGATTCAGTAAGAACAAATGAGTAATTTTACTTATTGAATTATTCACACCAAAGAACTAAGGGACTATAGAATATTTTCTTCATTTTAGTGAGACTTGGCTGTATTTATATTTGCTCTATGGGACCTAGATGTGATTTTTCCTTTTAACAATAGTGTTTTAAAAATAAAGCAGAATTAATTAGGATTACCGTTGGTCCATGAATATTAATATTAATTATGAGAAAAAAAAAGGATAGGATATATGATGCTTATATACTATAAAACAAGTGATAACTCACACGTGAAAAATTATTGTTAATGTTATCGAAACATTTTTATGTGATTGATTTTTCCCATTGAATATGATTTTATTCTATAGGGTCTTTATATTTTAAATATTTAACTAATTTGAACTTATATCAACTAACATGTAGCTGAATTGGTAGAAATTGTATTAACTACTAATCTTCCAGGACAAGCACAAATACATTTATTTTATCCATTTTATTTATAAATCACTTATAATGTATTTTATTAAAAATAAAAATGATTAGAACTCATTAATTATATTTAAAAATTTTAATAAATAAGTTTTAAATTTTATCTCTATTAAGTATAATACATATTTTAATAACATACTTTCTCTTATAAAAATATAATAAAAATGTAATGAGAAAAAGAAATTTTTTATTTACCTTATAAATTAGGTTGAATGGAGAATTTTTCTTAAAAAAATTATTTTGACACTCGCGCACAAAATATGACATCTGTATGCTTGAATTATTTTTTTCAACACTAATCTTCCTGTTGGCACCCAAAAAAAAAAGGAACAGAAATCTAATATTCTTCATTCAAATGAGATCTAGCAATGAATAATAATAACAACAATAATGAATCTCACAACCAAACAAAAAATTAGAGTCGGTAATTGAGTCAAGACAAGATAGCCCGAACCCGTCCAAAAATTAAAACCGAGCTCAAGAAAATGTTTTTTTTAATGTCAGCCTGAATAGGCTTAAAAAATTCAGGTCAAGTTCAATCGGGTTTAGGCTTGACCCGAATATTTAATTAAAAAAAATATATAAAATATAATAAATATTAATTAATCTTTAAGTTTTATGTTATTTTATAATAAAATATCATATATTTGAATATATTATTATAGTTATTTTTTATAAAAATTAAAAATATTTTTATATTTATTATTTTTAATCAATAAATATCTCAAAATAATATTTAGAATATATTTTAATATTAATTTTTTATTTTATGATCCAATTTTTTAAAAATTTTTTGAATCCTATACATCATTTGTGTATCCAAAAAATATATTTTATATTTTTATAAAATAAAATAATTAATTTTAAAGTAAAAATAAAATTAAGAATATTCTAAAAATAAAATTTGAGCATGTAGAAATTATCAGCTCTACTATTAGATAAATGTAATAAAAAAATAATATTCTTTAATAATTATTTGGTTATCGTCCATATAAGACTTAGTTAAAAATTAACAATAATCTAGAGTAAATATCCTTTATATATAAAAAATTAAAGAAAAAATAATTTTAAAAAATAATATTTTATTTATAATTAAATAATTTTGTTTTATATAATATAATGATAGCTATTTTTCTCATATTCTTAAAACCAAAAGTATAATTTACCTAAAAACTATTAAAAACTTTGAACTAATTAGGGTAATGATTTTAATTTAGTGGTCGAATTATGATTGAATAAAGATCAACTTAATCATGTTTACAAAAAAGTTAATAGATGCCCCGATCTTCTGACCCATAGGATTTCCAAGGAACAATTTGATATTATGTTATTTGACAGACCGCTTAATGATTATAAGAGCCTTATGACTTTTGACTTGACTTAAATTTGGTCTTTTTGTACAGTTTTAACCATGGCCTTGTATTAAAAAAAAAATTAACTTGATTATAATTAAAATTTATAAAATATTTATATATAATTATAATAAGAGTAATATTTAAACAATTAAAATATTAATTTACAAATAAAAAAATATTCATGAATAAATTATACATAATATAATAAAATAATGACAAAGCTACTTAGGTATAAAGTTAATAAGTTATCATTTTTTATTTTATTTTTTTAAAATTTAAATAATATTTTGTGTTTATTAGAATTATTTAAAAATTAAAATTGATTTAAAAGATAAAAAAATTAAAAAATTTTAGATATTCAAATCAATTTAAATAAACCCACAAGTGTCAGAACTGAATTTAATTATATAAGTTTTTTTTAAATAAAATATTTTAAATTTAATCTAAATAAGTTTGATATGGCCACCGGCTCTAACAAAAAGCGACCCAAATCAATCTGGCGACAATTTTGCGTTTTGGCTGGATGAAACTTTTGACTTTTAAGAATATTCTGCTTTGACAAAGTTTTTACATTGTAAATTTTTTTATTCATTAGATTTATTTTGCCAAGACTTATTTATTAAATTTGCTGAACCTCAATTTCAAAACATAATTGCAATCAACATGGTTACTTACTGGCAAAAGAAAAAAAAAATAAAACTCAGTAGCTTAAGAATTAAGATCTCATATTGGCGAATTTTTAATTTTTAATTATGATGGTTATAAATTACCAAAGGAAAAAAAAAGAGAAATGATTTCCTATCCGTTAATATTCATATTTATTGGCATTTGCAGACAAAATCTCTGAACAGTGTGAGTGACAGTGACGAGCCAGTAGAGTTAAAAGAAGATCCAATAATGGCCGACTCATACACCACAACATGACATTCTTGCCGTGCTCTTCCGGCGTCTTACGGAGGACCTACCTACCGATTATGGAACTCCAACTGATTCTAACTGTCGTCTTCGTCGTCGTTTCTGCAACCGTCGCCGCCGATTACGTTCGCCCTCTGCCTCGCAAAGCCCTTCAGTTTCCATGGGATTCGAAGCCCGCCTCCTATCCTCAGCAGGTGATATGTCGCTTTTCTTTGGTTCTGTGATACTCCGTGGCTTTCAGCTCTGTGATCAATTTTAGAGTCTTCGATCTCTTTTGGTCTGGTTTTTGGTTGATTCTGGTTGTTCTGAATCTGTTTCTTCCTTTATTTACCCCAAACAGAAGTGTTTACTCCATTATGTTTCAGGTATTTCTTTTGAGAGAAAATTTCCATTCGCTTTCCACTTTATTGTATATCATTGCTTGCGACTTGTTATTGATTGATCAGGTATGGATGCATGAGAAATACATAAAGTAATTTGAATATTCGATATGCCCAACAAATGGAAAATTATGAATATTTTTTTAAAATTATCGTTACATGTACTGGCATTTACCATAAATATTCAAACTGCTGAGTTTTAAAATGAAAGTGTCTTTCCCACTTTTTATTCATTTTTTTCCCGTAAGCTTTCTGGTCAAACAGATATGTAAAAGATGTAATCCTTCGTCGCGGATCTGCCCTTGATTCAATGCAATGATTGCTCAGATTTGTTTTTGTCTTCCACGCTTATGTGAACTGAAGAGTGCAGCAAATGCGCTAGTTTGCTCGAGAGTTTATGGTTGACTTTGCGCCATTTGTGATTACATGGTATAGTGTGCAAGTTTTTATAGGCAAATGGTATTCTTTTTCCCGCTTAGTTTATATGGTTTGTCTCTGCATTTGAAAGAACTTGCCAGCAGCTTTTAATTGTTTGTGATGATATAGATGGGGCTCTTTTGGGAAGTCTTGGTGTAGTGGATTGCAAGTTGTCATTCTCCTTTTCCGTCTCCATGCTTCTCATGCTAAATATCAATTTATTATTGTCTGTGTCATCTATTACTCTGAGTTTGATGAAGCTACTCTGTTCTTGTTTGTTTATTAACGATTACTAATTTAAATAGTATTTTATATCATGTATAAGACATTGAGAATCTTGCTTCTGATAATATGTTCATGAATTTATCTTTTTGTTTGCCTTTTCGATTTTCTTGTTATTATATTACAGCTTGCATGGGTATCTCTGCTGCTAGAACTTTACAAGTCAGTAGGGAGAAAAGAGACTTTCTCTGTGGACTTTTCATCAGAAAATTTCCCTTTCCTCCCTTGTCTTTGGCTAACCTCAAGACTTTACTGCATTCATTTTTCAATTTCAAATCAAACAGGTTATCATTGAAAAAGAAAAGAGTCTAGATTTATCTACAACTCTGCTGAAATTGTTTTTTTAGGCATAAAGAAGGTCCCAGGACGGCAGTTTTAAATGGATGGAATCATTATGTGTTACTTCTTTGATAGGAGCCACTATTGCTGTGACATTAGCTTCTTTATACACATGACTCATGCAGACATTGAAGTCTTTTGTTAAGAGGCTTGCAGGCATCAATTGTAGCACCATTAGCAATATTGACCTGACATCATCTAGAGCAATTTCAGAGACAAAGTCAAGACTTGGTTGCTTTTATCCATATAAGGAGCAATATCGCCATCTTTTCATTTTGATTTTTTGATTATGATGACTCTTTCTGAGAGTATGATATGTAAAAAGCTTATATTGCTTCCCTCCTTTTGGATAAATTATTGCCAATCATAGGACAGTTTCTCTGTGAACCAGCCTTCTATGCTTTTACTTAGTACTTTCTTTGGTCATCATATCAAACTCTAATTTCATTCATAATAAAGTATTGTAGTTTATGATACTCAAGTTGCGGGATTGTTTGGTGCAGGTGCACATTTCATTGGCAGGAGACAAGCACATGAGAGTTACCTGGATAACTGATGATGATTCATCACCTTCAATGGTAGAATATGGGACAATACCTCGGAGATATGACAATTTAGCTGAAGGAGAGAGCAATTCTTATAGTTATCTCTTTTATAGCTCTGGAAAGATACACCACACCGTAATTGGGCCCTTGGAGGATAACACTACTTTTATAGGTGTGGTGGACAAGGTCCTGAGTTCCAGCTTAAAACACCTCCTGCTCAGTTACCGATTACTTTTGCTGTGGCTGGGGATCTGGGTCAAACTGGTTGGACTAAATCAACATTAGATCACATTGGTCAATGCAAGTATGATATACACCTGCTTCCAGGAGACCTTTCATATGCCGATTATATCCAACACCGATGGGACACATTTGGCAAGCTGGTGGAGCCTCTTGCTAGCATGAGGCCATGGATGGTGACACAAGGGAACCATGAAAAGGAGAGTATACCATTGCTAAAGGATGGGTTTGAATCATATAATGCCAGATGGAAGATGCCATTTGAGGAAAGTGGGTCAAGCTCAAATCTCTATTATTCTTTTGAAGTGGCAGGTGCCCATATTATCATGCTTGGCTCCTATGCAGACTCCTACAAATACTCAGAGCAATATAGATGGCTGAAGGTTTGTTGATTTACCAATTGATCATGGGTTATATATTTAGATGCATAATCATTTTTTTTTTAACATTAGGAGAATTTGAACATGAAATTTCTTTTCTTTTAGTGAAATTGAACATTAAATTTCTGCCTACACTTTACCCCACCCTTATTACTTAAGTTAGCCTCAGGTTGCCAAATTTGTTATTAGCTATTAAGTACTCAAATTAAATTATATAATGAATAATTGTATAATTGATGTAATCCCATAAGTTTTTTTTTTTTTTTGGGTTCCCCGGGGGGGGGGGGGGCGGAGTTGGACACATAACATCTATATAGCTAAGCCTAAGATTAAATTAAACCTTGATGATGGCCGTTCTGAGATTTAGCTTATGATTCATCTGTTTCATGCAGAAAAATCACCACTTTGAAATATCTATCCATGCAATCCAGGCACTATTAGAGATTCCTTTTTTTGCTTCCCCTTAGATATCTATGCTTGTTAGCTGCACTGATTATATTATATTGGTTCAAAATACGCAAAATTAAATTATCTAGGACTAGGAAGTAAGTGATCATTACTTTGGTGTTGGATAGGTATAGGGTGGTTGAGGAAGGGGTCAAGTTCTTTGCAATCAGATGTTAAAAGTTTTTATCCATCACTGATTTTCAAGGCTTTTTCCAAAGAGCATGTCATAATATATCTTACATGAGAGATTTTGTTTTATGTAATATGTAGAGATTGCTATAACTGTGATAAAAAGACAACTTCAAATTTGGAGTTATTGGTGTTCCACTTCCACTAACAAGTTTTCTAACATACTATTATGATTTCAACCTCTTTATTTAACTTGAACTTGACAGCCTTAAATGTAATAGCGTTAGACATAATATTATTAATTCTCCTACTGATGATGGCCACAAGTGATCCATTACCCTGGGGTTTGCACATCATAGTTGTCATTTGAGCAGGGTTAATTTTATCCTATACCATACTTGCTGCATGAATAGATATATATCACTTCTGAACTTCATTCCTCTAATATTCTTGCTATTTTATGTACAGATGGATCTGTCAAAGGTTAACAGGAAAAGTACACCTTGGTTGATCGTGTTATTTCATGTGCCATGGTATAACAGTAACACAGCTCATCAGGGTGAAGGGGATAATATGATGGCAGTTATAGAGCCATTACTTTACGCTGCTAATGTTGATTTAGTCTTTGCTGGTCATGTACATGCTTACGAACGCTCGGTATGCTTAATTGGCTTAACATTTCCTTTCTCTTCCTTGCGATTACATGTCATTCAGGAATTTAATTTGCTCCTTGTCCTGCTGACAGAAACGGGTGAATAATGGAAGATCAGATCCATGTGGTCCCGTGCATATAACTATTGGTGATGGAGGAAATAGAGAAGGCTTAGCTTCTAGGTAAGTTACCATTGTCATAACTCCCACTTAATTTGCATGCTACCTTGAATTTTCTTCTCTGGGAGGCAACGCAGACTGTAGAATGAAGCTAATGAAGTTTATATGGTGCTCCATTTCCAATACTATTGATCTTTGAATTCTGCTTCTAAATTTATGTTACGGTAATCCACCTCAAGTACACAACAGTACTGCCTATTGGGCAGAGGAACCTGAATATTCTTCTGGTGTTTTTCCATTAATCTTTATATTGATATAATCGGAACAGATAGCTATGGTGAATATATGCCAAACCTTGTGGCTCTTATAATCAGTTGTATTATTCAGAATTATCTTACCCCACGAAAATGAACTTGGAACATTGTTGAAACTCGTTCTATTGTCTCACTCAACATCTGAGTGATGTACAAATACCTTGATGGATTTTTGTTCCCTGAAGCATGCACCGGATTTTGCAGAATGCTTTGTCACTAATCGCTGTTCATTAACAGGTACATAAACCCACAACCAGAGTGGTCAGAATTCCGAGAAGCCAGTTTTGGTCATGGTGAGCTCAAGATAGTAAATTCCACTCACGCCTTCTGGAGTTGGCACCGGAACGATTATGATGAGGCGGTAAAATCTGATGAAATCTGGATAACCTCTTTGGCTGGCTCAGGATGTGTTGAACAGAAGAGATATGAACTCAGAAACATGCTCATGACACCTTAGAATATAAGGTCTGTTTCTGGCATCCCTCAACTAGAGAGGTTGATAATGGAACAAAAATGTATACCTTGTTGCCACTAGCTAGCTAATTGAGTGGGTTAGGTTTCTGTTCTGAATTTTAGTACTTTGCTGCATGGTAATGCTTTTGTATTTACTCAAGGCCTGATAGTTGTCTCATGTAAGTAATGGTTTTGTTTGCATTCTCCCAACAAGAGTTGTTTTCTATGTAAGTAAAAGCTTATTGCTTATGTAGTGACCTATTTCTTAGGTAGAAATTTAGATTTGAATCTAACATCGTGCACATCGGTGCTGCGTTTTGTGCGAAACGGCACTACTATTAGTTGTGCATGGAATATATCATATGATATTTGGATAGATAGATAAATAGAATATTATTATTTAGGGTTGGTCCAAAAACTATATTATATCATATGATAGATTTGATATAATATTTGAATTTATATTATATTTAGAATATTATAAAGGTTATATGATATAGAATATAGACTATTGTATTATACATAACATACTTTATGCAAATTTGATATTGATGTAAAGATTTTACATGAAGTCTAATTTAAGTGTTGGATAAAATTTTTGCGAATTGAAAATTACAACCTAAATTTCGTTGTCTTTAAATGAAAAGCAATTTTATTTTCGATTATTCAAACATTTCAAAGTTGATATCTGAAAAAAAAATACTGAAGTAAATTGAAATTAAAATACTGAAGGATATTGGATAAAAATAATACAGTTTGATATTTATCTTGAATATAATAATTAATTTAGAGATTAAATTGTATTTAAATTAAATTTGAATTCTTGTAAAATATATCTTATTTTAAATGTATAATTTTTTTAACTTACTTATTTTATAAAATTTGAGATTTGTAGAATCAAATTAATTTTATTAATGTAAATAATTAAAATGAAGTAAATTTTTGAAAAAAATGACAATTATGCCCTTGTAAAGATATTAATGACAATTAAAAATTTTAAAATATTAGAAAAAGACTATAGTCTCTATTTGCAATCAAAATACTTTTAACTATTGAAATAATCAATAAAAGGTCACTCATTAAATCTAAGCAAGTTTACACCAACTAAGGTTAGGTTTAGTAGTAGTGGTTAGTTCTCTAGTGAATCAAGATTTGAATTTTACTTAGAAGAGGTGTTCACATTTAAGACCATACCTCAAACATAATAATCTTCAATAGAAATATATCTGTGAGCAATTTAAAAAAAAAAAAGGAAACTTACTCCATTCAATTGAAAATATAAGCTTTTTTTTCTCAACTAAAATTGATCCAAATATAAGAAACTTAGTTTTTTATAGAAATCTTTTTCCATTTTACCCATTTATTTATTAACAAAGATTTTGTTATTTATTGAGAATTTATGACCAATCATAAATTGAGACTAAGGGTAAAAAAATAAATAATATATATTTTTATGAGAATAAAAATTTTATTAATTTGCATATTATTGTTGAAAGCTGCTTATATTTTGAATTGGATAAAATAATTGTAAATATATGAAAAGTCAATTGTGAATAGATAAACATTTTCATGTATATACTCATTATCACTTGTAAATTTCTAAAAAGTTACTTGTAAATTCATAGAAAGTCAACTGTGATTGAATGGTAAAAAATATGAAAATATTTCTAAATCATTAATTTACAACTAATACTATTTATATCTATTCACAACTGACGTTCCATATATTTACAAATCACATTTTTTAAATTCATGACTAATTATCCCTAAGTCATAGGTGATATATAAAATTCATGATATTATCTATTCATCCTAATTGAATTTTCATAAATTAACTAGTGGCCTTTCTAAAATTTGCAAGTAACCATCCTTAAATTCATAAGTGATGATAAATAAATTCATAAAATTATAAATTAGTTCACTTTCCATTGATTTCCAAATAATATTACTTAAATTTACAACTAACTTTATTTAAATTGATGAGTTACATTCTATTGGTTATTTTAATAACTATTAATTTTTAAATTGTAAATGAAGATCATAATCTTTCCATGATATTTCAATAATTTAATATCTTCAATTATTGCCTCCATAAGATTTATAATTGTCATTTTCCCAAAACCTTTGTATAAAACTATTCAACTTCATATTTTGTTCTTTTATTTTGGGTTAATGAGTACCCTAGACCTTAAATTATTGCTTGAATAGCATTCTGGACTATGAACTTTTAAAATTTATAAAAAATCTCTTCAACTTTTAAATTCTAAGCACTTGAAATCTCATTATTAAATTAGAAAAAATAGTCATTGTTTTTATAATTGTGGGGCCCAGTCACATGTTGATGTATCATTCATCTTGACCCTTAAAAATAACAGTTTTTTTTTTTTAACTCAACGGGTGGAGTTTTAAGTGTTTTAGAGTTTAAAAAGTTAAGGAATAGTTTTGTACATTTTAGGAGTTCAGAGTTTAGGATGCTAATCACATAATAGTTTAGGATTTAGAATGTTCAATAACCTTTTTATTTTAGATCCAATATAAAGTTTAATTTAAATATGTTAGTCAAATTAGATAAAATATTTTATCCATAATAGAAGAAATAAAAATCACAAGCTTTCCTTCATCATCTTAAAATAAAAAAATAATTAAGAATTATTCAAATATTTAAGGAGAATTGAGTCCCAGAAACAAAAAAATTACAATGAAGACCTAATAGAATTTGAATTAATTTGGTAAGTCTAACGGTCTTAATTATAATTATATTTTTTTAGATGGCTCATTTATGTTTAAGTAGAGCCGGTAATTCAAGCCAAACTCGACGGGTCAGCTCAAACCTTTTTGAAAAAAGTAGAGTTAAACTTGACTATATGAGCTTTTTTAAGAAAGTGTGATACTTTAAATCTGATCTGAATAAGTCTGACTAAATTGAGAAATAAGCCCTAGCATTGGAATTTATAGCTCTATATATATATAAATTTGGTAATTTTAGCCAAGCCTGATGAGTTAGCTCGAATTTAACAAAAAAGAAATTAGAGCCGAGCTTAACCATGAGAATTTTTTTAAGAGAGTGAGATATTTTAAATTTGATTCAAATTGAACCCAATTCTAATCAACTTGGCCCGCCTGAATTACCAACTTTACCCTTAAGGCCTCCATCTTCTCGAATCTCTCTCACACAAGATCCCTTTCATCTCAAAAAATTTAAACTTCACTTATGCTGAACTTTTGCATCTACAAGGATGTGGAGACAATTTTATTTTCCTTTCTAGATGTGGGCATATGGAAAAATTTTTTGGAAAATGTTACTATATTTTCAATTATCATTACCCATATTCACCACCATTTCATCTTAACTTCTCTTTTATTTGAAATAAATTCATTTAACCATATGCAGTTTTTTAAATTTAATTTACGTTTTTTGTTTTTATAACTATGATTAGATAGCTTGAAAATCTGTCTGGCTAAAATGATGCCCTTGTAAAAGAGTTTTGCCAACCATTTGTATCCCACAAAATTTTATATCTAACTTCAACATTTTGTGGGGGGTATATAATTTAAAATAAATTATTATAACTTGTGTATTATACTCATAAAAATAAAAAAAAACATAATTTTAAATCCCTACATTTTGCTCAAATATTATTATAGGGACCTGGAACATTAAAAAAAAAAATACAATGACCTAGAATACCAAAAAAAAAAAGTACAAAAACTTATAATAATACTCAAACAAAATGAAAAAAACCAAAAGTTATGTTTTTCCAAAGCATAAATTGTGTGTTATATAACCTGTTATTCCTTTTATATTTTATATTGCTATTAAAATCCCCTCAACTTGTGTAGAGTGTCCAATCCCTCCACTTGATAATTGGGTTAATCCCTACTCACTCGTAAAATAAATAAATAATTTAGGCATTTCTTGTTTGCCTTTTCTGGTGCACATTTTTTTTTTTTCAAAAGTATGCCTTTCTTGTTTGTAAGTACAAAGGCTATAATAATACTCATAAGCGTAAGCTTAAAGATCAACATGCCATATAATGAATTAATTAACTCTTTCCCTTAATTTTTAGTTCCAAAAATACAAAAGCTGACTGATAAACTCAATCTATGCCACAGCCATTCGTCAAAAAAAAAAAAATGGTACCATTTACTCCAATTATTACCTTGAAGATGAGCTTTGCATTACTATCAAGTAGATGTCCTCCTGCCAGAGCACGCTGAGAGTATAATGGACTATGCTAGACTTGAATACTTAATCAAAATGACAGAAGTAACATCTGGCCACATCTTCGACCTTAGGTGCAGAAACCTCATGGGTTTTGACATGATGTGATAGCTTTTCTCTTTGCAGGATTATCCGTGGCCTTGTAAAAAAAAAAAAAAAAGGACAGAAGTAACCCATCTTGCTAACATTGCAGATCCGCTAATTTCAATACTCCACATTAAGTCTGAATGGTTATTAATTTGCATTTCCTCTCCAAAGGATTATTTGCTCATCCTTGAACAAGATGGGAACACATGGTACGAGATCCTGAAATAAAAAACACGAGGTTGGATGCCTATGCACAGGTGGATTTCATGCAACAGACGAAAATTTAGAATTCAATGACTCATAAGGCATACTCTTAGCTTCACTCCAATCTTTTTGCAGTCACTTGTACCTACATGGTTACAGTCCAGTCTCACAACCTCCTCGGTCTTGAAGGCCTCCCTCACTCTATCCACCACATAAACATAAACTCCATTTCTTGCTGAACATACAAAATTAACAACTTAGCATGTAGGTTTAGAATATCATTGGAACCAGTGCTACCTTGAACTGTATTAGAAAAATCAAAGCAGTATATTTTGAAAATTTATAATCCCCATATTCTTCACTTACTGAGTTTCATCAAAGGTGGTGAGTTCAGACCCCTGTTTCTCATTTTTTTCATTTCTTCATATGTCAAACCCTCAACTACATTCTTCACAAGCCTTGGATAAATTGGCGCATAAGGCTTCCACAACATAATAGGAATAACTGGGCGATTCTTGGGATCATAGTTTCGTCCTCGGTATAAAAGAAGGATGTTTATGTGACGATAAATGATTTTTCCACCAGACTTGTCCTGTAGATACAGCAATATCGTCAGTAAAAGTCTTCTGAAACTCGAGAAAAAAGCAGCAGAAATAAATCTACATGTAATGTGCATATTTATTGACCTCAAGGTGGAAGCAAACATTGTCCATGTCAAGAGTTGGTACACCCAAACACTTAATTCTCACAGCTTCAGCCCTTCTCCAATGGTTATGGATGTCATCCAACATGTTGTGAGTGACTCCCCCCTTCCCTAGCACAAAATAAGTGCATTAGCTTCTTGCCCCCAGAATTTGCTAAAACCTAAGAATTCATCTATCTATAGTTGTACAATCCATCCACATTGATTTGGTCAAAAGCTATGTAAAACAAACAAATATGAGTCTTGATGGGTACATAACTCTTCAAATTACAAATTGACATTTCAAAATTTATTATACTGCTGGGTGCAAGTCCGATGTTCATATTTCTTAGGTCAGAAGCATAGGTGACGAGAATTATTTAAATTAAGTAATAATTAATAGCTCTGCCCAGTATAGTACCCAAATAAGCAGCCAACAGGATTCAATTCCACAAAATCCTGACTTCCACAGAAAAAATGGGGTTATTTCTCAATCTGGTTCATTTAAGGGTTTTTTGCCCTAGGCTTCAAGCATTTGCATATTTGCATCACAAAAAGGGCACACAACTTCATGCATAAAAAATTGCCAGAGTAAGGCATACCTAGATTGATCTGCCTAGCACAATCACTGTGACGATAACGTTCGACGAGCTCAGCCACCTCCTCCTCCGAAAGCGGATCTCCAAGAACCCAATTCCGCTCCTCCTCCCAGCTCTGCCGGTCGACTTCCTCCTGAACCGGTGCAGAAGTTCCCGTCCATTTGCGGTCGATCCGGCCAGGTCCAAAAGGAGAGAACTTAGGCGATTCTCGGAAACTTATGGGTTTGACGGAGTTGTCAATCTCGGAGTAAGAGTATTTGAAATCGAATGGAAGGTCCGATTTCAGAGGAAACTCGGGCTCTTCCTTGGTATTCGGAGCTTCCTTCGAGGTTTTGGTCTTGGACTTCTTCAGCTTTGGAGGTTTGAGAACAGGAGAAAACGGCGGGTCGTAAATGTCCTCCTCGTGAATGGATTGACTCAGGAAACGACGGAGAGTGAGGGGAAAGGTTGGAGATGCGGTAGCTAAACGACGGCTTGAGAATGAGAAGAGCCTCAGCATTTGGCATAAGAGAGACGGGAAGAGCTCCTTGGATCGCCGGTGACCGTGCGTGGCCGTACTCAGCACCGATGACACAGCGCTTGGACTACGAGGCTTGCGGAATTAGGAATCATACTAAGGCTGAAATTTGTTGCTGATTGAATGGGACTCGGACTAAATTATGCCTTTATGTAAATCTTTTATGATATATACAACAAATTAAATAATTGAGTAATTAATAATACTTTCTCGTCTTAAATTATAAAATATTTAAAAAAAAATTTATATATTAATAAATTTTATTAAATATATTTAATAATTTTAACTTTTTAAGATAAAATATAAAGTTTAAAAAATTTATCCTTTAATATATTAAAACAAAGAAAGAATTGAAATTAATTATAAAAAAATAATATAAAAATTAATACATTTAATAAATCTTAATTTAATTAAAGTGTCTCATATTTTAAAATAATTTTTTAAAAAAATATCTTATAATTTAAAATAAAAAAAAGTATAACTTATTTTACTGTATATAGCCCTACTTGTCAATAATTTTATTATATTTAATTACATTATATATAAAAGACTTAAACATGATACTCCCGTTATTGGTTCAATTTTTTTAAATGCTAATAAATATCTTTTTAATGACTAAATTTATACTCAACAATACACTTCAAATTATATTTAAATTTTGCTTATTTTATCATGTGGTTGTGGCATAATTATCATGTCTTGTATCTAGTTTTTGAATGTATTGTCTATTATGTTTCGCCCCCATAATTATCAAGTCTTGAACAAATCTTCCAATCTAACCGCCAGTTTTCATCCCCTGTTATTCTACGATTTGTTGCTCTACCTCCCCAAAGTCATTCCACTTCTTGTCTTTTAGGTTTTAATAATTCAACAAATAATTTTCTTTGTTCTGGTATGCATTGGATATTATAAAACAAAGGTAGTAATTGAATTAAATTGATTACAAAGACAAGAAGTAAAATGACAACTTAAGTTCATTTTATTGTTTAGAAGCTTACAGCAAGCGTTTATTCTTCCGTATTTATTTTATGTATGAAGGCCTAAGGGCATTTTAACCTTTACTTACTTTCTCTTCTCCCCCCCCCCTCTCTCTCTTTTAGCAAGAAATCATTTTCTTTTAAATTATTTTATTCGATAATTTTTTTAACTAAACAGATAAATAGAAATGCAGTTTTTTTCCTATTTACAACTTTACATCATAAACACATATCATTCAATTCTATTCCTTTCTCCTCTTCACTGAAGCCAATCTGCAAAATTATATATTTTGTCATGTCATGTCATATCCATCTTTATGTAAAGTGTTGTCCCACATACATGCCAGTATGAGAATAATACTAAAGTCCTCAGCACGGAAACTATGTAAAATGTTTGGTATGCAAGGTTGAGATTGAAATTGATTTTAAGTAATCCTACATTTAATATGTTTAGTATGAATCGCTCACTAATATTTAAGAGTATTCAGTTCCATTTAGGTGGAATATTCAAACCTACCACCACTTTGATGTTGCAAAATTAATTTTAGAATTGAAATTAACATGACTAAAATGCTCTCCTAAGAAATGCCCAGATCTAACCCCCCCATTCTTCATGGAATTTTTGCTCAAACACATTCACCATGGATGATTCCGGTGACGACTTCCTCTTGCCATAGATGACTTTCTCCTTTGCCGGCATCGCAAAGCAGAGAACAGAAACACAAACAAAAGCAATGACGATGGGCAAGCAAGATTTGTTTTCTTGTTTTAGATTGGGTGATGTGTGAGATTGTTTCGTTTTCAAATTTGATGATGGGCAAGCAAGAACAAAAGCAACAACGATGAAGGATTGTGACGGGATCATCTTCTTCCTCCCTTAATTGTGTAAATGTTTATATTTTCATATCTCATTTGGTATTAGACTTGCGTTCGAGAGCGTCTTCTTCTTCCCTTCTCTTCCACCTCCTCCTCAACCACCACCCTCTCCTCCAACTCCCCTACATCCATCTCTAAGAAGCTCCAAATTTGAAGTGCAGAGCTCCAGATCTGTCGCATCCTCTCCTAAATTGTGCGGTGTTCATCTTCATGACTGTATATTTTTTTTTATATTAATAATAAGGGGCATTTTCGTATTTTGCTCATTTCTAATGAATTAAAAAAAATTAATATAAGTATTCTCTTTAAATATTACTTCATACCAAACATATTTTTAAAGCTCCAATCCCAATCCCTCATATTCATTTCTCTGTACAAAATAGGGCCAAAGTTTCTCAAACTAGCATTGGCATTGCCTGCGTCAGGTTGTCAGATCAAATGAAGAAAGCTATGAAGCACCATTATGTAAAAATATGGAGCTGAATTGTTTTATTAGTCAAATAGATGATGGTTTTGACAGAACAGTCATTGAATATGGCATACCACTCGAAATTGTATCAGGACACTATATTTTGTTTGTGTCGTCTCATATATCTGTGTGCTTCTGAGAAAGAAAAGGTTTCAAACTTGATCTTGTCTGGTGAGCCTCTCCTCTTTAAACCGCCTCTGATATCCAACCATGGATTCAAAAGCTTCCAAAAGATTATCCAAGGCCCCATGATTCTCCCCAAATGCCTTCAACGCATGCACAATGCTCTCAATGGTGGACAAGTAACCATCTTTAGGCTCACGCCTTACTTCACTATACAAGCTCATCTTGGTCGCCTTCAGCTTTATATGGGGCAAAATGTTCAACCATGGGTTTTCACTGTAGACTCTTTTTGCCTTAGCCCATGTTCCATCTAAGACAATCAAATTCTTTATCTCAAAATCAATGGCATCAAGGTCAGTGATATCAACAGCTTTTTCAGAAGGAAATAGTAGTACTGATCCAGGTGGTACCTCAAGCTCAAATTCACATTCTTCGTCATCTTGCAGATTCATGCTTCCCTCTAACTTTCTCCTCTGCAACTTCTTCACCGAGAACCCTTTTGAGAGTGCTGCACAAGCTTCAGGAAAAGACAATATGTTAATAAAGCTTGGCTCCTGGCGTTGAGTTAGAGACCTCCATATATGAGACACAGAATTAATGACACCATATTTACCAATAACAATAGTAATAGCAGGCTCCCCAGTATTGTCATCTATCTGAGCATTATCATTCATCTCTACACAATTATTGGCACTTAACTTTGAATCAACCATATGAGTTACACCTAAAGTACAAACAAGAGAGCTTTTCACGGTCTCAATATCATTTTTCAAACTACATTTTCCAGCACTGAAGGATAAGTTTCCAGTTTCACTTTCTTTTCTGGAATCGGATGCACTAACATTTTCACCCACTGATTTCTGGGATTCTCCAATTTCCGAAGATGGATGAAAAACCAAACTATCTGAACCATTTCTAACCAAACCCGACTCAGAACCAGGTTTCATCAACCGAATTACGAACCGAGCTTCGAAATTAACATCTGAAACAGTCGCTACATTGAGATTCCTGAGACCTAGTCTGGCAATCCTAGTAGAATTAAGAGGGTGCTTACTCTCTAGCGAGTGTTGCAGAATGGTTACGCTTACCGAATTTTCGATGCCGGGGGTCAGAATCCGAGAGCAAAGGCATGTGCGGGTGGGTTTAGAACAGGATGGGCAGATGGGTCTCTTGGATTTTCCCTGAGATGTCGACATGGTTAGGGGTCGATGAAGAGGAAAGGGTTTCAGTTGGTGCGAAGGGTTGACGACGGCGTAGGAGAATCGGGTGTTGGATCGGATCAGGACGTTCGGATGCGCCATTATCTGGGAAGAGAAAAGCGCGTACCGCAGCGCGTGCTTGAGCATCCCGGAACAGCCGCAGGGTCCGGGGCTACACCCTTGTGATGTTTTTAATCTTAGCCGTCCAGTAGATCGAACGTCCATGTCGTGCCACATAATCAGAAACTGCAGAATGATTCTCAACTCATCATGCTCCGTACGGACCAGGGTCTCTCCCTTTCTTTTCCTTCCGTTCCCTCCACTTTTTCATTTCCATCATTCAAATTTTTTTATTAAATAATTTTTTAAATGAAAAAATTAATGAATGGTGGGGATAGAGAAAAATGGAGGAAAAGAAAGTGGAGAGACCCCACTTTCGCTCTGAACTTGGCGTGAGAAGCTGGATGGTCGCCGAAATTTATAATTTCATTAATTAATTAGTTTATCAGTCCTCAACTGACAATATAAAATTTTAAATTTTTGATATCTCACTAATTAAATGTAGCAATCTTTTATATATCGGCATGATTTAAGCTATTTTTTATATAGAGTTTTAACGTGGTCTTGTATTTAAAAAGAAAAACACATTTTGATTTCATGTAAAATTATTCATTTGGTTCATTCAGAATCTTCTTCTTCTTCAAGGCTCTTCATGTTTGAAGTTTGGATCCAACTTTTTGAATTGAATTTCATTTCAATTTTAATTATATATATATAATTGTCAATTTTTTCAAGCACATGAATTTTGACAAAAAATGATTTTAACAAAATAAAAATGTAAAATATGAATATTTCAAAGATATAAAATTTTTTTGACCTTTCAAACGTCAAATTTGAATACATAGAATTAGAATGCTTCCAAGGTAGGGAAAGGTTTATTACTTGGAGTGGAGGTGAAGGTATATATTACCATAAAAGCAAAACGATGAAATTTTTTTTCTAAAATATACAAACAATAATGAAGTCTCACATGATGCTATAATTTTTTTAAATTTCTATGGACTTTTTAAATATTAATAATTTTTAATGAAATAATTAAAATTCTTTTAGTTTAAAATAAAAAAGTAACACCTTTAGCCCCTGCAAAAGTAAATAGCAATTACTATTTTAATTAAATTATTTTCTGCTGGCAATGATTATAATAAAATAAATAATTATAATTCTTTTAATGTAAATTTTTAACTTACTGAAATTCAACTATTGTAAATATTTATGATTATAATTTAAATAATAATTATTTTTTTTCTTACATTGACTAAAATAAAATAAATAATTCCACCTTGCAACTTGAATGTATAAAAATTTAAATATGAAAATTTATAATTACTTATTTCATTATAGTTATTGCAAAAAAAACATTAAAATAATTATTGCTTAAAATAAAGTAGTCATTAATATTTATTATTTTGGAGCTAGAGATGACACTTTTTTATTTTAAATTAGGATATTTTAGTCATTTATCCAGAAATAATTAATGTTAGAAAGATGTCTAGAGAGATGAGAAGAATTATACAATTTTTGAGAGACTTCATTATTATTTGCATGCTGTAGAGGATTTTATGTCATTTTTCTTGCTATATTTATCACAGGCAAAAATATACCTTTAATTCTTTAGCTTACACATTTTAATTTTTTTAATTTTATAAAGTATATTTTTCATTCTTTAATTCTAATATTATTAATTTCATCACAAAAATTTAAATATTAAAATTTTAAATATTGATAGAACATTTTTAAATATTAACATATTAAATTTTATTTTTTTAAAATAATAATAATTGATACTAAAAATAATCATTTAAAATTAATGATGTTAGGTCTAGAAAACTGAATTTTTTTAAAAATTAAAAAAATTAAATTAAAATTTCATATAAAATTAGAGGGTTAAAACTTATTTCCTTCATTCAAAAATATAATTTATTTTTAAGAATTGAATGTTAAAAACTATAAAATATTTTGAGTCTTTCAAACTATAATTATTATCTTTTTTTAAGTATCTTTATTAAATAAATTATTTTTATATTTTTTAAAATATAATAATTTATTAAATATAGTTAAATATAAAAAAATAAAATTAATTTAAAAATAAATAATTATTTTATAAAAATAAAATTTAATTAAAAATATTTTATATCCTTAACTGGAAGGAGTAAAAGTTTATTTTTTAGTTTTTATTACTTAATACTTTCCAGCCGGAGGACAATATCGAGATTATAAGATAGTCCAGGGGTAAACTTGGAATACAAATTGACGCATGGTACTCACACGCCGCTTGGTCCACAGTTGACGAAGTTGTAGATTCCGATGATTTGATCTGTGAAACTCGGAGTCTCATTCTGTCCGATTTCGAGATTCTGATTTTCCTGGAAAACCCCATCCGAAGAAAATGCACGATTTCTGCTTCACGATTCCGTATGGGTTGATATTGGTGGTTGGAGGACTTTTTGGATATCTCAGGAAGGGAAGCATTGCTTCTCTGGGTGGAGGCGTCGGCTCTGGTTTGTTGCTCATCATTGCGGGCTATCTGAGTCTCAAAGCCTTTGAAAAGAGAAAGAACTCGTACCTTGCTTTGATTCTTGAGACGGGTATGGTTGTTTTCTCAGAAATGCTTACTTTGATTTGCAGTTCAGTGATTGACTTGGTTCTGGTTCTTAATTCTATGTCTGAATGAAGTTCTCTTCATCTGCGCACTTGTGGTCAATTGTACCCTGTTTTGTGTTTCTGCTAAATGCGATGAAGGTTCAAAAGCTTCTAGGCTCGAAGAGGATCTAAATTCATCTTGTGTTAAATGGATAGTTACTAGTTAGTAAAGAACTTGTTAAACGATTGAATAAATAAGAGAGAGTAGGGCGTTGATTGAAGATGAGATAACGATGGAGCTCTATGTAAACTTTTTTTTTTTGTGTTACTGTCTTTTAACTGGTGGTTTAATGTTCATTGTTTTATGATTTGTAATGGACTTTGGCAACAGCAAGAGCTGGTGGTTTCATCTGATGATTTGAAAAACCTATATTTGAAAATCGCTAATATGTACCTGAACAGTGACACTTATATCTGATCTGATACCACGCTTCGAATTGTATTTTGTCCTGTCTGTGCTGCGCCGTGTCTCGTATATGTGTCGGTGTTTGTGACTCTTAGATCATGTCATCTGTGATCGAGGATAGTTATGACAGATCAAAATTTAGGGTATGCTTGGTACGGGAAGTAGAAGATCGAGAGGAAAGTGAAAGTGGAGTGGGATGGACAAATCTACCAATATATCGTACATAAGTTTCAATTTTTGTCATTTACATACTCTTTCTAATTAATTTTTGTTGTGAATAACAGTTTGCGCAGCCATACTCACTTGGATTATGGGGCAGCGTTACCTGCAAACATCGAAGTTCATGCCTTCTGGTCTTGTTGCAGGGATAAGGTTAGTGGAGGATTAATTATGAGTATAAACTATAAAGCTCGTTATAGTTTAATATCCAGCCCAACAACTTATTATTTGATCTTCATGTCTATATCTTAAGGTAATATTTGTCCATCCCCGCACTTAGTTTGCACAATCAATACCATGTTTGTTGAGGATATCAAATAACTTTAGTTTCACACCAGAGAGGAAATGTCTATAAAAGCATCTCAACATTGTGAGAAATTTTATTTTTATATGTGGACTTATCCGCACAGTCGGTTTTAATGTTTTATTGGGTTCTCATAAGGAGAAAGAGGGAGAAAATGGAAATGAGTAGTTTTTTGTGTGGTTGAGTTGAAGTCTTGGCGTTAAGTTAGAACTTACTGCTTATTCATTAATCAGTTTCTTTAGGTAATATTTGCAAGCTAGCATTCATGCAGGGAGGCATTTTGTTTCTCATTTGTGATTAAACAACTCTAGGAAGAAGTTTTTGATGCTTGGCTTCTAAGACTAGTCAACTCACAACCATTCATGATTCACGGAGCACAAACAACTCAGCCTTAGGTGTTGAGGCGAAAGACTTTTGATTGATAATTCAAATTCTATGGCGTTACATTATTGAATATGATTCTTGATTCACGATCTTTAGATAATTTGTAATCAATTATCAATGTAGTGTTCTTAGGCTATTATGTGAGTAAAGTTTGAGGAACTAAGACAACTTCTTGTTCCAATTGCAGTGCTCTCATGACTGGGTTTATCTGTTCAAACTTGCGACTGGTGGCAATCACCTTCCTGCCAAGGCTGAATAACCCCTATCTATTCTTTCCGTGACTGTTGTGTACACATGTATGATGATCTACGTGCCTTTCTTTGTTTATTGATCTATAGAATATAATTTACATTCTTGTTGGTATCAGTGTGGAACTTGAGATGGTTGTGCTCTACTTGTCTTTACACTTATAAAAGAACTTGGTACTGATGTTCATTCACTTGGTTACACCTTCGCTAGTGTTTAGATTCATGGGTGGATTGGATACTATTATGAAAAGATACATTGCAGTATTTGAGGTGGGTCCTATTAAAATGATTCATATATGGTTCTGCATTTCTATGTATTATTTTCCTTAATGATTTTCTAGACAAGATTTAAGAGACCCTTTGAGCAGATTATCATCGTCATTTTTCTCGTTATAATATCATTGAGGTTGACCTGAATATAAGACGGATTGATTTTGATTTAAGCTCTTAACAATTATGTGACAATCTGCTGTAATCATGGATTGGGGTTTGGACATTTGGTGAAAATTTTATTTAATCTCTTAATACTCCTGTAAAATATAACCTTTTTTTTTTGGCCAAGTAAAATATAACGTTCAGATTCAACAAGTTGAAGCGAAGTGAAGAAGCCAAATAGTCCAACCGTAAAAATTTGGAAAAGGACATTTATTAAACGATGATTAACTTTTTCAGACTACAAAAAATTGTCAGTAAATTTTTGTTCACATGTTGTTGTGGCAAGAAAAATTTTTGGGCTTTACTCAATGGCTCCCAAAGCTGGAATACCCAAAGCATAAATTTGAATAGGCAAGGCATGAAATAAACTGTCCACATAACACAGTTTTCAAATCCTATATTTACAAAGAAAACCCAAATGACGTGCATGATTTGATACAATAATGTGTATTGTTCAACTAAACCTTCCTACTTTAAGAATCATGCATGTAAAAATAGAAACTACGACCTCGGATACTCTATTTCTTCACTCTTTCAATTTCAAAATGAAACAGACAGCAAGTATATAGAACTCATCACACCAGTGAGTTCCCCAAATACAAATAGAACCCACTATTTAGGTGAGTTAAACATATTCTGTCTCTCTCTCTCTGAAATTGATGAGAAATGAGAACAATAGATGTCGAAGATGTCGACAATCCAACCCCTAAAGAGTCCCCAAAATCTAAGAGGACGCAAAGATCTGGTGAGGCAATCAATGAACACCAGGTAGGAGCAAAGCATGGGAAGCAGCTTAACAATTCTCTGGTCTAAAATACTTTGGAGGCAGAGAAGAGCACCTTTCATTCATATGAGGATATGGTTTCAGGGTGTTGTATTCAGGCAGCTCCATTCTATACTTTCCTTTAATTTGACAATATGGCAGCTTCACCGTGTCTTCACTGTTGCACCATTTCGGCAAGCGACTTGAATTATTCTCAAAAAAACTGAGCATGTAAGCATCTTTAATCTGCCATTATAGATCACAAACATAAGTTTCACTTGCAGCAACTGCTACAAACAAGTTCTTCAATTAAGTCATTATGGTAAGGCCATCAATTAGCATTCAATTCCTTTTGGAAAGTAATAAAGGAGTAAAATCATAGATATACCAGACAGATAAAAGAATAAACCAGATGAGTAATAGTCTCAAGCAAAGCCTAAGGACAGCTTTGATAGGAAAGGAATAATGATGACAATAACAAACTTTATCCTACTAAATGAGGTAAAATATATGCATCGTATGATGTCATTTGACCCTATCAACAATTAATAGTTCACCCTTGACAACAACACAATATAAAAAAGGTCAGCGAACCATTGTCAATGAATCAAAGCAATAACCCTCATCCTTTCGCATACGAAGGAGCATCAAAAATTGAAACGCAATGAAATGAGCAATCTATCAGTCTAGTGACCATATCCTTCACTTAATTCTTTTGACTAGAGTCCTCTACAACTCAAACAACCTAATTATGACACTTCTGAAAGGTAGCTAAACCAGCATGGAGTCAGAACAAGATGGGGCAGCTGTCACGTAGGAATGTTATTATAAGAGCACAAATCTGTACTTATCTGAACAACCAACCAAACACAGCTTTGTTATTAGAAAGATACAACTTGAATATTTTCAAATCGTCCATCACAAACTCACCGTAAACTCTGTCACCTGAATAGAGCTTGCAATTGGGTCAAACAATCCCGCTTCCTTGTACATTTCTAGAATGAATGCGACACAGGAAGTAGACTTCCCATCACTGTAAATCCAGTCATCCTGTTCTGGAATAGTCATCAGCTCAGCAAATGATGATCCTCGCTTTTCAACTTCTACCAAGATTTCAGGAAGGGAAAGTCCCTACAGAACCACAGAAAAGTCATGTCATTGACACATTTCTAATGAATTGAGAGATCCCAGATAATCAGAAAGCAGTCAAGAATAGAGATACAGATGCCAATCATGTCAAATGTACTCATCTTATACACCCTAAAAATGGGTAATGCATATATAGGGATGGGCTCCAATTCCAATTACCAATTTGTGTTACTTATCTATGCAATGGATGAGAAGTACCCATCCTATACATTAGAGGGCATTGATTGTACAGTATCCACATGTCAAAAAAGTTCAGCACAAAAATGAGATAAGTAAATATTGAAGCATACTTTAGTTCCAAGTCGTTTGTTCAAGGCTTCATTCCACATGTTGGCAGCATATTCAGGTTGGATCTGATTCCAAACTGTCATAACAGAAGCAACCTACAAGATAACACAGCCATTGATCAAAAGACAAATGAAAAATCGCAAGCTTTATCACAGTCAGTCATGTGAGTAAAGTTATTCTTATCAGTCTTTTTCAGTGAAAAATAAGCAATTAATTATGGAACCATATCAATTTGATGATGCTATACTCGAGACAGAAATTTTTGAACGTTCATCAACTAGCTTAATAGCATAATGAAACTGTGGCAAGAGCACAAATATGGTTATTTTGATTTTATTCTTGAAATAATAGAAGCCTATGATTTCATGGCTTAAAGGCCAATATCTCAAGATTGTCACATTGAATGTCAAAGCAAGCTTAAAATTTTAAAGCATCAGTTAAGACTAATACCAAATGAGCATCCAAGGGGGGAGGATAGTTCCCGCTTATGGTGTCTATCCAGCTGAAAATCATGTTATGGTAACCATATGGTTTGCCATCCATGCTTTGTGCATACTCCCATGCAGCAGTTTCATTAAACTTGGCACGCATGTCAGGGTGCAAAGGAAGAAGGGCAATATGAGGGTTGGAATCATCTTTATTGACTTCAAATTCCCACCATTCTTCCCACGGTAATACAGCAATAATATCTTCTCCCTATAAACAAGAAAAGGAAGGAAATTAATCACTTGCAAATGTATCTTCTGCACAGCTTTACTGGCCACTATACCTTCAAATGATCCAACTAGCAATACGGGCCATTGATCATAAAGGAAAATCAACTCTCGCCAAAATGATTACTAACCTGAAGTTTGAGCTTTAGGCAAAGTTGAGGAAGTTTAAAATAATATAAAAGGCAGAAGCAGATCAGGGAGGAAATAAGCATAAAGACGACAACAACAACAATAATGACAAGGAGTTTTATCCCACCAGGTGAGAAAGAAGCATGAAGACACTGGGAAAAAAAATATTGGATCACAGAAATATGTTTTCTTTTGGAAGGGGCATTTTGAAAGACAACAAATGCAGTTGATTTTAAATATTAAAAATGAAAGCAAATAAAATGAACCGTTCTCACAATTCAAGTTGGTCAAAGACTACCTTTATGAACATATCGAGGATTAACTATCTGTATGAAATATATAAATCAGGTATCAAACACAAGAAAAGTATTTACCTTTTCATTTTCATGTCCTGACTCCCCAACCCATAATTTCCCATCAGAATCCCTCAGGCAAACAGCAGTATGACCAGCATATGCTCCACTGACCCATTTCTCCAGAGTCTCAAATGCACCCCAGCGGCCTCGAATTTTTGAAACAGCAAGGAAATCTCCAGAGTGAATGTCATCAACACTGACATTTGTAACCCATGGCTCAGGGCGTGCATCAAAAGAAGCTCCCATGTGCTTATTCAAAAATCCAAGATTTGCCTTCTCGCCCCATCCAGTATTTGTAAATAAGGGGAAAACATCCCAAAGAGCTCTAAGGGTCCCAAGCATTCCAGCTTTCATGAGGAAAATTGAAACCCCTCGATTTTTTACCTAATTTCATAGAGTAAGGATTCCTAAAAGTGAATAAGAATTACATAAAACCTAACGAAAGTAAAGTCTAATTAAGGCCACTTACATACTCAAACTCTGCTTTCCCTTCCCATTCTTCAAAATTTAGTTTATGCTCCCGAGACAGGAAATAATAATCCCATGTTACACGATATGGAGTGGCAAAGACATAAAGATCCATACATAACCAACTATGAGCCTTGCTAACCTGGATGAGCACATATATACTCAGCAGCTTCCTTTAAAGCCAGAGTCAATAGGAAAACTGCATATATAGAGACATACAAATATAGAATAGCAATCTAAATAAGGACATACACTTGACCAGCAAAATCAAATTCCTGAACTATTCCATTTGTCAACAAAAGTACAAAACTACTTAATAATATTAATAGAATAACAAACATAAAAAAAATAGAAAACTGGAGGAAGTTAAACCAGAAAGTTTTAATACCAAGGACACTAAAAGGAACCTGTAATTAGAAAACCACGAAGTTCAGAATCCACCTACGTATTTGAAGTTTAATCATATCTCACTTTCAAACCCTTAGATTCAGCAAAATGAAGTTTAGACAATCGTTGATATTCAATCTTCACCGAAACAACACTCATTCTAACACTACCACAGAATTGAATTTGTCAGACTGTCTCAAGTGATATTTATTACCTCTAACATTTCACCACGATTAACACAATATTAGACCATATGTGTGTGTTTGAGTTTGAGTTTGAGTGTGTGGCAATAATCAATTGCAGCACTACCCTCAATACCGAACTGAGAAGAATGATTGAAGTTCACATTGAAGTAGTGAGATAGCAAACTCAGAAGCTAACCTTGATATGAAGCGTTCCGCCACCGAATTCGGTGCCGCTATTGTTGTGAAACTCCATCCAAGCCCTGTTCTCGGAGAAACACGAGCCGTTCCACTCCAGAGCATTATCGGGGGACGAAACGGCACCGACGAAGGAGGGAAGAAGATCGACGGCGCTGTGGAGGGAGTTGAGGATAGGCCATGAGACCTGTCTGGGCAACAGAGGGAGCAAGTCTTGTGGGTGAAATGGAGATTTGAAGCACCATAGTTGCAGGCTCAAAAGCGATGTGAGAATTATGGGTATGCAAATTAGCTTGAGAAGCGAAGAAGAAGATGGAGAGGAAGCCATGAGAATGAGAGAGAGAGAGAATGGAAAAGGAAGAGACTTGTTCGCTGGTTTTCGAGTCCTACTTCATTCTAGAGAAAGCTAACCAGATAAGTCAAATGGACAATTGAAATACGATGTGCACTGATTGTGAGGCATTTTCATCACTCAAAAATGGACATGGAAATTTGTTGTTTTGTTAAAAAAGATAAATCATACCAGGGAATCCAATCTTACAAAAATGGTGTACTGTGTGTTGTCCCCAAAAAATCTTACCAAATTTATAATGAAAAAAAAAAGACAATAACAATTAACGATCTCATGACAATATCAACACCAACTTAAGATCTCGAACATTTACAATTAACGTTTCCAAATTCAGTCTCCATCCCTTATGCTTCAGCACCAAAATCTTTAGAAGATCTTGATTTGCATTAATCTTCAGGTCTTACTTGTCACTCCATAAAAAAAATTATAAATTTCATAAACTGGCCCACCGAACGTACTTCTTCTTTTTTTATTGTTGAAGGGTAGGCACAGAATACCAAATGCCCGTCAGCTAAAGTTAAAAATAAAAGTGAAATTTAAAAAGTTAAATTTACAGGTCTTATTTAAATGAGAGTTTAAATTTTAAAAATTAATTTTTAAAAAATAATTAAATTTAAAGGTCTGATCTTAATAAACCTTATAAAAAAAGGTTTGGGTGGCCCTTCAAACCTTAAAAAGCTGAGTTATTTTATACACACACATAAATGCATATATTTGATTAATAATAACACAATTTGATTAATATTTATTATAAATGATGAAAAGAAGTTACAAAGATAATTAAAATTAAATCTCTACCTCCATATATAATAAGTGGACTTACATTTGAGGGATTTAATATTTTATTTTTAGATAATAATGAGGAGGATTTAGATTTACATTGATGAAAATTTTAATCTTCATCTTAAATTTTAAATTTTAAATCTTTACCAAATTTTATATTGAATTTTATGTGAAATTTTAATATATTTTATATTGAATTTTAAAATATTTTGTTTAAATTAAAATATTGAATTTTTTTTAGAAAAGAGGACTTAAGGGTCAAAGCTTGAAGTTTATAAATAAGGATCCAGTCTCACAATTAGATCAAATTTTAAACAATTGAGCTTTACAACTTGAGCCTTTAAGGTTGAGCCAACCCTGATTCTCACTTCTACTTGTGGAGTGTGTTTACGGTTACGGCTGATTGGAAGCAGCATATAAAACATGAAGGAATCTAGGAAAAAAAAATGCACTTGGCCCCAGAAAAATCTCCAAAATTTATGATGAAAAATTCTTAAATTCAAATTCATATAATATTTAAAACTCAAAAGGTTATTTTAGTTTTTCAATGAATAAATGAAAAATCTCAAACACTTAGTTTTAAAACGTTAACACCAAGATTTCTTCTTAGAATTGCAAAGATTTTTTATGTCATTATTAATTATTCATAACAAATTATAAATTTGTTATAATATGGTTTTTAACTTTTATAACAAAAAAGTTACAAATCAAACTTTCTTTCTTTCTTCTCCTATTGTTTTGTTTTTTTTTTTTTTTTTTGAATAAATGAAGAGGCAGTGACAAGACTGCCAACATAAAACCATTACAAGCCTGTTCCAGACCAAGAGTCAGACGGACGAAGAGCCAGATGCATCCTAGGTACGGCGTTAGGTCCTTGTTTTGCTAACCAGTTAGCTCCCCTGATCTGCTCCCCGCAAAATAAACTGCAGTCGCACATCCCACCTTCTTTTAAGGAGGACCAAGACTTCCTTGGTCAGATCCTGGTGATAATGTTTAGGATTCGATTCATGACATAACTAAGATTATCTATAGAATCAGTCTCAAACAGAATCTTTCTAAAACCAAGAGTCTCATGCCATTAGAAAAATTAATTATTTGATTATTGTAATTTTAATTTAATTATAACTTAATTATTAAATTTTAATTCATTATAACTTAATTTTTAAAGTTTTATATAATGATCTTAAAATTTTAAATATATATATTTTTTTTTTTGCTCAATTTATATTTTATTTAAATTAGTTTTTATGATAAATGGAAAGTGATGCTTTAGTGAAATTTATGCTAATAGTTTATTTAAAGGTCCAGAATTTAAATTCTTTTAAATAATATGTTAAATTTTATTAGTTTAAAATTTTAAAAAGAATTACAGAAGTGCCCGTTTCTCTGATGTTATTAGAGGAAATTATCGATCAGACGCACGCAGAAGGATGAAACATTTCTAGATCCTTCGACTCCAGCTATTCACCGATGCTAGCTCCCTCTGTTCCTCTTCAATTTTTTTTTCAGTGAGTTCTTGTCATTTTGCCTTCAGTCAAGTCTTTCCTATTTTCTTCTTCTTTCTTCTCTTTTTCGGCGATGCACACACGTTTTGGACCAGAGGTTGGAGTTTTTTTTTCCCGATTCCAGTAGCTTCGAACCTTAAATTTGAAAAATCCTTTCCTGTCATCTTCCTCTTCGTGGTCTGATCCTCTAGCCAGTGACAATAGCATGCTTGTCGTCGCCTAGTCGTCTTCCTCGCTCAATGATCTACCTTCTCCACTCACGGCTGTGTCGTTGCTGATGCGTGGGAGCTGATGCATGAAAGCTAAGACACCAAACTGAGCTGCTATCCATGATTCTTTTTTATTCTTGGTTTGATTTTGCTGGCTCTGTTCTTCTTTTTTCGCGTGATGCATCGGATTTTCCCTCCCTTATCTCTCCTCTGTTGGTATGCTACTGTAGGGGTCATGGTTACAGTCTTCTTCTCCATCTTCTCTGCTTCGCACGTATCCAGTAACATCAATCTCTATATACCTGATTCGAACGGCAATAACCCCTTCTTCTAGCTTTCGTCATTATTAGTCTGAGCCCTAACCCTCTTCTTGTTCTTCTTCTTTGCTCGAGTCGTGGCTACTTCAAGTGAGGGACTTTGATTTCATTTTTCATTGTTGGCTTCTTGTGCGTGAGTGTGCTGTAGTGGTTGAAACTATGAAATTTTCTTGTTTTGCATTGCTGTGTCCGTTGGAGTATGAATAGGAAACTAATTTAATTAAAATTTGTAGTATAAATGAAAAAGAAGAAGAAGAAGAAGAAGATAGGTGTCAGTTTGAATTTTATTTGAACTTGATGTAATTATGATGTTGATACATTATTGGGCAATTGACTGGGGTTTAAAATAACTAAGAATTGATGTTTGGTAGGTATTTGTTGAAAGGTCTGAGAGGGGGATCTTTTATTATTTAATAATTTAGCTTTGGTCAAAGTCATATGAGAAAACTGTGATAAATGATGATGCTTAGAAAATTTTAAATTATTTGGATCAATTATATTGTCATTGTTAGAAGGAAGTTTAACGAAATTGTAAGGAGCCTAATAAATTCCTATTGTATAAGGGGATTGGAAGAGAAGAGAAGTTGGTACTATAGTTTAAATAATAGTGCTTGTAAAGCATTTGGTGAAATGCTTATTAGAAGAATCTAACATAATGGCAATATAATGGCAATATAATGGCAAAATATATATATATATATATATAATATATATCGATGATAGTTATTTTGTTGTTAGCCAAATATTATAAAAGACTTTTTATAATGAAAGTTGAGGTAAAACCAAAGATTTTTAGAATAGGCATCTTGCTTGGTAATTCGTGGGCAAATTTGCTATTAATATGTACGTCTTTGGAATTTATATGGAATTATTGGTGAAAAAAAATGTTGGAGTGAAAATTTATCTGTCTTTATCTTTTGAATTAAATTGATCTATAGATTTTGGGTTCTAAAGTGTAGATAAGAAAATGATTATAGTATTATTTTGGCATTAGGAGATTAAAGGCCAAGTATCATTGCCAGAAGATTAAATTGGAAGCAAATTATACTTTAAAACCCTTCAGGTAAATAGATAACGTCCTAATTAATTTATATATTTAAAATTTTTTTTTATCAATTATTATTTTGAATAATTTATAGTCATGAATATATGCCACTCTAGCATTAATTAATGTTGTTGATTAAGTTTCTTTAACTCTTGAAGTTATTATAATTTATACTTATAAGATTGACAGAAATGCTTTTATAATTCTAGTACTCTTTTATTCAATAAAGACAATCATGAAAATGGGTGAAGAAGTTTATGGAATGTTAGTTGTGAATCTTCATGTTTTAAACAGTTCATGCAAGTTTGATATTGAGAAGAGAAAAGTTTATTTTGAAAGTGATAATTTTCTCACAAGTTTGAAAATGAATTTCAAAGGGACTTTATACAGAACACTAGTTGCTAATGACAGTTCTGTTGGCCCTTAGGGCATCATGGTTTACCTAGCTAGAATGGTGTTTATAGGAGGTGCTAGCCCCGTGCGATGGCCAACGCACATGGAACGGAGAGATAGTTATTTCGTGAGCATTGTACTCATGTTGTTTTATGGCTTTGGTTGCATTTGGTTACCTATCCCGTGAACTATGTGTCCACGTTTGTTTCGTGACTTCAGCTGCATTTGGTTATTTACTCTCGTGGACTGTATGTCCACGTTTGTCTTCGTAGCAAGAGCCGCGTTTGGTTATTTACTCTCGTGGACTGTGTGTCCACGTTTGTTAATTATTCTGATAAGTCCTTATAATATGAATTTGATTATTTAATGATTTTACATTCCATCAGTTTTAAATTAGAAAATTATTTATAATTATTTATTTTATTTATTTACTTTCTTGTAATCAAATGATAATAATATTTGATATGATATTTTAATAGTTCAAGAATTTATTTAAACTTTATAAAATTTTTATTATTTTTGAAGTTTATGAAATTTTATGAAAATCTTTGCCTCTTTGAATTGCATAATTGTTTCAAATTTTTTTTATTCATGTTCAATTATTTATTGTTAGGATATTATTCACGGAAAAAAAATATTTTGATCTCAGATGGTATAGTTGAACTTATGACTTGAAATATCCACTAAGGAGTTTTATTGTTGAATTGAAACAAAAAAATTATTTTAGTCAAATCCTAATTTGATGAAAATTTAAACTTTATACCTACTTTGGCATCTGGCCTCAGGTGTTTTATATAGACTACAGGTAGGATCCTCACATTTCTTTTAAAATTGAATATATGATTTAATATTGTAACAATTTATAATTACTCTATTAGTGTATTCAACATATTAATTTTAGAGTTTATCCGATTACGGCTTAAGGGATGTGAGTTTTGTGCCCATATCTCATGCCGGTCACACCTATTTTTGGGGTGTGACATTTTCACTCGATTGTCACTCAGTCTCTAAACCTTAACTATTATAATTCAATCCTTATAATTTTAACAACTTAAATATTGGTTCTTATATTTAAAAGCTAAAATGATAGAAATCAAAATTATGTTAAATTTATTACTAATATTTTTAAATTACTAAACTCTTTTAATCTTTATGAATATTAGGGTTAAGGTGCAATTTTACCTTTAAACTATTCTCAGAGGAGTAATGTTGCTTCTAAACTATTTATCGTAGTAATGTTATCCCTAAATTTATCAAATCGGAGCAATGTTATCCCTACATTTAAAACGTTCATTACTGTAGCTAATTGGATTCACTTTCATGAGTTAAGGTGTAATTTTGCTTTTAAATTATTCTCAGAGAAGCAATGTTGCTATCACTATTTAAAAATTCTAAAATTTTAAAAAATAAAATTATAATAATATTAAAAGTATATATATGAATAAAATTATAATAATATTAAATAAAAATAATTTTAAATTTATATATAAAATAAACATTAGAAATTTAAAATTTATAAGTTTAATATTATTATAATTTTATTCACATATATACATTTAATATTATTTTATTTAATACTATTATAATTTTATTTTTTTAATTTTATAATTTTTAAACAGTGATAGCAGCATTGCTCTTTTGAGAATGGTTTAAAGGTAAAATTACACCTTAGCTCATGAAAAGTGGGTCACACTAGCTACATTAACAGACGTTTTAACGACGAAGGCAACATTGTTTTAATTTAATTTGTTTAGGGACAACATTACATAATGAATAGTTTAGGGACAATATTATTACAATGAATAGTTTAGGAGAGACATTGCTCCTCTAAGAATAGTTTAAAGGCAAAATTATACCTTAACTCTAAATATTATAAATATTAAAATTTTAAAATATTTTTAATAGTTTTAATTTTATTTTTTAAAATATAGGAATTAATGTTTAAGTGGTTGAAACTATAAGACAAAATTTAAAGATTGATTTACAATCGAATTAAAATCATAAAGACTAAGTTACAACGAGTTAAAATTTAAAAATTAAATTATTTAAAACTATAAGGATTAAATAATTAATTTTTTCTGTGCTGTTTTAAGTTTCAGCAAGCATGCCCAAATTTCTGCAATCAAGCAGTCACCTTCAACCAACCTACAAATGAAGCCTTGGATTTATAAAAAAAATTTGAAGAAAACACATATCTACATGTTCTTATAGTTTTACTCAATTTTAAATTAGGTCCCTACAATTTATTTATTTTGATTAAACCCTTATGGTTTAACTAATTACTTTTTTTAATCCCGAAAAGTTAGAATCCTAACATTTCTCCTTTAAAAAGAAAATTAATAACTTTTATATTTTTATTAAATGATTATATGACAAAATTAATTACATTACTTTTATAACTCAATATTTATATAATTAATTTGTCTTTTAAATATTTTTTATACATGTAAATTTTCATAAAAATCAATTTTTTTAGCTAAAAGTATTAAATTAATTTTTTTGCAACTCTAAGAATAGTTTTGTTTTGTAAAATTTAATAATTTATTATTAATTTTAACCTTCAAATGTCAGTACATATAATAGATGAAATTATAAGAGCTTGATTAAAATAAAATAAACTGTAGGGATCTAATTTAAAATTAAATGATATTGTAAGGACTTGCAAGTATATTTTTCTTTGTTTAAATTATTATAAAATTAAAAATTATTATCATTATATTTTTTGTTAAAAGTTAAATTGCTCAAGTCTTGATAATAGTTTAAATTTTGTATAAATTTTACAATCTTGAGTCATCAAACGTAATTTGTCCCTTTTCTTTTTTGCTTTTTTTATTTATCTTTGAAGGGTTGGTACACACATGCCCCTTGCCACTTAACCATGACTGTACGGAACAATGAAGTTAGGATTGCAAAACTACAAAAGCCAAAAGCCGTGTTGCCCTGGCCCCACGAGAAGTCGTTGGTTGAGAAAAATAAGAAATCCACTACAAAGTTCCTCACAAATATTCTAATTACCATAAAATTTTAAAAAAGTAAACAAATTATCTTTTAAGTTTCAAATTTTTTTCACTTTTAATAAAATTTATGTTATAACTACTAAAACACCCTTATTCTTTTTTTTAAAAAAATTCAATCAATCCAATCAGCACTGAGGGTGCTCCGAGTGCCTAATAGATGGCGACAAGAATTGTCTAAAGCTCCAGCTACTAGCAGTAGATGAGTTGCTTTTTTTTAAAAAAAAGTAGGAGAAGGGTGTTTTAGTAATTATACATAAAATTCATTAATAAATAAAAAATTTAAGACTTGACGATCGTTTATGTATTTCTGCGGATCTTATGATAGTTAGAATTCCAATAACTATAAGGGACATTGCAGTGACGTTCCCTTACTAGCTTTCGGTAGGACAATTGGTAAGAATTGAACTCTTACCTCATAATATTTAGTAGAACATTGTTAATAGGTAATATTAGATCTCATCAATTTATCTAAACCGAAAAAAAAAAAAGGAGTTGACTGATGAAGCATTTGAACAGAATGAAAAAAATAAATCCTCATATTGTTTACAATCAGAGTTAAATTTGTAAAAAATAAACCCTGAACAGGACCTGCTTTGATAATAATGGTGTTAAAAAAGTTAAACGGTCAAAGTTTATTTTACTATAAATTTAAAAATTTAGGGTTTATTTTACATATTTTAAAAGTTCAAGGTCCAGGACGATTTTCAAGCAAAATTCAAGGTCATATTTACTTGTTAACCCTAAAATTTACATAATATTATATTATTTATAAATTATGAATAGTATATTTTATTTTTTAATGTAAAATAAAAAAAATGCAAATCTAAAGAGTTAGCCTTGTAATCTAATAGCAGTATTCAAACTCCCCTGTAAGTGAGAGATGATTGTGGGTTCAATCCTTTTTATAATTTTAGATTATAACTTATAAGTACCGGTCCTTGTAATTCAAAAAAAAAAATATAATTATTAGTTGCTATGTTTTTATCAGATTATGCTTTTGATTCTTATAATTTTTTTTAATGTCTTCAATTATTATGCTTTTGATTCTTATAATTTTTTTAATGTTTTCAATTATTATGGGAACTAAAAATTAAACACTAAAACTATGAGAACGTAAGAAAAAAACATCACTCAATCTTACTAAAACTGCAAGGATTGAAAAATATTTGAAAAAAAAAACTATAAAAATAAAAAAATTGATAAAACTATAAAAATCAATGATTTTGTTTTGTTTCTAGAAAAAATAAAGCGACAGAAAAGACACTTTAAACGTACACTACTCATCACCTGTAAATTCATCAACTCCACCTCAACTGTAGATTTTAACGAAGAGTTTTCATTGATAATTGTTTATTTCAAATAGCAGAATAGCATATTTCAAAATCTATATAACATTTTTAAAAAGGATATAAGTTTTTATGCATATGTTGTTTGATCTATTTTAAGTAAACTTAAATAGGGTGTGATTATGATACTCATCCCATCAGTGGATATGAATACTACATTTAAATCTGGAAAAATGAAAGTAGTCAATGTCTAAGGAAGGATCATTAGAATCAGAATATTCCAGAGTTACAGGTATATTCTGTGCGCTTGTGTGGGGAGAAAACAGTACATTCTCTTTTAATTTAAACATTTACGCAAAGTGGAAGTGTGATTAAAATCCTGTGCAAAAGTGGTTAACGTTACGCTTATTTTTTTCTTTCACGTTAATGGAGAAAATTTTATGTTTATTAATTTACATGATAATAAATCAATTAAATAATTACCAAGGTAATAATAAATTACTAATATATACACAAGTTATAAGAGTGAATAGCGTCAGAAATCAAATCAATTGTGGTCCCAAAAATTAGAAAATATCAACACGTTACGCAAACCGATAGTATGATTCAAAAGCACGAATGATACGATCCACGTTTGAATACGTAACGATAAAAAATCCCGTATCATCTACCATATAGATGTTCGAACATTTGAATTTTGACCAATTAAACAATTTTTTTAAAAAAAACAAGAGGCCTTATGATTGGACAGCCTTGATAGAGAGAAACATTTGAACAAATGAAATTAAAACTAACAATTATTTTAATAATTAGAGTGGCACAGCAAAAGCAAGGTGGGTTCTGATAGACAGGATAGATTTCATGTGCTCCCCCCCCTCCCAAAAAAAAAAAAAACCAAAAGTTTTTGCTTTTGTTGAACTATTTTCTCAGGATGATTCTTTTTTGGTCCTTTTATTAGCTTTTTACCTCAATATGCTCCATTTTTTTGGGCCACATGTTGTACAAATTGTGGATTTAATGGGCCATTGATTTCAATTAAAAAGTCTCTTCTTTTCTGGGCCATTAACTTTGACCATCAAAAAGGTCTTAAAAAACAGGTTCTGGTACTGTTTTTAATTTGCAAAAAATTTTGTTCGCATAAGATGAATCCGAATTTTGTCTACTAAAACATATTTTCCCATGTTTGTGAATAAAACTTAAATTAAGGTTGTATTATTTAACACTTTTGGAGAAGTATATCCCTTTAAAAAAAAATAAAACATCAACTTTCGTTGATTAAACCACACAAGGTTATTATTAACAGAAGAGATACATTTTTTTCATTTATTATTCAAAACTGCTCTTTCTTTCATTAATAGAGAAATTGATAGATAGTACATCACTTTCCAATGTCTCATTATTGAGCGCCAACAACAATTATTAAAAAAAAAAAAAACACAGAAGTATAACCAATGTCACGAGAAACAAGAAATAGCTTCACCTGCAAAACTTCTCACATAACATTCCCAAACAAATGCTGCTCCTGAACCCAGACTCTTGACTAGTCATAGAGAAACAACATGACCACCGCCTTGAAGAACTGTTAAAGTAGACTTGACTCACCAACAATATATATAGACCAACCCAATCACAAACACACGCATAAACATGCAGCCACACAAGCTTTTAAGTGAGATCGAGCTTAGACATGTTTATATGTTTCTTTGTAACCAGCTTGGCGCACAGAATTTTCCATTAACTAGGTCTGCTCAAGAATTTCTCCATCAGCTTCATACTTTGAGATGCTTGATGGCCGTTTGAACATCCTTGTCGCCTCGGCCGCTGCAGTTAACGACGACCTTTGTTCCATCCGGAAGAGATGGGCAGAGCTTCTCGAGATAAGCTAGAGCATGAGATGTCTCCAACGCTGGAATTATGCCTTCTAGTCTGGACACTCTCTTGAATGCTGCAAATATGATGGCAATGGATTAAATAAGACTAAATGGGCATAGATATTAATAAGGTTGTAGGATACGACAACACAATGCAGATTTTGGAGTGTTGTGTTGTATCTGGATGTGTCTTGGTTTCAAAATACTAGTGATTCTTTTAGGAGATAGAAATAAGTTACAGGTGGTGAAAAAGCAATAATTTCTGATCACAGAATGGAATAAGAACTTATATTATTATATGCATATGAATAATGCCGCTTCAGATTATTCTACCAAATATGGGGTTTTGTTTGCAGCTTTCACTGAGAATGAAGCCACCAAGAAACTTAGAATAATTGCAAAGGATATGCTATCTTTAGGAAGTTTATTGTCATCTGTTCAGGTTGTGTGAGGTTAAAGTAACATCATCGGCTGCTTATTTATTTAGTTAATTGTGCAAATATATGCGCGCGCATGCTAATGCCACCCAAGAAACTCTCCCCAGGACCAAAACTGATTATTGCAGTGTTATACTTCTACATGATTGTTAGTAAGCTCCCTTGAATTTCAACAAAAGAAGCCTTTGGGAAGTAAATGTAACCAAGAACAACTTAATATTGCCAAAATAATATTTCCTTCGGCAATGATATTCAAATATTCCAGGATAATCAAGAATATGTACTTCAAAATAGTGGGGGCAAAAAATGTCTCCTCCTTCAACACCTAAGATTGATATCATTTTAAACTGCAACAATCTTTGTGGGTTTTAATTCAAAATCTATACTAGTCTAAAGTATTACAGAGGCATCTCAAGTATAGAATTGGAATGTATCATAACAGCTACTACTTTCTACACAACCATCTTGCTAACAAAACATGGACGCTGTATTTAAAAAAAAAAAAAGATTGCATCTTTGTATAAGCAATAACCAGTGAGTTATGACAAACAATTTTCTTTCTTACTTTAACAAGATCAAACTCTGAAGTGATCGCTCTCTGATTTTCTAAAGAGTGCTTTTACTAATGATGTTCAATACTGTAAGAATTAAGATATTGATGAAGAACAAAGTGACAGCACTATGAGAAGGATGAAAACAACATATTCATTGACATTCAAAATTCAAAAGCCACTCTAATTTTTCACTTTGACATTTTCCATCAGAAACAACTACATAGTAGACAAAACAGGGGAAAGACTCAGTATTTATACCTTCCAATGCTTCTTCATCAGTAACATTGTAATATTCAGCACGTGCTATATCTTTCAAGAAACTGTGCTCTGGCCCGACACCAGGGTAGTCCAAGCTATACACATTACAGGAATAAAAAGCAGATTTAGAATAATTGAAATCACCATGGACACAAGGAAACTGATGTGGGAGCATTGAAAAATTACCCTGCACTGATCGAGTGAGGCTCAATAATTTGACCATCATCATCTTGCAAAAGATAGCTCATAGCTCCATGCAAAACCCCAACTTCTCCTTTTGATAACGTTGCAGCATGCTTGCCACTATCAATACCCAAACCAGCAGCTTCCACTCCAATTAGCTTCACATCTTTGTCATCAACGAATTCATGGAAAAGTCCCATGGCATTTGAACCTCCCCCAACACATGCTACTAGCACATCTGGTTTCCCTCCCCATTTCTCCAATGCTTGTCTTCTAGTTTCCTTGCCAATCACTGCATGAAACTCCCTTACCATCATCGGATATGGATGCGGCCCAGCAACTGAACCCAAAATATAATGAGTTGTCTCCACATTAGTCACCCAATCTCTTATAGCTTCTGATGTAGCATCCTTCAGCGTAGCAGTCCCAGAATGCACTGCTCTTACCTATTTTACAGAACTACACTATTAGCAAGGCCAACCAATAGAATATGTGCTTAAAATTGTCACAAAATAAGTTTAACGTCAATATCTGGCAACTAGACTAGTAGGTTGCATAAACCACATAAATTTTCAGATGCAAAGGAGCATAATTCAATGTCAGCAACCCTTACTTAAGCTTGAATAGTAATTATTGATAAAAAGGACTATATCAGCAAAATATAGCATAACGTTTAACATACCTCAGCACCAAGAAGACGCATCCTGAAGACATTAAGTGCCTGCCTTTCCATGTCTTGTGCACCCATATAAATTATGCATTCTAACCCAAATCTAGCACAGACAGTGGCAGTGGCAACTCCATGCTGACCAGCTCCAGTTTCAGCAATAATGCGTTTCTTGCCCAATCGCTTGGCAAGTAAGGCTTGGCCAACAGCATTGTTGATCTTATGAGCCCCAGTGTGGTTAAGATCTTCCCTTTTTAGATATATGTGGGGCCCTTCACCGTTAGGATGCTTGTAATGCTCTGTCAACCTCTCAGCAAAATAAAGCGGAGTCTCCCTACCAACATAATCTCTCAGAATCCCACTCAGTTCTTTCTGCAAGTCAAAATTTGTCCTCAAAAAATTGTTTTAGATTACCAAATCAGCTAATATGCGGGATCACAGATTCTATGGTTGAAGTCAGATAATAATTGAATCAAGAGGAAAACCAAAATGAAGGAGAGATTGGACCCCAGAAAAAGAAACTTGAAGAGATCCAAATTATGCTCATCAATTGACAACAAAAATACAGTTTCAATCAAGCTTAAAAACCTGAAATTCTTCATCAGAAGCCAGGGAATGGAACGCAGCCTCGAGTTCAGTCAGAGCATACATAAGAGTTTCAGGGACATACTTGCCGCCATATTGACCGAACCGACCAAACGAATCGGGTCGTTGAATCGGAACCGACACATTATCTTCCTTCTCCAGGTTATCCATGAGAAGAACAGGAGCGGCGTCTCTGGTTAGCGCGAAAGAGGCAGAAGAGGAAGTACGAGCGACGGTTCTGGCAATGAAGGAAGAAGAAGGGAAAGCGGTGAATTTGAGGGATTTAGAAGAAAAATGCGATGAAGGGTTTTGGCCTTTGTGAAGTCTGCAAGCAGTTGCAGGGCTTGCGTAGGAGGCAGCCATGGGAGCTATCAGAAATGGTTTTGGCCATTGAATTACATAAATAGAACAGCGTGCTTATTTTTTTTTTCTTTTTTTTTTAATTTTTTTTTAACCAAACAAAAAAAAAAAGAAAAAAGAAAAAAGAACGCGGAACTATGGGTGCTCGTGGGCGGCTTATGGCTTTACATTTTTTTTAGCTAAGATAAAATTTCATAACATAACACTTGCCATAACTGTATTTTTAACAATGAGAAATGTCAAATGTAGCTCCTTAACGAAAATTTTGATGTAAGAAAATAAAATAGGACCTAAGCAGGTTTTTTTGTTTTTTAGGGCCCATTAAAGCCAACACTTTGAAGCTCGATTACCTTTTACAATTCCTGAATCGCAAGGCCCATTTTATTTAATTTATTAGGGTTTAAATGAGCAGTCGGAGGTCCAAGGCCCTTTTCTAGTTCATGAGCCGTGTATCCGCACATCTTACTGAAACTCGGCTAGTGAAAGTGATGTCAGGTGAGAAGAATTTTTGTGCCACTATGAAATCCCGGTATTAGCCCACATCACTAAACAAAGGCATGTATTTGATGTGGATATCTAAACTATATTAAATAATCTAGTTCTTAATTTATTTATTTATTTTATTCTTTTACTTTAAAGAATTATAATGTTTATAATGGCATGCATTGCTTGTTTTAATGGAAAGAAAAATGGGAATAAAATAATTTTACTCTCAATATTCTCTATCTTTATTTTTTCTCATATAAATTAAGATTAAATGTGAGCAATTCTCTAAACAAAACACAATCCCTCTTTTCTTGAGGATCCTGGTGCATGAAGAAAGTCTAGAATTTGATTCCCCAATTGTTTAATATTCTATAATTCAGGCTTAGGCCCTCCCTCTTAACCCAAAAAAAAAAACTCCCTTAACAAAAATTTAAACCTTAATTTATCAAATTGTAAAAAAAATTAGTTATTTTTGCTAAATTCAACTCTCACTAGTATGCTACATTTTTTAAAAAAAAAATTGTTGAACTTGAACACTGTCCTTGCTATGGACAATTAGAGCCATTAGTGTAAGCAATATTTACTCAATTCAAGTGGTAAGAGAATCATACTAACTTAATTAAAAGTCTTGAGTTTAAGTTCTAGAGATATAATAGTATTTGGTAGTAGAGTTTTTGCCCAAAAAGATCTTGACTTGCTCAATCCAAATTAGTTGAGGCTTTAACTTCAAACTACTAGATGATTTACTGCCAACAAAAATAGTCACTTGTGCGAAATTGGATTGGCGATTATGAGTGCATGAATGCTTTGATTGAGTTGATTTTTCTTTGTTTTTTTTTTTTTGGGATCAACTTTGAGTTGATTCATTGTTGGAGATGTGTAGGATGTACAATCGTTATTATTTTTACTTTGTTTGCATACAAAAAGTAGTCGGTGCCGCCATATGCAGGAAAAGAGAAGTTGTCTTATTATGTTTATTTAGGGAGGAGGGAATTGCAAAGTAAATGAGTGGATGATAGATTCGTTGCTTGGTAGTCACTTGTTGGAAAGCTTGATGTTGTGGTTTGAAATGATTGAGCAGATTCAGTGGCATGTGTAATGGCTTTCTTTTGTTCTTTTCCCGTTTGTTTTCTTATTTTAGAGTTTTGCCTTTTATATATTAGCACGCTTTCTTAAATTTGAGTTATGATACAGACTCAAAAGTCGAATAGACCTGAATCTCATGAACAAGCTCGATTTAAAAGTCATGTCATTTTAATATTGGTCATTTCTCAAGTTTCATTTTTCTCATAAACCCTTGTTACTTATTTTTATTTTTTTAAACTTTTTAAACTTTTTTTAAAATTAAATTTATATATTATATATTCATTCTCTAAAATACAAATTATAATATTTTAAAATTTAAAATAAGTAATATAAATTTAAATTTTAAGGTACAAACACATATTCTACCGTCTAAATTTAATCTAAAAATTTAAAATATCTTAATTTCCAGCAGTTAAAATAAGTACAGGTTTAAACAAGTAGCTGAGCTCTAAGCCCCTTATTTTAGGCTTAAATGGGTTAGATTCAAACAAAGTTTTTATATCAAAATACCCAAAATTTACAAAGCCCAAGTCCTAAAAAAAAAAAAACCTTGTAAATGGGTAGCTTGATAAATTTAACTTATATTTTCAACTCTATTATGGCACTTTTTTTTTTTTCAAAAATGGAGTTCGATTTTGGCATGAGGGGACAAAAAATTTGATACAAAAGCATTTTCGTAGTTTTACCCCTCATATATGACTGAAAGGATTAGGTTTAACAAAAAAAATTAGTTCATCCTAACATAACAAATGAATGTCTAAATTCATATTAAGAAAATTTATATTTAATATTCAACCATATCTTAAACACGATTATTTTATGAGAATACATTGTGCAATTAAAAAAAATTACTGTGCATAAATAAAATGATCTAGGCTTCTCTATGTTTAGCTTTCCCCCATTTCCTCTCCATTTGCGCATATTAAAATGGTCTAGATTTAATATTTTTCAAAATCATTATTAAAATATAAAATTATAAAAAAATAAATACATTAAAACCAAAATGATATAACTTATTTTGAACACTTCAGAGGTATAACTAAGAAAACTTTTTTAAAAATTGACTTTGAAAAATATTAATTCATGACAGATCAAATTTTGATCTAATAATTGAGATTTGAATCATTATTAGACCTGAGATGTGAAATACGGAAGGGAAGGGGGAGAAAAACTAAACAAAGAGAAGCCATGTCTGAATCATTATTAGACTAAATACAAGATTTGAATCCTCTCAAGTCCCTCCCATGTAATGTAATCATCTATGGGTGCCAAATGTTGATTCTCTATACCATTTTGAATTTATGAATCTTTGATTCCTTATTAGAGATGTGTAGAGTGTATATTCATTATATATTTTTAGTTTGTTTCCATAGAAAGCATGATGTGTGCCATATATGCAAATATAAATGCTTTGTTATTTATTTAGGGAGAATGTGTCGATGATAATAAACTTTGTTTTGTTGTCACTTGTTGGAATGCTTTATGTCGTGTTTGAACTTCGAAATGATTTTTAAAGTTTATTATCATCTTCAAATACTTGTATTACTAGAGAATTGAGATGATGTTAGCAAAGAAAAATGTCACACGTTGGGTAGCACGACTAACACTTGTGATACCCTCTCCAGTTTTTTTATTATAAAAAAAAATGAAAATAATATTTTTTTTTAAAATTATATAAATGATAATCTAACCTCCTAAAATGTCATAATTTCACCTAAATCCTTAAAAAAATTTTATCAATAAATTTTAAATAAAAAAGACCATTAAATTAAGATTACTTGTTCAATTCTTACTATGTTTTGAATGAAAGTTGTTTTTTTTAAATAAAAGTTATAATTAAACCTTATTATTTTGATAACTTATTTTTTAATAACAAAAATTATATTTAATAAGTTATAATTTTTTGTTCAAATTTTGCGATTCATAAAACAAAATTTATTATTTTTAAAGCAAAAGTTGTAATTGAAGTTTATTTTTCAATAACATAAATTATATTTGATAAATTATAACTTTTTTTTACTCTTATAATTCACAAAATAAAAACTTTTACTCATTAAAAAAAAGTTGTTATGAGAGCTTTTTATTTTCAATAAAAATAAAATGATCTTTTTATTTTAAATTTATTGATACAGAAATTTCTGAAGACTTTAGTGAAATTATAATATTTTGAGAGATCAAGTTCTCTAAAAGAAACTATCATATATTTCATTATTTTTTTACAAGCAAAATTACAAAATTTAAAAATCATTTATCATATTTTTCTTAAATCGTTCCCCATAAAATCGAAGTTAATTTCACAAAACAAACTCGATTCTTTCACATCCTAAAGACTTTTTTTTTTTCAGTGAGTTGATTAAAATTTGTTTACGCTTGAATTTGAATGCAGAGGGAATGAGTAGATTGCTACGGTGATATCCAGGCTTGTCTCATGTGATTGCACCTCTAAGATGCAACGCCAAGGAACTGGAGAAGACAGACAAGTTCTGAGGTTCAGTGATCATAATTTTGGGTAGTAGAGATTGTGCCATCATCCCTCCACATTATGTTTTCCCCAAAATTGATGTCTACTAATCTAGAAATTCTGATAAAATGACTGCTTAAATAAGAATACAGTAAAGTAAACAAGGCAAAATCATTTCTGAGGAAACAAGGTACTGTTTTTCAATCAAGAATTGAAGAAGCAAGGAAAGGGGGTCAAATGATATTATCCCTGTATTTGGGAAGAAAGTAATACTCAACAATTAGTTACTCCAGAAATTAATCATATAAGGAGGGTAAATTCTAATGAAGTGATGACATACCTGTCGAATCCAAGGCATTCAGACATCAAACGGATTGTGCTCTAATAAGAACTGTCCAATTGCATGCAAGATCCACCTAATTTGAAAGTTGATCAATTACGGGGCACGATCTGTTCATTAGCTTTACCAGCAAGAAATCATCACCTGTGGATAAAACTTGAGCATAGGCTGAATCTAGACGATCCACTTGATTTTAAAGAACATCCATAGCATTACTCCAAGAAGTCCAGATGGCACCCCTCTCTTGCCCAATAATGTCATCAAACTTAGTCCCTCAGAATCCAATTCATTCAGCTATTTCTGCAATTCAAACATTTTTGTCCCAAAAAAAAAAAAAAAATCCTCAGATTGCCAAAGCATACATGGGTTTACAGATTCTATGGTAGAAATCAGATGATAACTGAATTATGAGGAGAGTCATCTCTTCCTTCCTCAGGTGCCCTCTCCTCTCAATTTAGCCTTAGATAGAGTTGAGCTTATTATGATCAAACACATATTTTGTTTCAATTTAAACTCCTCACCGTCATTCATCTCGTCCAAATCCATAAATTAACACGGTACATAATAGGATGCTGACTCACACCCACTAACTTAAAAATCAGATAAGAAGCATTAATTAAGAGCCCTAGTTTCAGAGAGAGAGAGAGAGAGATTTGCCCAACTTGTGGTTTTTATGCGGACAGAGTGTAATTGGTGTGAGTTAACTTATGCCACGTTGGTAAAACAATGTGCAATGCGGCAATGAGCTTCTACTTCAAATTGTATACAGAAACAATGAGATGGAAAGAGAATATTGAAAATATTTTAAAAAATGAGAGATTAACTATTGAAAAAAAAAAAAACAAAGAAATTGCAGAGAAGCTGAAATTCCTCATCAGAAGCAACGGAAGCTCAGTGAGTGCATAAATAATAGTGCCAGAGATGTCCTTGCCGCCCAATTGGCCCAGTCAACCAAACGAAACAGGTCATTGAAGCAGAATCAACCCAGCATTGTCCTTCTTAAGTTCATCCATGAGAAATAAAAAGCAGACAATTACCAGTAATCTCCACAAGAGCATGTGCCATTTTTGAAATGATGAAACCTGCTAGAGTCACGCACTATAATTTCTCGATTCTTTATCTTGGATATGAATTTGAAGGCAACATGACAATCACTGCAAACCCTCAGGTTCTTCATCACCCTTATAGGCACTCCCCCTTGTGTGTTCATTAAAGCAAAAGCAATTGCCAATTTTTCACTATGGTGTGCCAAGTTATACTCTTTCTCTTCATTATCCATGTCATGCAAAACAGACGCAGTATCAGGCACATAGCCATGGAACTTCATTTCTGAAGTTAGTTCTTCAAGATACAGATCGATCTCCACTGACATTGGGTGAGATTTACCACCCATACTGAACTGGTGAACTTGATTCTTCAGTTCCACCCAACTAGTACCAGGTTCTTTCTTCACCTTCTGGTCTCTCATGGCTTTTCTTACCTCGGAAACATCCTGCCACCTCTTAGCTGCAGCATGAATGTTTGAGAGAAGAACATAAGAGGCTGAGTCTTGAGGATCTATCATAAGAACTTCTTCAGCAATTTTTCTTGCCATTTCAGTATTCTTGTGGGTTTTGCATGCAGATAACAATGTTTTCCATATAACTGCATCAGCTCTTACAGGCATTTCTCGTATCATTGCCACAGCATCCTCTAAACAACCAGATCTGCCAAGCAGGTCAACCATGCAGGTATAATGTTCTAACCAGGGCTTGAGTCCATACACATCAACCATCAAATTGAAGAACTCAAGCCCCCTGTCCTTGAGTCCACTATGACTGCAAGCATATAGCAAACTCAAGAATGTAACCTCATTTGCCTGTAATTTTTCTTGCTCCATTTGATGAAAGAGCTTGATAGCTTCTTGTCCTTGCCCATGAAACCCATAAGCAGCAATCATTGAGCTCCATAATACAATATCCGGTTCCTCACATTCTGAGAAAGCTTTGACAGAGTCTTCCAGATATCCACATTTGGAGTACATACTAACTAATGAACAGACTACAGCAACTACAGAGCTAGCTCCTGCTTTAATTGCTTCAGTATGAATTTGCTTCCCTTGGCCAATGGTGGCTAACTCTGAACAGGCACTGATCACACTCACAAAAGTAATCTTATCAGGTCTAAAACCTGCCATCTTCATCATACAATAGTGATTCAGAACTTCCTCAGCATACCCGTTTTGTGCTTTTCCAGCAATAAGTGTATTCCAAGCAACTACATTATGAATTGGCATGGATTTGATAATTTTGTCTCCTTCTTGCATGCTTCCCGCTTTCATATACATATGAGCTAAAGAGCTTCCTACAACCAAATTAAACTCAAACCCACATTTCATAACATAAGCATGAACTTGCATTCCTGCTAATAAAGCTCTCAAATGCGCACAACCCCTAAGTACGCTACCTAAGGAGTACTCATCAGGCATGAAACCCAAGTTGTTCATTTCTGAAAACAATAATATAGCCTCCTCATTCATTTCAAACTGGGTCAATCCTGTGACCATGGCATTCCATGTTGCAACATTTCTCTCAGACATTTCACTAAACAACCTATTAGCACTCTCAAAGTCACCATTTTGAAGATACGCTTTAATCATAATGTTACATGACATTGTGTTCCTCTTGGGCATACGATCAAACATAGTCACAACTGTGTTCAGTCCTCCCAACTTTGAGTAGAGGTTCAGGAGATGATTGGAAATGAACTTGTCCGAGGAAAGCCCTGATGTAATTATCAGAGAATGGAGTTGTTTCCCCAATGGCATGGACTTTCTCAATATACATGCTTGGAGTAGATGAGAGAACAGATTGGGTTCTTCCCATATCTTAGGCACAAAGAAATCAAATGCTTCTATGATGTATCCTTTCTTACAAAGGCTGACAAATTGTCCTTTGAGATCCACTCGGTGCCCTTTTTGCAAGCGATATTTCAAAGAAATGGTGGAGAAGTGTGAAACTGGATTTTGAAAAATGGCGGTCAAATCGGAGAGGCTGAGATACGGAAGACCAGAAGCGCCCATGCATTTGCTTTGGGCTAGTTTAAATTGCCCTTTCATGCATACATAAAATGAGGCCTTTTTAAGTTCTGAACCGGAAGGGGGAAGATGTTCATCAAAATGCAACAGAATGAGAAGTATTTACCAAGATACTATTGTTCTTCCAAATTTTGTAATTTCTCAACCGCCATCTCCGTCCAAGATACCCTTCTACCTCCGAGCTAGCCGTCTCCGTCCACCGTCGTCCCTTCGCCTCCGCCCGGACTGGTAGATGTTCAAAGGTGGAATAAGAAGGTTGAGGACGCAGACTTTGCCTGGCGACGGGAACCACCACGAATCTTAGCGTCGCCAACACATTCATCCTCTCCTCCGGCTGGAAACAACCATTTATGTATATTCTCCCTCACCAGAGCCTTTTGCTTTCCCCAGCAATAACTACAGTTTCAGTATTGGCTTTATTTCGGTCGAAGAGGATGGGTTTATCAAAATGGATCGTTTCCCTCAATAGGGAATTTTTCTACCGTTATAACCTGTGAAAAGCGTTCGGGTTCTGGAGTTTGACGGTGGGTTCTTCCCAAGCTCGGCAATATTCAGTGGTTTCGTTGCTACGCTTCATGGAGCTCTGCCTTCGTTTTTGTTTTTCCTCCAAAGATATATTTTTTCAAAAAAATAAATAAATATGGCCGGGTGTTTTCTATTTTATTTAACTTATAAAAATATGAAAAATATGCAAAGAGTTTATATGTTGAGAAGTTCTTAGATGGGTTGCTATGCCAAGTCATTCATGATGTATTTAATAAAATTGCACCCATTCAATTAAATAAAATATTTATTTAATTATTTGTATTTTTTTCTTTATTATTATTAATGTCATAATCAATTTATATTTAATATCATCTAAATATTATATTTTTATTAGATATATTATAGATAACGTTGTGTCATGGTGCACCAGGTTTATTTAAGAATATTTTTATATATTTTGTTACTTGCCAAACTGTTTTTTTTTTAACCTTTTTAAAGTCCAATTTCATTTGTTTTTATTTTAATATTTTTCTATTCCATATTCTGCCCATAATACATACTCCCTCCGATCTTATTTATAAGATATCTTTTAAAAATAATTTTTAATCCAAAATATAGGACATCTTGTAATAAATTACTTTTTTTAATTATATTATTTTTTAAAGTCAAAGGTAAAAATGAATGTGCATATCACTTTTTTATTATATCAATAAAAAATTTAATTTTTTTAAAATTGTAAAATGATTAAAAATGTCTTAAAATAAGAAACATAGTGAGTATTTTAATACTTACTCCGTTAAAAAATGTAAGGTATTTTTAATTAAATCCTACCTTCAATAAAGTAATTATCTACTTTCAAACTAACCTTATCTTTTTATATTTACCCCTATTAACCACCTTATAATAAATATAAAGTTATTATCAATAGGGACACTTTAAAAAAATAGAGCAATAATTATACATCAAAAGACTAAAAATACCTTATATTTTTAAACATTCAACTTATCAAAAAATGCCTTAACAGAGAAAGTATGAATTTTTCTATATCTGCCAATATCTGTCCATTTGTAAAAGATATATTTCCTCCATTCAAAAATTTAAAACATTTTTAGTCTTTAAAATATAATTATTGCCTTTTTTTTCAAAAATTTTCTATTGAATAAATCATTTTGTGTTTATTTTAGGTTGAAACACCTATTAAATAAAGGTAAATATAAAAAAATAAGGTTAGTTTAAAGATAAATAACTACCCTTTCTATTAAAAAATGTAAGGCATTTTCAATCAAATCTCACCCTCAATAAACTAGTTATTTATTTTCAAACTAACTCTATTTTTTTATATTTACCCCTATTAAACACCCTATAATAAATATAAAGTCATTATCAATAGGGGTATTTTTGAAAAAAAAGGTAATGATTACATTTCAAAAGACTAAAAATGCCTTACATTTTTTAATATCCAACTCCTTAAAAAATGCTTTATATTTTTAAACGGAGGGAATATTTTATTAAAGATAAAATTCAATTAAAAATATTTTATATTTTTTAACGAAAAGAATATGTGTGCATATATAATGTGAGCTATCTAAATTAAATAGTTTAATTTGTATACCTAATTCTAATTCGAGTTGATTTTTAATTTAAAAATATAGATAGTCTAAATCAAATTAATATTCTCTGTACGTTCATTTGTTTATGGTAAAAGTAAAATAATTATATCTCCCTAGTTTATTGTTTTATCAACATGAGTACCAATTTGTTTTTATTTATTTTAAACAGCTAATTTTCTTTTTCAAATTGTGTGTGGTTTTATTGTCAATCCAAACTGATTATCTTAAACTAAATATTTTTTTATACAAATCCTAAGCTGAATATTGGAACTAATATAAAAAGGATAAAAACGTTACATTTACTTTGGGTTTGAGCAATGATGAATCAATTAAATTACTTTAAATTGATGTGTGCGCGTGTGTGTAAGCTGAAAAGCAAATTCGTTATTAGTAAAACAACTTGCATGACATCAACATATCAACATAGAAATAGATATATATAGGATATCTATAAAAAGCAGCACTATTCACAACAACTTATGAATAGTCTAGCTCATTTTATAAACTTCTTACAATGCACGAGCCCCACTGTTGAGCTAATCTCAATCACTCAATGACAATGCCACTCACAAGACCTTTGGTCATAGTTCATACCTCCACTTCAACTAGGCTCGATAGTGATAACAAATATCAGACAACACTATATAAGTATGTATATGTATATGCACATACTATAGCATAAATTATGCGCATCTAGTATCCAGTTTTTCTTGTGGTTTAACCAAGCATGGTCATCATCATAAGTTTGTAGCAAGGCCAGAGCAAATCAAATGCAGTAGGTTGGAAGACTAGAAGGTCGGTAAACAAAAGTTCTGACGGCATGGGAATAACCTGACGGGTGATTGTAGCTGAACTTCACCCCGGAGCTACCCTTGCCGAGGTCAGTGCAGTGCTCGTGGAAGCTACTAATGGGACGAGCAAGACAGGCGTCCCAACGATCGCTCTCGGGCATTGTCTCTGCTACTGTGTAAATCCCCCTAGCATCTGTGAATGCCTGGTAATTTAGAACTTCCCCGGACTTTGTGATGCAAAGAACAGCAACCTCAGCGCCTGCCTCAGACCAATAACAATCACATTTTAGGACATATAACTGAATATTGATAGTCAATCATAAGATGGATTAATATGACTAAACTGAATCCTAGGTTGCATCAAGCATCTAAATGCATTCTATTTTCATTTTTTGTTTTGCTGGGGAATGGAACTAGTTCCACTTCCAGAGGACAATCACATTATGAAATTGTGCCATCAAACCGATGAGTAGTATCAAGCAAGTTTATCAAATGTAAATGTGATAACACTGCTCCTCAGAAATAAAATACTGCAGATTAAAAAGAAATCTCATGTCATGCTGCTAGAGACAACATAGATTTTGTTTTGGTCGCAGAATCAAGTATGCAAGTTGCCTAGATCAAATCCCCACAGTGTGTAACATCTGAGTCACTAGTTTCCCAATCTTTCAAACAGAAGGGCAAAATCATGTTAGATTACAATTTACTTCAAGTTACTTTGGCCCCAGAATAGAGAATAACGGGAAAGAAGTTATTTCAATAAATCAAACCCTTCAAAAGCGTACAGTCTAGCCAATGACACAACTATTGCCTGCAAAATCAAGTTTTGCTGTTTTCTTGATTCATGTCCTCTCTAGAAAAGAGGATGTTCCAATAAGTTTAGTCTTGAAAATATTCACTACTCAAATGGCTCCAATGCTAACTCTCTAATGATGTCACTTGTAAGGACAGTAAGACAGTCTACCACCTTCATATCTCTCCACCTGAATTTGCTTATGCAGACCGTAGCAATATGACCCAAAATATTCTGGTTGTTGATACATACATGTAAATAGCAATCATTTTGCGAAAGAATGCTAAAAAAACCTGTTTTCAAGCTTTACTTTAAGCAGTTCAAGTTTAAGATAAAAGAATACAGAGAAATTGCTCTAGCACTTCTTGTTAGCGTCAACAGCACATTGTCTACTAATTCATATGAATGTCATTGCCAACTAATATCTGTATGGCATATGGTTATTATTATTATTATTATTATTTACTTGATTATCTAACTAGGTTGAATTCGAGCATTGTTGAACCTAACTCTTCCTAACTGTTTTTTTTTTTTTTTGGTGTGTTTTGCATGCACGGCTTATAGTTTTTGATCGTAATAACCTCAAGAGACAATGGTGTGTTCTACTAGAACTAAAATGAAAAGTAAAATATAATTTATTAGAATCGCATCAGGATGATTCAAAAGTCTCTAATGACATAAATACAAATCTTCTTCCAATCAGCAATCCTTGTCCTACTTGGAAATCACAAACTTAAACATTAGGCTAAAGGTAAAGTGATTTTAATCAGCCAGGAAACTAATTTTTTCCCTTTCTTTTTAAGAAGTGTGGTTGTGCCAATGATTAAAATATAGCTTGAATGGATTTCTCAGAATTTTAACTGCTTAAAAAAATGTTATGGTCATCCCAATAAAGCAGCAAGCTTAAAGCAGGCAATAAAATGCTTCCTTAATGCTTGCAAGAAAAACCGTATTACTACTTTAGTCACACGCGCCAAACCATCTTATGGCAAGGATTCTATTTCAGTATTACTAGCAAATTTTACACATAAAGCCAAGATTGAACGTCTCTCACGCATCCAACAAAATCTTAAGATCAAATAAATTATGTGACGAAAGATGAAGTCAGTTGGATGAACAAATTGAAAGGCTGAAACTTCAACTGCAATAATTATTGATATGAAAAAGATGGTAAACTAGGTCCAAACCAGAAAATAAGAGCTAGCATAAACGCAATGGCCTTAAAACGTAATCCACTAGATATACACACAGTAAAATTACACTAAGAATCTCTTCCAACCTATTGCCACGGTCAAAATATAACCAAATTACACTTCAGGAAGCTCATAAACGCAGTATCATCAGCTAGGTCAGTCAGTTGAGAAAAAACACAATGCAGTTCAATTGAAAAGCAAACAAAATTTCGGCACAAAATCAAGAAACCTAGTCAAACAACCTAGTCGGAAGAACATATAAATGAAAGATAGTGCCAATTGAAGAGGAAAAGAGAGAAAGGGACCTTCGAGGATATGGTCTTCAGGTCCAATAGAAGAATCACCGCAGACATCACAAACAACCCGGCCATGGATTTCACCAGTCCAAGCCGAAGCACCCAGAACAAAGAACATCAACAGAACAAGACTTATGCCTATCTTGAGCTTCTTCTGATTCAGAGCTTCCATGCTTTGAGACTTCTTTTACCTTCAGAATGAAACGCCCCGTGCCGTAACGACTTCCTTGTACGCTTTTCTCTTTCAGCGGTTGGTAATTTCCCACCGACACAGCACAATGGAAGAGAAGGTCGTAAAGACACTTGCGCCTCGCTCGGTTGTGTCCAACTCGTGGGTCATGGAGCCCAACACGTTCAAGGACTAAAACGGAATTAAATAAAACTTAGGGACTAAACCGGTAACTCGTCTCTTACAGCTTCCTATAAATAACCTCCTAACCCTTTATTTCTTCCTAGCGCCGAACTTTCCGTCATTTCTGGAAAACCTAGTTGGTATCTCTGCGTTTGGTTGCTGAGAAATTTAGTTCGATTTCGTAGAAAGTGTATTAGATGTTCTGTTAGCTTCGCTCTTTCTAAATCTGTATGTTTAGAACTTTTGTTATCTGGTTCTGCTTCTCTTAGTTGGTTTTCATCCGCCGAATGATTTTTCCGCTCTGTTTTCGGCGGTCTCTGTTTTTTTTTTTCTTTTACCTTTTGTCTTTTTAAATGCTGCCAAAAGGTACAAACCTAATTAGGTCAATGTAATTTTTCTGTTCCGGCATAACTTAACTTGCTTTAGTGGTATAAATTCTGATAAGCAAGCTCTGTAATTATCTTTTTGCGTGATTTTGGGGTTCGAAGTTTTGTTCATTGCTATTGCAGCGGTGCTGCCCAATTTCAAATCTGAATATTATGATTGACTCGTGAGGATTACGATGTTAAATTGACAATTTGACTCGTTTGTTTTGGTTTTCAAATATAGTTATAGAGTCCTAATTTTTTTTTGGACGAAATTTATAGAGTCCTAATGAACGCTTGCTTTCGTTCACGTCTCAGTTTTTCTTTACTCGTTCATTAGAAATTCAGGTGGGTGGTTGACTGCTTGAATGCAGTGTGTTGTGATACATATTTGCAGTTTCTTTCAGGAAAGTGTTTTCCTTGTGCTTCATCCCCATGATGATTTGTTTTAATATTAGAAGTAGTGGACTGAATCTTATTGAGGAAAAATGGAATCTGAGGGATGTTTAGATCTCTCAACCTATCATCCGTTGTTCTCAAATAGTGAGGAAATCTCTTCAACCTTGTGAACTTGTTTTCAGTTATGTTATTCGTTTCATTGCTCTTTGTTGAAGCACTGTGTTTATTGAATTTAGCTGAAAAGGTCTTGATTTATTTGACTTAGTGATATATTTGCTTATTGAATAAGCGTGGCCCTTAAGATCGCCTTTCTCTTTTAGCCATGAAAGCGTTTTGAGTCATAGCTGCGCAACATAGACATTCCAACAACGGAGGCTTCTCTTTAGGGTTTTCCTACTGGGTCCTCCTCTGTCCCACCGTTTCTTATACTATTGAGGCATACTTTTTACCTTTGGATCAGCAACTTGGATCCCATTTTGTTGATCTCTATGGTAGATGGCTTCTTGCCAATCTACCTACTTGATATTCAACTGACGGGACTTCAGTTCAGTTCCTTAGGTGCTTTTTTCATTGTCTCAGTGGCAAGGTGGGAAACAATTCATGCCAATGGCCTTTTTTGATCTCATTCTAGGTGTTATATTTTGTATGACTAGTTTATTGGTTGATTTAGTTTTTCCTTCTTTACTTGAGTATTTTATTTCATTGAGAATTGAGAAAACACAAAGCAAGGATGATGAATCAATTAGATGTGTGAAAGGAAATTTCCTTTCTGAACTCAATTTTTGAGGCATATATGTATAAATCTGACTTGCTCTTTGTCCCCTGTCTTATATTAGATATTAGAAGGTATTTAACGATCCTTACTTCAATTTTCTTACCAATTGCACATTCTGTATCCATGGGTCTGGGCATTTATTTAAAGTTCAGTCCCCAAAAAATTCTAAGCCATCAGTGCAGGCTTTAGCAACTTGATTAAAAGAAAATTTTGACTACATAAAACCCTTTAACATGTTAAAAAAATTATCATCCAGGTAGAATTAACAAATATACTATATCAAATCCATGAATGATACTATATTGTAAACTATAATTGTGTCTTAAATAATTTAGAAGCTTAAATCTTAAAATAAAATGACATTAGTGGCCTTATAGCTATAAAGTGAATTAGATTCGACCCATCCATTTGGAGCAAAAGCATGACTATGAACAAGTGAAAAAACTAGTGCCCATTGCTTCTGAACTTGAGAAAATTGGGAACATAACGAAGAAGACAGTACTGCTTAAGCTTACAGTATTACTCAAGGCCAAGGGAAGTATCCAGAAAAATGGATAAAAGACTGTGGAAGTAACATAAAAGAGTCTTGATCTTGCGCGTGATGATGCAGATTATTAAATGAAACAAAAAGGGAAATAAAAGATTGTGAAAGTAACACCACTCAATTGCTGGAAAAAATAAACACTGACCGAGATTGTTCGCGATGAATGGTTAAGTAAGCTAATTAAAAGTGTTTTTTATTTAATAAATATTTAATTTTCGTCCCGGCAATCTTATTATCATTGTCTTACTGAATTTCTGAAAATTACAAGGAAATTGAATTTTATTTTATTTTATTTTATTTTTTGAATTTTAATGTATGCATGTGCAATGCAACCTAGTGAACCATTTTTTTTTTTTAATCCATGGGTATGGCCTTTTTTGGGGCTCAACTTACGCATCTTGTTTCGTAAACAATAGTCTCACTACTCCAGCCTGTGGAATAAATTTTAATACATGGAATTCCCAACTTTAGTCCTTAGCTGTTATGTTCCTCTGGGCACAAGAGGTATGCCCAACAGACACACACTTCATGAAATCATTATTTTCATGAAATTCTCAGTTATTGATCTAGATTTCTGTTTGTTCTTCAAAATAACGCCATACACAAATAAATGAATAAAACCAAATAAAAGCAAATTAGCTATCATATATTGCATTTTTGTACCGTAAATAAAAGATACACATTCTTTTCAGAATATTGAATGGTCCTAAATTTCGGGAGAAATTACATTACTATTTGACGTATATTCAAAATCCAAAGACTTCAAGGAAACCAACCCAAGCCAAAACTGAAAACATACCATGGATTCTTACTGATCAGGACCTTTTGAAGTCACTTCACGTGATCAATTCCCCAGATTCTTACAACCAATAGCCTCAATATAAAATCTACAAGCTACTTGTCATTCTGTTGCAGATCAATTCCCCAGCCTGAAGCTAACTGAAACAAGAGTTGGTCTGGTGGCACTCCTTCCCAGTCCTCAGCTGTATCGATTGAAGAAGCAGCTTCATGTAGATTCAGCAAGACTTCCTTCTTCAATTCCATGGGAATCCCAAAGGTATCAGGTCCATTCTCCAATACTATCTCCAACAACTGAGCATGATAGATTTTGAAATCAAATTCAAGTCTCTACTTATTATTATTTGGAAGCTATATGCAATGGAGAAACTATGCTTAATTCTGTAGAACTCCCATTCTACAAGGAATTTGTAGATGGAGCCACTCATGAATGTTTATCTATCCTGGTATGATCTGCAAATTTCTTATAGACCATAGGAATTGGAAATAAACAACCAGACAAGCTACTCTTCCAACATCACTATGCATGTACCATTATTTTGATGGCTGTCTGGGGATTACGATAATTTTCACTCAAGCTTAAGCTTTGAGCTGAAGTTCACTGGCATGATATGAAACTTTCTATGACCAAGCAGTTATGAAAGACAAAATGGTACAAAAGGAAGGGAAACGGCAATGTATTGAAAGGCAAGAAGCACTAAATGCTAGACAAGCTCTGTTACTCCTGATGTCAAGTCATAAATATGGAAATAATTTAATGTTGACTATGTTCATGAAATGAATTTTCTGAGCCACATTGATCTAATGCTGCTTACTTGAAGTAATAGCATATTTTCTGCTGCAGTAATATAGAAGCTAATTACAATTTACAACATGACTTTAAGCTAATCAAACCACCCCTCGATCAATTTATTAGAAGGCTATGCTTTAAATCTGGACCATGTACTCACAAACAAAAGTGAGCAATGTGCCATATAAGCAATCACTCCTTTGACAGAAATTGGTTCATCAGAGACAATCGAGTAATCAAAATAAGAGATTGGAACGGCCATCTATAAGACTGCTTAGGTGTGTTTTATTTTTCACAGTTATGGGACCAGATTTCCTATAAAAAAAAAAATCGAGACAAGTCAAGGGTTATGAGAAGCACAATGAACTGTCACAGGGTTTGAGGAATATGAAACAAAAAATCTCACTGAAAAGTCTTCATATCTAGCCTGAATCAAATATTACAGCTTCCTGCATGATTTACAGGCCAGAATCAGATTAGCAATCAAGGACCCCATTTGATTTTTTTAAGCAGCCTTCTATTGAATGGTGGAAGAATCCTGTCCTACATAGTCAAAAGTCTACAGAATCAAGAATACCAAAATGGGGGATTAAGTTAGCCAAAACAACTGAAGCATTACAATGTTCTTTGAACCTGTGTGAGAGTTGACTAGCAAGAGCAAGTTGAACGAGTATTCCAAATAGAACCTAAATACTGAAGACAATAAATGCATCAATACATTATATTGTTCTGTAAAACAGTCTGTCACGAATTGGCACGATACTTGAGATGATGTTAGTAAGGAAAATGTCACACATTGGGTTGCACGAGTAATTTTTGTGGTACTTAAGTGGCATGATTGCTGGTATGAGGATATCCAGGCTCGTCTCATGTGATTGCACCTCTAAGATGCAAAGCAAAGGAACCAGAGAAGACAGACAAGTTCTGAAAAGTTCAGTGATCATAATTTTGGGTGCTAAAGATTGTGCCATCATTGCTCCACATGATACTTAAGGGTTACCTGCCAAGCAGGGGCATTATGTTTTCCCAAAATTGTTGTTTAGTAGTCTAGAAATTCTAATCCAATGACTTCTTAAATAAGAATACGGTAAAGTAGACAAGGCACAATCGTTTCCACAAAAGAAGGTATTGTTTTTCAATCAAGAACAGAAGAAACAAGGAAAGTGAGCCAAACGATATATCCCTGTATTTGGGAAGAAAGTAACACTCAACAGTTCGTTTCTTAAGAAAATAGTCATATGATGGGAGAATAAATACGCTGGCTTAAAGAAGTTTTTTTTTTTTTTTTTTGGAGTGGGGGAATGATAGTTAAGTTCCAAAAGAAGAAATTAATAGCAGTTAAGTTCTCGATAAATTTTTTTTGAAAAAATCAATTGTAAATATCGTTTCAAACAATTACAAATTTAAAAATTTCAATTGCAAATATGATATTTAAATTCTAAATGTAACAATTAGTTTGAAATTCGGATTCTTATTTATAATTGCTTGAATTGATATTTACAATTTATTTTATAGAAAATTCTGTCGGGAACCTAACTGTCATCAATTCATCCTTTGAGACATTATTGTCATTCTCCCTTCTTTTTTTTTTGGTCAATATACATGGAAGGTAAATTCTAATGAAGTAACGACATACCTGTTGAATCCAAGACAGGCAGACATCAAATAGATTCTGCTCTAATAAGAACTGTCCAATTGCATGCAAGACCTCAGAGGCCACCTCATTTGAAAGTTGATAGATTACAGGCCCTGATCTGTCCATTAGCTTCACTAGTAAGAAATCATCACCTGTGGATAAAACTTCAGCATAGGCTGAATCTATATCACCCGCTTGAAGAGCATCCATAGCATTACTCCAAGAAGTCCAGATGGCATCCCTCTCTTGCCCAATATTGTCATCTGCCAAAGCTTCAGCAGTCATTTCAGGGATAGCCACTCTTGTTGCTCGAGATGTTCCACCATCCTCTCCAGCGACTCTAATTGCTTCTAAGGTAGCTTCATCTTTTGAGGCTTGCCATACGCTTCTGGCAGAAGGCCCCTCACCCAGCCGAAGGGGCATTGCAACTTTTTCCCAAGCTCTTCTGCTGACCCCTTGATCAATCTCGTGTGCTGACTTTGGAGATCTTCCATCAACAGAACCACCGCCAAAAGTTCTCCTTGAGGGCATCTGGCCATTTCTAGAAGTAGTATGCCCAGGAAAATCCCATGCTTCAGACATGTCAGACCTCCAAGATGACCCTCTACCCCTCATGCCCAAAGCATTTCCATCAGATTGGCCAAATTTTTCGCCAAAAGGGATACGTCCATCACCACTTCTTCCATACTTGCCAATGGAGTAGTCAGCAAAACTGTTATACTTTCCAGGTCTACTAGAACATCCCTCAAATCCTGAAAAGTTACCACCTCTGCGACCTGATGATATAGATAAATCACGTGCCATGTCTTCAACAACCCTCTCAAGCCCTCGTACTCTATTCTCTAAAGTCACCATGCCATCATGAGATCCACCCATAAAATCCTGCAAATTAGTTCAGACCCATCACTGACAAAGTGTATATTAGAGCAAAATTTTATGACATATTTTAATGATCATACCTGCACCATGTTCATCAGGTGAGCTTGTTGCCTTTCAAGCTGCAGTAACTGCCTCTGGATAGCCAACCAATTTCCTCTGTTGTTGAAGGAGACTTCCGATTGACCATCCGTTTTAGAAAAACCTGATACATTAGCAGAACTTTCCCTCTGACTGATGTCAATCCTATCATCAGTATCATGTGCTTTTGTTCTTAATTCTTTACCATTCACTTTCTTTTCAGAGTATCTATCGTGGGCAAAATCTTCATGGTTTTGTTGTCTAGAATTCACATCATTGCTTCTCTCTGAGATGCGATAGTTATTGTTGACAGATCCATGAAAATTCTCAGCAGAAACATTTCCAGTGCAATTTATTCTTTCTTTCGAACTTTTTAAACTTGCCTCAGATTCTTCTTCATTGATTGTGCCTGAAGAATTGATACATCTACGAGGAACAACTACTTCTACAGGTAAATCATCTGAACCCCTTCTTTCAAGTTTCTGGAAGAATTCTAGGTTTATCTCTTTATCAGTTAAGGTAGGAGCTTTCTTTTTCAATATTACAACTGCCTTCTCTGGAATATTGACAGGTTTGGCTTTGGCAGTGGAATCCAAGTTAGAAGAACCAGCTGATAAATCCTTTGCTGATGGCTCAGCCTTACTTTCTCCGAGATGTACCTTTTTTATGTCACTTGTTTCTGACGAAACAGCTGGTTCTGGTTTATCAACATCCAAAACATTAGGAGAGAAAACAGAAGTGAAAAAACCTGCAACACTGTACATGATGTATAGATTATGCAATAGAAGCATGCCTACCACAAGTCGAGGGCTTGGAATCATCAGTAGCTCCATCTCCTTTTCCTGCAATCTTTTTCCATAACTGCAGTGCTTCTGTCATGCTATCTCTGACAGGTTTTATCTGAAAACCAATAATACCTTTTTGATTTGGGAGTCAATGAGCACTTCGATGTAATTATTTGCCCAGATGCTCTATAATGATTTTTTTTTTAATGAACTTGACGATGAAATTTTCAGTAAGCACCAGTATTCTATGCTTGGACAGCAAACCCTTTAATTTGCTATCTTAAGAGCAGAACCTCTAAAGGAGAAAAACGGACACTGTATAATATTATGGAAATGGATGGCCAATCAAAGCTGGCTGTTCTTACCAGAAATTAGTTGTCCATCATAATATATGTCACTTTATCTTAAGAGGCCTTCACAAAAATCAAGCTGTTTCCATGCACTGAATATATTAAACACTTCAACCTCAACCAAATCATAAACCCAGAATCAATATTTCAAACAGAAGTAAAATAGTTGAGCACTATTGCTTTAATGTTTATACTATCTATTGACAATATTAACTTTTTTTGAATTCTAATTTTAAAAAATCTTGAATTCCCATGCACATGTGGAATAATTCAAGAGCCAAAGATACCCTAGGAAGGAGGCCAAAAAAAAAATCCAAGGGGGCACTATTCAATTTTCTATATAGAAATCTTTCTGCGCTTATATATAAGATACACCAGAATGCCTGGAACAAAGTCATATTACTTCACTGGATGGAGGACTTTATGATCTTATTTCTTCTTTACAGTTTCCCTCAAAAAAATAAAATAAGAAGTATTGCAAGGATTGGGAGGATAGACCAAGTAACCTCCATTGAGAAAGAGAGCATGAAACTTGTATATAGAAGAAATAAATAAAAATGTCTAGAAGCAAGCTTGACTACTATGATAAGGAAATCACATTGCAAATGCTACCTTATCAAAACGGCATGCCTCAAGTGCTTCCATTGTAGATGATGCTCCATCCATAACCAAGCTGCTTGGATGCAAAGCCAAGGAGCTTAATGCATCAGCAGCCGCCTTGCGTGTTGCCCAATCAGTACTGGTGAGGCACTCATGGATACTAGGTAGCAAATGTTCCATGCTCTGTGGTGTGATTGCTCCAACCTGCAATTCAATTACCTCTTAGAAATCCGTCTAACTGTTATACTTTCATGTCTTAGCACAAACTGTTCCTTTGATGATTTCTCGTAAGTTTTGCGTAAGGAAAACAAGAAATAACAATTACCTCCCAACTGGAGCCACCCAAAGGCCAAAAATAGATATGATGAATGAAAATAAAAGATCAAATTTCAAACAACACACACGAGTAGAATCCAAATGGTAAACAGATGAACAAAAGTTAGCTTGAGGTATTTGCAGCATGTTCTTCAATCAAAATATAACATGTAAAGAAACCTTTTTCTGATAAAACCATCCATATCCTGCCAGGCCACAGAAAGTATCTGAGTTAAAAATTATATTACACACAAGTTTTTGCTCTAGTACATGTGCCTAAATATTTGCAATTAACATTAACATTATACATCTGTAGTTGCCACCACCGTTTTCATTATATTTCTATGCAAAATTCCAAATGTTACAATTCTAACATGAAAGGATCTAACTTATTCCAAACAAATGCAAACCTGAGACAAGCTAGCTACAACGGGTAAGACTGAAGCTTTTGCCAAGAAGTTGGGATTGTTAAGGAACTTGCATATCCTGGGGCACAGCTTCTGAAACGCAGAAATAGGCGGTTCTGAAGCGCACTCCACCATCTTAGCCATGCATATAGCAGCACCGGATTGCACTCCCTTGTTTTGCTCACCCATCGCTTCAAACAGCGGCTTCACAAATAATGCAACCACAGAACCAAGACCTCCATTATCAGTAACCCCGCCTGCACCTTTCAAGTACTGCGCCGACAGTGCACCAATAGCGTCACGACACGCATCCTTCACGCCTGAATCGGAGTCCTTGAGTCTCTTCACAATGTGGGCTATAATTTTGGTCAAGTGGGTCGACGCAGAATCGCTGTGCGACGCACAAACCACTGTGAACAACCTAAGGGACTCTTTCTTGACAGCTGGTTTTGGATCGTTGGACGCTTCATACAAGCAATTCAGAATCATGGGTATGCTCTCTGGGGATAAACTTTGGATGATTTTTTCCAAGTCTTCAACTGCGATCTGGTAAGTGTCTCTGTCAGAAAGCTTCGAGAGAGAGGTGAGGATCCTTCCCTTGAGTTCGACCATGGCGAGGTGGGAAGAAAGAGAAGATGAGGAAGATCTCGAAGAGGGCGGAGTTGAAGACGGTTGATTAGAAGGTTTCATGGTTTTCGAGTGCTTGTATGTCTGCGAACTCATTGTCGCTTCAATAGAGCAGCTAGCAGTGAAACCTAAGAAAATGCAAGTCTTTTGAAGTTGAAAAAAGCGGAATGAACGAAATGGGAAATGCAGAAATGGGAAAAAGTTGAAATGTAATGGTAATGAATGGTGATTGCGGTTTAAGATAGAGAAAGAGGAGGTTGAATTGAGGTAAGAGGAGTAAAAGCTAAGCTTGCTTTGGTGGATTTAGCGGAGAAAATGATGGGAAAATAAAAATAAGGAACGACTGGGACCCCAGATCTGCGAGCAGGAGTGAGGGAAGACGCCAAAATGAGGAGATTTTGAAAAGAAGAGAAACCGAAGTCAAAGAAATTTGCTGCTTCTTTTTTTTGGAACCAAAAAAAAAAAATTGCTTCTCGGTTGGGAGGGAATTGACGTTTTAAAATGGAACAAAATTCAATAAATTGATTTATAATAATATAATTTACAGTTTATAAAAAAAATAATTAAAAATTTAATTTAGGGCCGTACATTTAATTTATTTCATTAAAAAATTACTTATTTTTGGAAAAGATATTTTTTATAATACTTTTTAAACATTTAAAAATTATCAAAATTAAAAAAAATAGATTTTTAATTATTTTAAGTACATTCTAAAAATAATTTAATGCATGAGATGAGAGAGTGTATTTTAAAAAAATAGGATACGTGAAAATATCATAAAATTTTAAAATAATATAATAATAAATTATTTTTATAAAAAAATCAAGAAAGATATTATAAAATTTAAAAATAATTAACTAATAATTAGTTTTTTATTATTCTAATTAAACATAAAATAATAATGTCTGTTTTTTATAAAACTTTTACAAAATAAATTTATTTTTATAAAATTTTTAAACCATCTAAAAATTACTTATTTTTTAATTTTAAACAAATAAGTCATTAATAATCATATATAATGACTATGAGGTTTTATAAAATGTAAAAAAATTACAGATATATAGTATACATGCACATAAAAAATGTAAAATGTGTGTCTCATCTCCATCGATACTTTATGAGAATAACTTAAAACTTGTTTGATCCTGTTTTAATATGTTTCTACATTTTTAAAATAATTTCTTTAAACGAATTTTTGAGACAAAATTTAAAAATTAATCATCATTTAATAAATTTATCTAATTTAAAAAATTAATCATCATTTTAATAAATTTATCTAAAAGTGGTGAAACAAACAGTAGAAAAATTATTTACTTTATTAGCACAATTACAATTAATAAAAACATGATATTTTATGTTTTCAAAATTTTCAAAACAAAAATTAATAAAACATAAAAAATTTTATTTTTGAGTTTTTTAAAAATATCTTTTAATATTTTTATTTTCCATAGTAACAGATAACACATTTTAAAAATATTTTTTCAAAATAAAAAATCTATTTTGAAAACAAGTAGTAATACATGCTCTTAGTTTTTTTAATAAAGATTATATAAATCGGAGAATTACTAAAGTTTAAAAAATTTATAAAATTTTGTCACAAGAAAATCAATTAATGTGTTCTTTCCCATAAATCAAACTTCTATTGGGGTATTATATAGTATAAAAATATTGATCCATTTAACGTTTCACAGGGAAAGTTCATTCATTTTTTTGTAGTCCACCAAAGTCCATGTGATTTTATTAAAATCTCATAAATTTTTAAAAAACATTACTACAATAAAAAATAGCTTATTATTTGATAGCATAATTATTTTTTCAAAATATATAAATAAAATAACAAATATAAAAAATGAAATATAATTTTTATACACTCAAATATTTTTGCCATCTTTAAATAATGTGAATACGGATAAATAATTTTTTAAAAAATACAGGTTAAAATATTTAAAATAATTAAACAATCATTTTTAAATACATATTTCTTTCAGGGATTGTATATCCCAATTTTTCAGGCAAAAAAAAATAATTGTATATCCCAATTCCCCCGGGGCAAAGTTTTTAGGCAAAAGAAAATCCAAAAGGAAAGCCGCCAATTGATGGTCGGGAGCAGCTGATGGTATGGGGTCTGGTTGATGTGGGCCCCAGAGGCAAGGATCATTGACACTTCCTCGTGATATTTTTGTTAATGTTGTGTTTGGATTGTTATATTTGAGATTTGAAATTTCATATTTCAAATTCATCTATTTAAATTTTTTTGATTGTGTAGTTTAAACAATGGACATAATTACTGTTAGGCAATGTTTCCAGGACGCACGTGGAGATTTGAAATAGTAAGAGTTTATAAAAAATTTTAAATTATGAAAGAATTAATATAAAATTTAGATCTTGAATCCATAAATTTTTAAAAATCCAAGTAAGGAATTTTGTTCAAATATAAATTTATATGTATCCAAACATAGTATAAAGAAAATATCACAAAAATTAATGATTACTACAGGAGTTTTTATGTTTCTTAACACTCACTTAAAAACGCATATTGTAATGTTGTTGGTCTCAGTTCTTTTTTGTGTAACAGGGTGTCTCCTTGTCATGTTAGAATGTTATTTTTTTTAATGAAAATATGCCCACAAGTGACTATAAGCTAGTTAAGTTTGTTAGATAACCTTCTTTCATCATCTATCACTTTAATATAGTAAGACAAAAATTGATCAAAGGTGGTACAACATATAAAATCACTCTGCTCCTAAGTGGCCAAGAGATGAGCACAAGTGTTGGCTTCTTTGAATGTTAAATTTAAATGAATGTTCCAATCCTAAAAGAGATTTGGCCCAAAAAATTGAAGTAAATTCTAGCCTGATTGATAATTTCTATAAATGGGTAATGAGTGATTATCACTTCTAGCAATCAAGTTGATTGTCTTAGCACAATCTATGATGAGCACAAATGTTTTCAAGACACCCTCTCTACTCTTCTTTTGTTGTCGCATCAACACAGGATTTCCCATTCTCATGAGAACACTTTCTTTGTCTCACACTCCTTCGATTCTTTAACAAGTTCAAATGCATGAAGGTTGAGAAGCAAACTTCTCAAGTTTCAACTAACCCGATCGACATTCAAATTCTACATGAAGACTTGAGAGGAGTTATTGTGCTTGTTGTTTTTTCATTTTTTTTTCTTGGTTGTGTTTGCCATGAGTGTTTTCCTGTTTATTTTAATGCTTGGGCTTAATGTTTTATTTGTTCAATCTCATTTTGTAACTCTTATAGACTATATATGTTTGGTATACTAGAGTCAGGAAGAGAGAAATGGAATCAACTGTGGATTCTTCCTTTGAACATGTTTGATATGTCATAAGCATAATTCTCATGGGATCCAGTTCCATCAAAAGTCCTTAATTTGGATTCCTTAGCTTCACCCATGGAATCCATTCAATTCCACATAATCGATGCTTGGTTCCATTTTACCCTCCCCCTCCCTTTATTGTCCCCTCCACCTTCCCCGATCTCTAATGACCACTACCACAGCTCATCTACACAACCGTCAACCGCTGCCCCTCTTCCATCTCCCCTAATCTTCAACAATGATCATCAAGATGCTTCCATCTTTCCTCATCTTCGATGACCATTGCCCGAGACGTTAAGGTGCAATGATGTCCAAATCTGAGAGAGGAAGCTTACTACATAAACTTGTATATTTCCTTTCCATCGTCTCCTCCAGTTATACATTCTCAACTCTAAAGTCTCTGTTATTTATTGTCTCCCTCACCTCTTCTTCCCCCGCACATGTTGGTTGAGTTGAAGGAAAAAGAATCCAAAGAGGAAGGTGAAATCAAAGGCACGTGCTTATATTTGTTCAAATCTGTGGTTTGATTTGTGAATGGGACTTTGTATTTGTGTGATGTTTTTTATTTTGCTTTTAATTTGTCGATGGTTGCTGTCGTGGTTGTGGGGATTTAGGGTTGCCAGTCTAATGCTAAATTTCTCTTAAAACAAATTACAAGGGTGCTTTGGTCCTTTTAATTTTAAATACATTTACTCATTAAAATTATATTAGGATTTCATCCCCATACCAAACATATTTTTATAATTCAATTTAATTTTAATTTTGATTTCGATCCTATAAAAAACTCTTTCGTTATATCAAATGGGGCCATAATGTTTTGTTTTTCATTTATGTATGTTTTTTGGCTCAGGGAATCAGTTTCATGATTTACTGTGCTCTTTTACGTTGCAATCGCTTTTATTTTTCTTCAATAAAATTTGTCCTATTGTTAAAAAATAATTCCTTAATTTTAAGAAATTGTTAATTTACACTAATTGTCAACTAATGATTTGTGCAAATTGGCCTTAAATTATAAGTTTAAGAGCATCTAAAATCCTAAAGTCTTAAATTTAATGTTTTGTGCAATATTTTCCTTCAATTTTTAAAAATACTATAATTTGTTTTTAATCATTATTAAAAGTTAACTTTGACAATTAATTAATAAAAAATATAAAAAATACCTAAAAAATTACAATAAATGATTCAAAAAATAACAAATAAAATTTTATTGATCATTTTTTTATAATTTTGAGATTTTTTTATCATTTTTTAGGCAATTAATGGTTAAAATTAATTTTTATTAATAATAAAAGTTAAATTATATTATTTTTAAATGTTGAAAAGAACGATGTTGTAAGAAAATGACTTTAAAGTCATAGAATTGAATTAAAAGTCAATTTCTACTTTTTTCTCAACTCTTATCTTAGATTATTTTTTATTAAAAAAACAGATTAACCAAACATTCATGGCTTATAGCTAGAATCCTCCCCCTCGCTTAGATAACTATTAAATTCCTTTTTTTTTTTTTTATTGTTTGGCTGGGAAGCGAGACTTCAAATTCTATATTTAAGGTTGTGATTGGTATCTTAGAATTATAGAGAGGAAAAGAGAAATGGAAATGGAATCCATCTTATCAGGAAAAATATAATTATCAATTTTTATAATTTTATTAATTTTTACTTCTAATCTTTATAATATTTTCAATTTCTATAATTTTAATGAAATTGAATGACATTTATTATTTAAATTCATAGTTTAAGTGTTTTCAGTCATTATAAGAATTAAAAATATTAAAAAAATAGAAAGTAAAAATAAAATCTGATAAAATTATAGGAATCAATAATTATATTTTTTATAAAAAATTTAATAATAAGTCTCAATATTTTGGTCATGTTTTATTTTTAATTTAATGTAACCTTGTTTTGTTCTTTAATTTGACCCATTTAATCTTTATAATTTTTAAAAAGTATATAAAAATCATCAGTTAGCGTCTACAGCATTAATTTTGCTGAAGTGTACTTTAAACCTGTCAAGTGTTTTGTTGACGTGTATTTAATCTCGTCTCATCCCCTCATTTTGTTTAAGTCAACTATAAAGTAAAGCTTTTTCTGCTATCTTTTCTTTATAATTATATTTGGTGAATTTATTTTCATGCCAAAATATATTTACCACATCAAGTAAATTAGTTAGCAAAGCTACAGGAAAATTTATTCCGTCAATTTCAGATCATGGTGTCCAGGAGCGTTTTTGAAATGCATAGGAATTAATTAACGTTACAAACTGATCAAATTCAAAAGATTATGAAGAACGAAATAAAGTTAAAAGAATTAAAAACAAAATACAATTATTATTATATTTTCTATTAAATTTAGTATATAATATATAAAAAATATTTCATATATATACAATATATACCTCTCAGATTAATTTTTATTCCATGTTTCCTTTTATTTCAATTCCAACTCTTTCTGCCCGCTTAATTTCGCTTTATAATTAGATAACAATTTTAACATCCATTTTTTCTGATTTTGTTGGATATAGTATCCAGATTAAATTATATTTTATTTAAATTCAGTTGATTCTGCTTTCCTGATCTTCAACTCAATTTTTTTTCCTATTTATCCATTAAATATTAAAAATAAAAAATAACCTCTAATATTAAAATTAAGGCATTAGCTTATCCTCGTCATGCTCTTGAAATTTAGAGTTGTGCAACAGGCAAATGAGTTGGCCCGTGGCCCATCCCATTTTGTCCAAAATGGGCTGGGCTAACTTATACCTATTTCAACTCATTTGAAAAAGGGCTGGGCGGGCTGCAAATAGGTTTAGGCAGGCTGGCTAACCCATTTTGTACAAATAGCCCCCTTTTGGCTAAAAAAAATTTAATACTTCAAAATTCTTTAAATTCTACCTGAAAATAGTTTAAATATCACCATCATTAAAGGAAACAAGCTTCAATATTAGCAGTTACATATTACATTCATCCAAGGCTAAAAACATTATCAATCTTCAAAATATAATATTAATCAAATCAAAACAACCATACAAATTGATAAATAGTCTTGCCACAAGGCACAATTAACAATCCAACACAAATAGTTTTGTCACAAGGCAATAACACAACTAAACAATAAGTAAAAAAAGTTCTTGAAACAATCAACCGTATATTTAATCTTGCATTGAATCATCATCGTTTTCAGAACCACAAGAGATGGTTGAATGTTGAGCCTTTGATTCTTCCTCCACAAAACAAATTAAGAAAACAATATTCATTTTTGAACAATGTGGAGTAATATAAAGTAAAGATGTTAATGAAATTACCGACAACAAAATTATCTAACTCATCAAAATTATCAATATCAAGCTCTTTCAATTTGAAAGTAGGTTGAGAAAGCTAACCTTGAACACAAATGAGTGCCTCAACTATCTTTACAGACAGGGAACTCTTGAAAATATCCAGTACTCAACCTCTCGTACTAAAGGTAGATTCTGAAGACACAATAGAGACAGGTGAAATCGACACATCATGTGCAATCAAATTCAATACTTATACTTGAAGGTATTCACTTTCCACCAAGCTAAAACACCAAATTTTAGATCACGAGAAGCGACTAACTCAGTGGGAAGATATTCATTCACCTTCGAATTTTTTTCCTCTTAGTATTCAGTGCTTGCAATTGTATAGAATTGTCTTATTGTTTTATCATCCATGACTTTTAAGACATTATCATCGGGAATTGACTCTTGATTCCCCCCAACATTGTCATTCCATGTTCCGCTCTTGCTTGAGTTTGAGAAGCTTTACCATCAATGACATCCTTCAAATATTCATCATATAAGCTATGTAAGACATCCATGATATTTTTTGTGAAGGAATTTGAAACTTAGGCTCAAGTCCATGCAATAAATCTTTAAAACTCTCCTCTTTCACAACTCAAAAAGGCATCTTATCTTTTATAATAAATTTTGCAAGATCCTTCATGCACCTCTCTTGATTGAACAATTGTGTTGACATTGTTTGGCTATAAGAAACAGGGAATAAATATTGTGTTGTCTTGTTGGATTTATTTGGATTCTGTAAGCACTTTTCAAAATGCCGCCGAAGTGCTTTAGTCCCTTAGTTGGAAGGATGACTTGCATAATCCATACAACGATAGTTACATTTGGCATTGTGCTACCCTTTAATTTGCTCAAGTGGCATCCTTGTAAAATGCTTCCAAACTTCAAATCTTTGCTTCTTTCTTTTCCTAGCCGGTGCTTGTTTTTGTCTCTCATTATTTGTGGCATTCTCTACTCGAGTAATGAGACTGTGTGACGTTGCAGAAGCTTTAGTTTCAATATCACCTTCTTTCACATTTGCTTTAGGGGTTTGAGTGTTGCTCATCCTTTTAAATTCTAAAAATAAAATCATAACATCAATAAAAAAAAATTAGGAAGGCACAATTATTCCAATCAAGCAATCCGTCAATTTCATAAATCATAATACAAACAAAATCACATAATTTTATTTAGGCATAATTTCATATTTTCAGCCAGGCAATGTACTTATGCATGTTCCCATCATTGTTTATGTTCAATCACATAATTTAATCAAAGCAAACAAACAATCAAATATATATCATACTTAGTTGTCTTTCATCCACATTGCACAAGTCATAATCACAAGCTCATAGCAACTAGAAGATAGGGGTTATTAAATTGATATTGTGCTGAATATAAAATCAAATTTACAAGCTAGATTAAATTGCCACAAAGTCTATAAATTATACTTATACTCAAAAAAATCATACAGAGTACAAACTCAAATTATCGTGGCGTGTGCATGTGTGTAGAGTAATGACTAATGAGGTAATCAAGCCCAAAAGTAATTATACTCATACTCATACAGTCACTAAAATCCAGAGTAGAGGCAGGGTTAGAGAATTATCACTACAAGTACAGAGTTAATACTTAACTCACCTGGTCTTCCTTGGCTTGTCAGGCAGAGACGGACAAGCATGATGAACTAATGAAGCAGAGACGAGGGCGATGTTAGGAGAGATGAGATCGACTTCAAGTGGGAGTGGGTTTGAGTAGGAGTCGGAGCTGAGCATGAGTAGTTGTGAGCGGTGAGCCTGAGTGAGCGCCAACGACCGAGTGTGGGCCGTTCGAACTGTGAATTGCAAACAGTGTGAAGATTGACTTGTCGCTTGCTTATGAGTTTGTGAGTGTGACTATGTGAGGCATTGCCGCACTATCACTACGATTGAGATGAGAGACAGAATGAGGTAGTGATGTTAGGGGTAGCACCACCAGTGGACAACAATAGTGAGCAAGGAGCCAAGGCAAGGAGGCTTCAGAGTTCAGATGCAAGATTTTGATATTGTTCAAAATGGGACGGCAGATGGCTTACTTGTAGCCCATGCTGCTCGTTTACAAGTAACACTGGCTGGCCCGTATTTTCAACCTGTCCATTTTTTTCCTTTAATGGGTGGGTACAAACCTGCCCGTTTCAACGGGTGCAGACTGGTTTTGTGAGTTGTCCGCTCACCCCTCTCTTGAATAAAATTTTTAAGCCATACCCGCGACCCGAAAAAATAGATACTCAACCCGTTAACAATTGCTCCATGGGTCAACGGAACTCTTCCTGACTTCCTCAACCCCTACTAAGCCCTGGAGTAACAATAAGCGGCCCTTTTCCCAACTCCGCCTCCAACAATGGCTATCGGTTTCGTATTCGAAGCTCCTAGCGACGAAGAAATCGAGCGCTCTGATTCCGAAGACGAAGAACAGGAGCAAAGCCAAGAAGAAGAAGCAGAAGAGCAAAGTGATTATGACAACGACGACGACGACGACGAAGAGGATGCAGAAGGAAGAACACGAGTTTCGAACAAGAAATCTCAATCCCCGTGGGACTTCGCGAAGTACTCTGAATCCGTCTCGGAGGAACATGCCCGACGAAGCACAACCTCGGTAGATCAGAAAATTGCCAAAGCCATTAAAGAACGTTCCACCCCGCTCAGAAAGCCCGTCGAAGATGACCAGGAGAGCTCCGAGTCCGAACCCGACAAACAAGTAACGGGCTTATCGGTTTTTGGTACTGATTTTTCTGATTACTGATGGAAGCTTGTGCTTATTCTAAAAAATTGCTTCTGTTTCATTTAGGAGGACTACAAATCAGAAGAGGAAGAAGATGAAGGTGGCAATGCAAGTGAGAGCAAGTCTTTCTTCGCGCCATCTGACGGAGCTTCGTTCCATGCTGATTCATTCATGGAGCTTAATTTGTCGCGTCCTTTGCTCCGGGCTTGTGAGGCCTTAGGATACGTTAAACCGACACCAATTCAGGTTTCCGCCTTAATTTAGCCATTTTTTAACACTTGTTTTTAGTTCTTTGTGTTAATCTTTGCTTGCATGGGATGTGCTTAGGCTTTGAAATTTGATTGTAGGCAGCGTGTATACCACTTGCATTGACTGGTCGTGATATATGTGGTAGTGCCATTACCGGTTCGGGGAAGGTAGTCTCTCAGTTCCTCTCAGAATCATTGCTATATTATGATGCACAATACATCGTAATTTTTAAAAGTATAGAATAGGATATGTTTTTGATACTGCATACATACATGTATGTATGTATATTTATTTATTGAAAAAGCATAAAAAACATTAAAAATATAATTTCAATTTAGAAAATATTTAAACAAGCATACATACATTGTTCTTTATAGTAATACCAAGCAAAATATAATTATTAATTGTACTTTTATTTTATCCATACCTTATTGCCTACCTCCTAGTCCTACTAATAGATATGGTATCAATATCTTTTCCTCCTTGACCATCATTTGAAAAAAGAATAGCTTCTATAGTTGGTTCAACTTGCAACTTGCAACTTGCTTAGGGTTTATAACTTTATATATCATAACATTATATTCTCATGTTTTTATAATTAACAAAAATGTAATCTTTATTCTTTTATTACATCTAAACCTTATTTTTTAAGGGAAAACTAATCTTTGACTTTAAAAGCTAATTTAAAAAGATATTAGCAATAAATAGTTTAATATCGCAATCTTTGATAAAATTTAATTTCTTAAAAATTTCCCAAAAGTATTGACTCACAATCTAAAGTATTGAATACGTATTAAAAAATATTTTTTTTAAATTAAAGAATGATATTTGGATACTTTACGGATATGTATTGAAAAAGCATCGGTGAGTATCCGTACCGATACGGATACTGAGACAATTTGAAGTGTTGGTGTTTCATAAATAACTCTAAATAGTTGCATGATACTATCAATAGGCTGTTACAGAAGCTGAAATTGTGCCCAAAGAAAAATTTGTGCGGTAAATTTCTTTTAATGCCCTCCAATCCTCTGATTGTCTTCCCTTACAGACAGCTGCCTTCTCACTGCCTACTCTGGAGAGGCTTTTGTACCGTCCGAAGCATGTGCAGGCCATAAGAGTCCTCATTCTTACTCCAACCAGAGAACTGGCTGTCCAGTGAGTATTCTCATGGATGTTTTTGGGTTACTCTTATTACATAGAAGCATTTCAAGATTGTAGTTTTACTAAGAGAATAATGGAGTAAGTCTTGGGACTATTGGCCAGACTAGAGGTGGGGAAGGAGAACGCTTACTTTATCTGTATTGCTAGGCATGCTGCATGCTTTTCTAATAAGCACCAAGTAGGATGGGTTATTTGCGGTTTTGCAGCTATAATTTCAGCACTATGCTTCCAAAAGCTTGCAATTTCTATAAGCATTTATGTACTGTGATGAGACGAACTTGCAGGTGCTCAAGTTCATTATAGGCTTCCTTGAAAATCAATTTAGTTGATTAGTGATTGCTAAAAACAAATACTCTTTGTATGAAGTCGCTCATGCATTTCTCTTTAAATTCAAATAACACTTTTTGATAGGTCACTTTTTTAATGAATTTTTGTTTTATAATATTTATTATCAATAGGGTTAATATAGCTGATTGTTTATGACAGGGTTCACAGTATGATAGAGAAGCTTGCTCAGTTTACTGACATAAGGTGTTGCCTGGTTGTTGGGGGTTTGTCTACAAAGGTATGACTACTGGTTTAGTTTCATTATAGCTTAATCTTTAAGTTGTGTTGTTAGGTCATAATAGATTCTAATGTTTCATCTGATGCTTGCACTATGCCTTTGGGTTTCCTCCGTTGAATAATATTGTCTTTATATAGTTACATCTATATCCAACCAATGCATTTTGATCTTGTCATGAACCATTTTCTGTTACTTATGATAGACTTTGAATGGCTCAGCAAGTCAGAATATATTTGGTATTGATTATTGTTTTTCCATCTATAGTGCAAGATTAATTGTAGCTTTTAACAATCGATTTGAATATCACGTGATGTAGTCTCATTTCTTGTGATGATGTAATCCCTGTACCAAAGCATCTTGTAATGACATAGACTTTCTCATAAAATAGTAGATAAAGAATCTTTTGGCTTTACACAGGTAACACGCAAGACAACACTATTAATCACCAGGAAATAAGATTCTAGAAAGGAAGATATTTTCGAATAATCAAGAAAAATACCATCTACAATTCCATATTATTGCTAAGCTTTATTAGGTCGAAGGTGAATATGCATAAAGAGACATGCATTGAGGCTTTTGGTACTTTTCAAATTCTTTTCCTTTGATGCAATTAGTTGTCGCTTGTGGTTTGCTTCCTTCTGGATACATTTTATATGATTTTCTTATTAACTTACAAGTGATCATTTTCATCATAGGTGCAAGAGGCAGCCTTGAGATCAATGCCAGATATTGTTGTGGCTACTCCTGGACGCATGATAGATCATTTACGCAATTCCATGTCAGTGGATTTAGATGACCTTGCTGTGCTAATCCTTGATGAGGCTGATCGTCTATTAGAGCTTGGATTTAATGCTGAAATTCATGAACTTGTAAGTTCCGCCAGCCTTGTAATCCTAGGATCACAATCCTAAAAAATGCTACTAGGCATTTTATCTGCCTCCCAGTTTTTGGAAATTCCAACAAGTTTATTTCTAACAGGTTCGCTTGTGTCCCAAGAAAAGGCAGACCATGCTCTTTTCAGCCACCATGACTGAGGAGGTTGATGAACTTATTAAGCTTTCTTTAACGAAACCCTTGCGTCTGTCTGCTGACCCATCTGCAAAACGGCCAGCAACCTTGACTGAGGAGTAATTTCTTCATTTTTTTCTCGTTCCTTGTAGTGCCTATAATAGTATTCATTTCGTTTGACTTCTGATGCAGTTGAAGTCAGGTAGATCATGTATGTTAGAGAAGTGAAAAATCACAATTGCTTCTAAAACAAAATTCACTGATTGATACCTTTTCCTATGCGCTCCTTTGTCTTTGTGCTAATAGCCTTTTTGGATGCTGAACATTGAGACCATCAATATTTCTAAAGTTGTTAGGAATGACTAGGGTTCAGGCATGTCGAAGTTGTTATTGTTATTTTTTAAAGAAAATTCTGGTTCCTCTAAAATTCTGAATTGTTGTATTTAAGCTTTCGATACAGTTTTGAGCTCTGTTTTACCCCTGTTTTCCTTTTTTTTTTAGGGTGGTTAGAATAAGAAGAATGCGTGAAGTAAATCAGGAAGCGGTTCTTCTCACACTCTGTTCCAAAACTTTTACATCTAAAGCGATCATATTCAGGTTTTCCTTAATTTCATACATTGTACCTCCCTGGAAAATACTGATACATGAAGTTGTTGATGTTAATTTTATGAATTGGTCATAATTTCTTTTCTTCTATGAATAATAAAGAAACTAGTAGGACTTTTCATGTTCCATTCTAATTAGTTGTATGTCTCATTGATTTATCTGAAAGAATAAAAACTCATTGTTGGTATGATTCCGCTAGTATGTGTTCATTGTAAAGTTTCACTTGTACGTTATTGGCCTGTAAATACTCAATGCATTGACACTTATGGTTTCTGGGGAAAAAAGGAACCTGTTTCGTGAATAGAATAAGCTGAAGGTCTCATGTACTTTGCTCCCTCACTTGTGCCTTTTCTGTCTTTATTCTGCTACCCTTTTTGTCATCTTTAACTGCTTAATGATTTATCTTTTGACTTACAGTGGAACAAAGCAAGCTGCGCATAGGTTGAAGATTATATTTGGACTAGTTGGTCTGAAAGCTGCTGAACTTCATGGAAATCTCACTCAGGCCCAGCGTCTTGAAGTATGCTGCCTAGATTATTGTGTATCATTTGTTCAGTTCCCTAGTTCGCTTTATATTTTTGTCAAGGAATCAATTTTTTTAGTGACTGCTAAAATACAACTGCTTATCTGGAATTTCCTAATTTTTCATGTACTTCTATTTTTCTGCGTTGAAAGGATTGGCTTATTTGAAAATTGAAAGTGATTGTGCTAAGATAAATCTTGTGGTACTTTGTGTACAGGCTCTAGAGCAGTTCAGGAAGCAGCAAGTTGACTTTTTAGTTGCTACTGATGTGGCCGCTCGAGTACGAACCTATTCTTGAAAGTTATTTATTTACTTTTCTCATTGTAGGCATTGTTTTTTCATCCTTGTTTTAAAAGAAACTTTGTTAATATTTTAGATACTTTCTATTTTGACTTATCTTGGAACACATAACGTCAATGAAAATGCTTTAAATTATGGGGAGTTTAATGAATTTACTTTCAAAAATCTAACTGGTTTGGATTAAAATTCGACATTGTTTTATATCTATCTTATATAATAGGGCCTAGACATCATTGGTGTCCAAACTGTCATCAACTTTGCATGTCCACGGGATCTTACCAGGTAAATCATGATGGCAACACCGCTTTTGACTACTATTGTTGTAACTTATGCATACCGTGGTGTTTCATTCTCTGGGCCTTCTGGTGACTTAAAAATGTTATTTGAAACTGTAGTTATGTTCATCGAGTAGGACGTACTGCAAGAGCTGGCAGAGAAGGATATGCTGTCACGTTTGTGACTGACAATGACCGCTCACTTTTAAAAGCAATTGTTAGTATCATTCTTATAAATGCTGCGCATGTTTTTGGCCTGTTCTGAGCTTTATATCTTGATAGCAATTGTACTTCATTACCCCCCCATATATATATATATTTGTTAGTCTTGGCTTTCTCCCACTATCATTTGTTGTGTGATAGAAATCTTTAACTCATGCATTCATTTCCTACTTTATGTGTACATGCCATGTTTCTTTTGGAAAAAAATTTGCAACCATTTTCATATGGAGTTCAATTGGCTGACAACAGTAAAGCTTATTCATAGCCAGCATCAGCAGGCCCTGGCTTGGACTGCTCTGCACCATTTAACTGCATGCTGCTCATCCTCTCATTTCTGATGATTCTTAGGGTGACCAGTGGAAATTGATTAAAAACAAAGAAAACTTTTAACATCGCATCGCAGAATCGCAGATATTATCAAAACCAGAAACAGGAAAAAATGAGCAGAAAATGCAGAAAATAAGTAATAGGCCTATCCTGCTGGACTTTGAGATTCTAGTTATCTTCCTGAAAACCACTCTAGGGTTCAATCATAACTTTTCTCTCTGACCCTTCCGTAGCTAACTTAGAATCTCTTACTAAAAGCCAGCATGCACCCCGTACCTTGCAAACTCCGGGCATGTGCTGTCCGTTCCTAGTTTCTTTCCCGAATGGGGGTTAGTTAGATTCACATGCATTGCAATAGAAAGAATATGACTATGACAATCCCTTGCTTTTTGCTTCTGAGAAATAAATCTTAAGCATTCTTTACTAGTTGTCTTGCATATTCCAATTTTATTGTCTGCATGATCTTGAATCAACATATCTATCAAAATGTATAATAAAATTTATAATACGCCACACTATTTATAAATCATAGATAGCGTTGCTTTTTCCTAAGATTTTGTGAAATGCATGAAGAAACTTGTCTAATTCTGAATAAAATGCACATATGCTCTATAATTACTTTTTTTGACAAGTCTGGAAGGAAGTAACATGCTTTTTCGCTCTCCACCCCTTTCTGAAATTTAGGGCTGCTGTATGTTTAATTCTTTGGGTGATTTAGATATTCTTAATTGAAGGGTTCATTGAGAAGGAATTTCATAGTAAGAAGGAATGTAGTATGTCTTTTAAATGTTGGTTTCAATTGATTAGGCAAAGAGGGTGGGTTCAAAGCTGAAGAGCCGTATTGTTGCAGAGCAGTCTGTAGTTAAGTGGTCTCATGCAATTGAGCAAATGGAGGATGACATTGCTGCAATTCTCGAAGAAGAGAGGTTTTGATCCTATTATGTAGTGAAGTCTAATTCTTATATTTCACCATAATACTGCATTTGATTAGTTAATTTTTCACAGGGAGGAAAGAGCCCTAAGGAAAGCTGAAATGGAAGCAACAAAGGTATTGATCGGTTAAGCCTTGTCCTAAAATTAGCATTCTAAAGTAGCATCATTTAGACAATTGTATTGTGAATTGTCTTGATAGTGTAGTAAATGTTTTCTCGCATTGGATCCCTCTATTAGGTCATTCCGAAAGTTTTGTTTTTATTGTTAATAAATCACGTTTCTATGGCCTTGGCAGGCTGAAAACATGATTGAGCATAGGGAAGAGATATATTCCCGCCCCAAAAGAACTTGGTTTATGACAGAGAAGGAGAAGAAGGTTGCTGCAAAGGCAGCAAAGGTAAGATTTTGTTGCATCCTTTAGATATGGTTCTTACTCAACAACAACAACAACAAGAAGCCTTATCTCACTAAATGGGATCAACCAGATATGGTTCTTATTCATTTGATCAAATTTACAAGGGTTTTCCAACATGTTGTAACATTAAAGAATTCTAGTTGAGTCCAAGATATATCCATCATGGACTACTTGAAACCTGATGTATTGTTGCAAATAACCTTCGTGAAAAATATAGTTCAGTGCTGATAATACTAATGCTCTATCGAAATGACTTTCAACAGACTTCTAATGAAAAGGGAAAGAGCTCTGGAAAGGAAGTTATTAGCGCGGACCAAGCTGAAGCCCTAAGAATGAAGGAAAAGAGGAAGCGAGAGAGAGAAGTAAGCAGTGTTCTCATTTTATTTGTACTTACTGATTATTGATACTGATTTATTTATGCTTTTTTTTTTTTTGGGTAAGAAAGGGGGCCAAAGCCCGAAAAAGATTTCTTTATACCTTTATACATATATAAAGTACATATAGGCTTGCGTTGCTTTTGTGCATAGTTTTGTATTAACGAAAATATCTGTGGTCTAGAAAAATTTACCCAGGAAGAAGCGCAGAAAATTGGAAGCTGCTAGAGAGATGTTAGAGGATGAAGGTCATTTTGAGAAGCCAGAAGTATGTACTCCTATCATTTTCCGTTTGCTTATTTTCCGCAATAAAGAATCTTTTTAGTTGAGTTTTATTATCACTTTTTAAGTAATTTTTTTAATGTGAATATAACGAGTATCCGAAGTATGTGTAAATATAGCTTGTTATATTTAAGTTGAAGTGCTGATATTGATATGTTACATAAAAATAACCAATTTGATCATTGACGTAGTTACTGCATTGGTGACTGAACTTATTTTCCATCATTCTTAAATACATAAATGCGCAGGCTAATGAGAAAAATAAGAAAGAAAAGACTGGAATGTCACTCGTTGACGTGGCATACCGACGGGCAAAAGCAGTTAAAGCTGTGAAGAAGGCTCTAGATTCTGGCAAAATTGTGAAGAAGGGTAAAAAGAAATCGAATCATTCTTCACGAAAGACTCCTTCAAGGACAGATGAGATGCGGGAGCTTTTTCAAACTGATATGAGCGAGAAAAAACAAAAAAGAATTGGTGGACCAGGGAAGAAGTCCAAAAGCTCATTCAAAAGCAAGTCAAGGTATGTACTCTTACCTGTTTCTCTTGATGAATCTAATAGTATGTTACTCATTGATGAATCTAATACTCCCTCCATCTTAATTTATAAGATAAATTTAGACAAAATTATGTATACCAATAAAATTCATTAAATACACTTTATAACTTTATTTTTTTGAAACAAAAATATAAATTTTTAAAAAAATACCCTTCATTTAATATAACCTTAAATGATTAAAAAGAGAGATTAATAATGAGGGAAGGGTAATATTGAAAAAGTATATTTAGTGAAACTTTATTTTTGTCAAATTATCTTATATTTTAAGACATAAAATCACTTTTAAAATTGTCTTATAATTCGGGATGGAGACAGCAGTAAGTAACATTGTCATCATCTCTTTTCTCTTTATTTTACTTCATATACTACATATGCGGTCATTCTATGACTGTAGAGATTTGGATCTTTGACTAAGAGAAACAAGAAAAATTCGGTTTTATTCGGTTCCATTTTTCAGGTATAAGCGCAGGTAGTTTGTTTGTTATGGCAAGAGTGAATTTTGATCAAATGTATACCTCAAAAGCCGGTGCTTGAACGCATTGTTGTGGGAGGATTTTGACACTTAAATCCGTATGCCATACTCATATTCCACCATTAGAGCTGATGAATGAAGCTGTGGCTGTGCGAGTGCGAGAATAGTGACAGGCAAGCGGACCTATGTGGGAAACAGTGAATATAACCTGATGGGGACATGGTGAATGGATCTGCAAGTATCTTCTGACTCTTCAGCATGTCAGCATGAATATTCTCTCACTCCATTGTACCATAGCTTGATATTTTCTCAATTTTGTAATCTAGGCATCAGACGTTAACGTTTTATTGATTACTTAATGTAAAATCATTTATGACAGAATTATCTTTGGTAGTTTTTGAATTTTTGAATTTGAATTTAAATTTAGATATTAAACGTCATATTTAAAATTTATGTATTTAACATTCTTTGTTTGAATAGTTTAAAAAATTTGGAGAAGTGGGACAAGTTGAATATAATTAAATTTTATATAGGTTGCATTATTTATAAATAATGGATTATGATGCTTATTTTAAGCGAGGTAATGGGAATGGAAATCAGATTGGTCATTAGAACGGTCATAACAATGATTTAGGTTAGTGAACTAACTATTGGCTAACCTGGAGTAAGATTGTTTATGATTAAAATAATATATATTAATTTAAATATACAAACAATTCTTATTTAACTATGAAAAACAATAAAATTCAAATAGAAAAGTCCTTAATTTTCAAGTAAATAAAAAACTTATCCATAAAATCTAATACTTATCTTGTATGAATATTAATTATAAGTTTACGACAATGGAAAAATACAACATTAAAAATATTAATTAAGAGATTCATATTTCATTTAGGCTTACTATTTAAAAGAGGAAAGAGAGAGAAGAAAAGGGAAAAAAATAAAATAATTCTTGTTAACTCATTACCTTCTCGAGTTGATTAAGGTTTTTAGGGTTGAAGTTGGGTTAATTAGGTTAATCTGATTCACATCCTCCTCAATTTAATTCATCAACTAGATCAATTTGGTGACTGGTTTATTAAGTTCAACCAATTAGATCGATTTATTTTTTTATACCATGATTTTAAGTATTGTTAGCAATGAAGGTATTCAACTATTGAGTGACCTCATCTTACATTGCCTTTCTACCAAGCATGTCGTGTTGGTCTTGGAGGTAGGACCAAGTGAAGGCCAAACTCAGTTTAAGGTTGTCATGGAAATTTTTAAAACAATTCAACCTTTTAATCTTATTTAAAAATTTAACTTAGTTTTTAACATAATATTGTGTAAAAAATTATGTATAATTGTAAGTATTTTAATTTTAAAGTATGTTAATTTTCATCCTAAATTTATTTTTCAAGAAAATATATTTTTTATGGAGGTAATTTTATAAGCTTGTTTAAAATCCTGAGAACAGATTTTTTTTTTCTTTTTAAAAAAAAAAAGCATGTTTGGTAATGTGTTTTTATTAATGCTAGAGCAACTTTTACATATTTTGGTATTATTATAAGATTATATGATTTAAATTTTTTAAAGTTGGGATTTATGAATTTATATAATTTTTTATATTTATTTATTTTATTATTTATTATAAAACAGGAAATCTACTCTTTTTTAAATAACGAATCTTTTTATTTATAGAACCCAATGATTTTCAATGTTGAAGAATTTAAATTTATTATTATTATATAGAGATAATAAGAGAACAATTTTTGCTTTTGAAAAAAAATATGTTTGATAAAGTGTTTTTATAAAAAATATTTTAAAAACAAACAAATTAAATTCCAGTTTAGAGAATAAAAAATGTTTTAGATGTTTTTGAATTACTTTTTTAAATTACAATATAAGGCATCTTCTATAAAACTTACTACGTTTAAAATAAAAGGTACTGGATAATTTGCATATTTATTTTTTAATTACATCTCTATTTTATTTATTATTTTTTTAAAAAATAATGCATTAAAATTTTAATTGCTTTTATATAATGTATTTAATGAAAGTATAAATGAAAGTTAAAGCATACTTTTAATCCTCAAACTTTATAAAAAATTTAATTTAGTCATTTAATTTTATAAAGTATCTTTTTAATCCTTTAATCTTAATATTGTGAGTTTTAAACGATTATTTTTTGTGTAAATTATTATTATTTTTAAAAAATTAAACTTAATATATTAATATTTAAAAATATTTTATAAATATTTAAAATTTTAATGTAAAAATTTGATAAAATAAAACTAATAGTGTCAGGATTAAAGGACTAAAAAAACACTTTATAAAATAAGATTAAAATAAAATATTATATAAAATTAAATGATTAAATGCATACCTTAATTCAAATAAAAAGATGTAAATATTTTTTTAAATTTAAAATTTTAATTTTAACTAATATTATTTATAATTTATTAATTAATTACCTATAATTTATATGGTGGTGTGGAGGAAATTGTTGTGAGGAGTCAGGGAAGCCGCGGGACGCAACTATTTTTACCAATGGTAAGATCGTAAATAACCCAATTTTTGCCCACCCTAGCTGCCTCCATTCCTCATCGTGCTTTTGACGGCTTCATCCAGTTCGTGCGAACGAGTTCCGTCCGTCTGAGATAGCCACTACCTGCTTCATTCTTCTTCGCCTGAGAGAACCTAGCTCGTCGACTTCGTGCTCGTGAACCAGGTGCTTCCTTTATGCTTGACTTCTTCGTTCTCCTCTGGTGCTTCCTTCATCTTTTTTTTTTTTTGAAGTTTTAGATGGAGCATTCTGCTTGCTCTGCTCCCGTTGTTCACTACCTGAAAGCTTTACTAGTTTCATAATTTGTTTTCGTTTTTTCTCAATCCTCAATTAACTGCATCTTATATGGATCTTCGTCAGTTTGATCGTGTTCATTGAGTGGATGAGTGGATTTGCGTAAGCACTATGGTTATAATATATCCATACACAGAAGTAGCCCTTGTTTGCAATGCGTCGTATGCTTGCTTTCGAGCTATTTCTACCTGTTGTTCTATTTGATGATTGGCCTTCTTGTCTGCATCTTTAGGCCTTCTCATTCCGCGCTCACTTTTGCTTCGTGAATAGATTTATCCTGGTTTAGGCTTCAATCAAAGAAAACATATTTAATCTTATCTCGCTAACTCTTCCTTCTTAGGGGACGACATTTTTTTTTTTTTGGAAGTAGCTACTTGGTAGCATGTTTTTTTTTGGGGGCTTTGGCTGTTTGATTGAGATTTGAATTATGCATTATGTTTTTTTTTTGGGCCACAATTTGTTTTTATTTTCTGCACGACACCTTTGTTTTCTGTAATGGCATTATTGTAAATAATATGAACTTCATGTCAACAAACCCGCAATTCCCAATCCTAGCTGCCTAGCACTCCTTTCCTTCATTCTTCTTCGACACCGTCAGTGATCGGCACTCGTGGGCCCAGCGGCTAGGAGAAATGACAATTAGGGCCCTATAATGATATTAATCACAACTGCAAATTTTAAATTATTAAAATTTCAATAAAAAATCACAATCTTTATTTGCAATTAAAAAGAATGTAAATATTCAATTAAAAAAATTTACGAACTATACTTAAAATTATTTATAATATTAATTAAAAATTTATAAAAATTAATTGAGAATCATGATTTTTTACTATTAATATATATATATATATTAATTATTTGAAAAATCAAGTAAATATATTTAAAATTATTTATAATATTAATTAAAATTTATAAGAATTACGAGTCAATAATTTTTACTCACAATATATAAATAACTCACTTAAAAAATCTATTAAATATATTTAAAATTATATATAATGTTAGTTAAAAATTTATGAAAGTGAATTATAAATTATAAATTTATTGCTTGTGATTTTTTAATATTACTTAAAAAATAATAAAAAGTAATTGAATATTTTTATAACATTAATTGAGAATTGAGAATTTATTAAAGTCTGTTGTGAGTATCAATTAATTAATAAAAATAAGTTATCATAAATAAAGATAATATTTTATTATTAAAATTTGTAGTTATTATAAATATTCTTATATTTTATTCGTTTGAAATATGAGGTATTTTTTAATGAGTTGGATGTTTAAAATTATATTTAATTTTTTAATATATAAGTATTGTTTTTTTTTTAAATTTTTATTAATAATGACTTTATATTTATTGTAAAGCGTTTAGTAAAAATAAACATAAAAAAATATAATTAATTTAAAAATAATTATTATTTTATTAAAAGGTGAGAAATAATTAAAATATTTTATATTTTTAAGTTTTAATTGTCATTTTTTCAATAGATAAGATCGTGATCTTCGCCCTACATTAAAGTGACCCTTTGCTCGCCCTCTCCCGTTATTATCTTTGCGTCATTCTGTTCGTTGAGCCGTCACCCGCCAGTCACGGCCGCTGTCACCGTTCGTCGAGCCTCTAGAGGCTGAATGTGGTTTCCTGGCTGGCAAAGCTCCTACGTAACAAAAAGGCCACCCATCCTTCGAGCTTCAAAGTGTGGTAGTGTGGGAACGTAGGACGTTGCGGTGGTGGGCGGCGGTAACTTCCCTGCGACAAGCTTCGAAGTTTGAAGGAACAGTCTCAAGGTTCGACGAAATAGAGGTTAGGACGAAGGCTGTGATGAACTAGCAGTCTGATGTTATAGGTGACAAATAATGCAAATTAGAATTGGAGTAAAACCTTGAGGAACATCTCCAATTGAACATCAATTATTGCTTCGACTTCGTCTCTATTTAGCGCTGGAGTAAAAACATACTGGTATGTCTATATGCCAGTAACAGGAGTTATTGTCGCAGCATGCTGGATTTGAGGAAAAAAAAGTTTTTCAGTGTAGTTATTCATATACGGCTTTAAATCGGTTTGCTGCAGCAGATTAGAAGGCAGAATTACATTATGGATGGAATGTCTTGATCCCACTATATCGTTAACCTGCCATGAAAGTTAGGCTTATGCTCCTATTAGTGAAAGCTTGTATTCTTTGAGAGATTCTTAGGTCTGCCTTTCCTGCGCTAGTTTTTAATTAAATCAAGTAATAATATATGAAAATTAATATATATGCTCCTATCTTCGAAACCCAGCGTTTGGTGCTTCTAGTTTTCTTGCGTTTATTTTCTGCTTTGTCATTTCCTGTTTGGTTTCTGCTTCTGATTTTCCGTTTAGTGTTATTTTGTGAAGTATTCTGATTTTCCTGTTCTCATTATTAAAAATTCTCTGAAAATTTTGCAGAGCTGGCTGCTTTTTGTCTATTTGTATAGAGATTTTATGGATTCCGAAGTCGAAGCTATTGAGACAAGGTTTAAATCTTTGTTTGGTCAGCTTCAAGCAGAGTATGGCATACTTGAAAGAATGGTGTACAAGAACAAGAACCAGCATAGGCGTTGTTCTTATTTCAAGTATCTTTTGAAGGTATAGGATGCGTGTTTTTTACTTTCCTCTGTTTCTTCTTTACTAGTAGATAGCCAAAGTTGATCCATATTTGTTTCATATGCAAAAATGGGGTACATTCTTGGTTGTCACGAATATAAAATTGTGCTGGTGATCAAATGATTTCGGGCAATCTTTTTTCATTTGTCAATTTCAATAGCATGTGCGTCACCTTTAAATTCTGAATTTTCACATTTAGATTTACACATGTGATGCGGATATAGGTAAGGAGTGATTTACAACTTTTACAATCTGTAAACTTGGAGGAGCTTGTCATATCGTGCCTCCTTGTTATCAAAGGAGATAGACCTAAGCAGAAGATTCATCTTTTAGAGAGGTGCAACTTTCTTTCTGTTGATCCTTGTTTGCCTAATGCAAATCATGTTTCAATTCATTTGATTGGAATTTAACCTTTGATAGTGAAAGGATGTCTAATTTTGCATGATCATACATCAAGTGTCGTTATAGACTGATTTGAAGGCTAACTTTTGAATCAAATCTTCCAATATAAACACAGATTCAGGTTACTATCATAACCAAGGGTAGTTCTGTAATGGCAATATGAGCATGTTAAAGATATTTTTCTTCTCTTTGTTCAATAAACTCTATTCTATATAAAAATATATTTCAAATAGTTCTTGGAAAAACTTGTCCTGCCTTTTCAGAATCAACTGGAATAATTGTTTATTTATTTTCCTTAAATCCAAGTTAATTTGTTTTTGACTTTTTAGTTTAATCAGATGTGTGAGGGAAAGATTGGAATATTTTAAATTCTTAATTCATGAGATCTCATGAAAATATGATATAATAGCATTCATTTGAATATTTTGACATGAAAATTTTGTGCATTAGGAAGATGATAATTTTTTTTCCTGTTCCATTGTAGTTTAAAAAGGACAAAATGCAACAGTGGAAAATATAATTTTCTGGAGCGAATTTTAGGAGCTGCACGCCTGCTTGCAAAGGTGCAATTGCATGTCAATTTTAAAGATTTACTTTTGCTGTCTTCATTATTGAGTTACTGTGCTTCTACTTTGGCAGATGATTAGTTGTGTGCATCTAAACATTAATTTACTGACTAATTGCCACCTACTCATTAGAGCCAGTAGTTGTGTCATTTTAGTAGCATATTGGAGAGGATAAAAGGGTCTTGTTGAGATACTCTGCTTGCCATTGGTAAATAGCATCAACGTCAAAGCATGTTTGAACAAAATATTGAGGGAAGATACGTAGTAAACAAAGATATTACATGGTATATGCCAAATTCTTCAATAAGCCTTGTAGTTGGTAGTTGTGAGTGGAGTTGGTCCATTCATTATTCTATGCTTATGATGCCATGGAAATTTCATAGCATTCATCGGCTGGCTCTAATGACAATTTCTTCTATGTGCACTGCTTACTAGCACTGCAACCTATTCTCTAATTTTAATGTGTGCTATGTTTTTTCATGCAGATGGTTGAACCAATGCTGAAGGCTGCAACGTATCCTTCTGGTAGCAAACTAGTTATTTTTACTTCCTAGCAGTTTTCTGGTTTATTACATACGCCGTTGGTTTGGTTATCCAGGCCTCAGTCTTGGCATAAGGCATATAAACACTTATTTACTCTCTTTCCATACTTACATCTAATTTAATTTAAAATAATCAAATGATACTGTATTGAAACATGTCCTGTAATGTGATTTTAGGATTCTGTTCTCCTTTGCTGCTAATTTGTCTATGCTTTTTCTGCCCTACTCGTGATTAAAACTGTACTTGTTGGCACTATTTTCGTTATCTCTGATTAATTTCTTTACTGCAGATATTTTTATGTTCAATTTAATTTCATTACACTTGTTGTCATTGACATTATGGCCTTGCAGTGTTTCTTTGGTCGATCTAGATCTTGGTTGAATCAGAAATTTCATATTTGCTTTCCTCAATTTGATTAAATTTGGATTTGTTGAACTTCCTATAGCAGATTCTGATTTACAGCTAGGTTATAGTCATATAATTTGGCCCTGTAGCCAGTCATTATTTATTGGCGTATAAATTTTCTCTACATTTTGGAGGAAGAGAACATTTTTCAACCCTTAGAAATTGTTGTCACATGCACTGTTACCATCTTTTTATTTGTATGTGTTGTTTTGACTGTCATATTACTTATCTGTTTGGAATGCAGCATATTTTTCCCTTGACGAATCAATAGTATGGTATCTATTCTGTTTGCTCAGTCTTTTTTCACGGGATTTTCTATAATAATCATGGTTACACTTGCTCGCCTCCGGGTTTTAATTCAACAAGTAAGTTTACAGTTTCCAATGTTCTGCAGATTTAAGTTTTGCTTATACAATATCCTTTTCTAGTTTGTGTGTTATGACGAGGGCTATGGATTGTAAGTTAACGCTGTCCAATAAGATTGTTGTTATTAAGTGATTGTTACGTCACTAACTGTTCTCTTTAAGAAAAGAAGAAACTTAATCTTGAACCGTTTCTTGTTTTACAGATATTACTTGATGTTGTCACATTGTTCAACATAGTTTCTTCTATCTCTCGAAAGAAGCAGTCAATAAAGATAAAACAGGGGGGAGTTGAGGTTGGTTTATGCTAAATATTTGCATATTTTGACAAATAAATGGACACAGAAAACCATGTTCTTCAAGCCAAATTGTAATCACTCTTTCATAACATATATACTATTTTTGCAGGTTTTTAGGGAGTACTTCCCAGTTAGTGAGGATTTTGTTGCGTTGGAGTGTGTATGGGAATCAGATAAGTTTGTATTACTTGAGAAGGAGTGTAAGAATGAAAATGCAAGTAAAAGTGAAGATTCTGGAGGAAACATATCTGCCCAAGCACCAGCTATCAACTATAGAAGTATTGAATCTTGTCTTGGAGGTGAGAAACTTGCTGATGTGTTCTTCCAGCTATGTCCTGTTTATTTTTCTGTTGAATGGTTTTCAGGCAATAAAAAATGTTCATAACATGGATAGCTCAGCTACTGATTTATACAAGTTACTCTCTTTGGTCTTTTTTATAAATAACTCACAGCATGTTTCACCGGAATCAAGGAAAACTTTAAATCTCATTAACTTTGTTTTATTTAACAAGTATCCACCTTTACCACTAATAAATATTCATAAATTTCATTACTGATATTTTTGTTCAAAGCATTTAATAAGAGCAAGAATGTAAAGAGAAGCATTAAAAAATTAGCAAGTGCCTTATGAATAGAATTGATTTTTTTCTTCTCTCTTTGCCTTATAAATAAGACCAGAGGAGTATATTATAACGAGGTGGAATCCTTATATTGCTTATAAATAAGGGTAAAGCAATGAGGGTTGAATTTGGCAGAAGGGGGTAGTCCCTTATAACGTGACGAACCAAGGTTTGAGTTTCCACTGGGAGAGGTGCGCATATGTAGTGCCTAATTGTGCCTCAAATAAGATTATTTCTAATAGGATACTCGTGGGTGGCCAAAAAAAATAAATAAGGGTAAAATTGAAAAATAAAATTAATTACAATAATTTTTCATTATATCAAGGAACAAAAAAAAGCCTTTGAAGTTTGTATTATATTAAGGACAAAAGGGAGCACATGTTATACGTTTAATATTGATCTTGAATTCTCCAGTATCAAATTTTTGAGCAAGCCATCAAGAACTGTATGCTCTGCAGAAACTGCAAATAACCTACTTGTTGATTTTTGACCGAACTGTGGGAAACTTTATGATTTGCAGAAACTGAAAATGATCATGATGTCTCAGGGAGGATTGATGTCAATGATGAACCCTCTCAAGTCAAAGGTGTGACTATTGATTTGTTGAATCAGAAAGAAATGAGAGATTGTGATGAAGAAGGAAGAGAGAATCCAATCACCATAGAAGCATCTTTCAAAGAACTTCCACCAAAGGATGGCTTGCAATTGAATAACAAATCACTGAACACGCCCAGTGAGGTCGGTCTAAAGAGGGAGTCTTCTTCTTCTTCTTCTTCTAAGGTGGCCTTTGTCTCAGTCAAGCGTCCTAAATTGTCCACAGAGGCACAGCAAGGTCTGTCTCCATTAGTGGCTACTGTAATTAGTGAAAATAGCGAAACTAAAAATTATAAAGAGGAGAGATACAGTTGTTAATCTACTCACTGATGGGGCTGCAAAGAATAGTGTCTTCTAGACAGTGAAATTAATGGAGGTTTAAATTATGATTTGATTGAAATTAACAATTTTCTTTTCTTCTTTTTTTTTTCTTCCTTTTTTGTTATTTCTTTGCTTGGTATTCTGACTGGAACTTGGGACTTTAAGTTAATTTAACTTTATTGAGTTGTTTAATTAAGTGTCCTTTAGTAACAATTTTCTTTGCTTTGACAATCTTCAATTATATTTATGCTCCTTCCATTAAGAAAAGATTTTTACAGTCCTAACTCCTAAATATAAGACATTTTGTAAAAAAATTAATAGCATTGAATTATTTTTTTGTAAATATTTTGTTTATTATATTTAAAGAAATATGATATAAAAAAAAGAAATTAAAAGGTAATTATATATGTGGATTATAATTGGAAGACAATTTTTAAAAGTAATAATTTTTAATGATTTGTCAATGGAATTTGAATTTTTAAATACATCATTTAATTCTTGCGAAGTTCTTGAAAAATCTGGCCAAAAAAAGAACTCAAAAATATTTTATATTAAAGATTGGAAAAAGTGTGTGTATGTGTATATTCAACCAAAAGAAAAAAAAAGGAAAATAGTGACATGAAATCAGACCAAAGAAAAATAATTGAAACATAATTTTTCCAAGATAAATATATTTTTATTGTAAGTATTACTCCCTCCATTAAAAAACATAATGTATTTTTAACTGAATTTTATTCTTAATAAAATAGTTACTTGTTTCAAAGCAATCTTTAATTTTTATATTTATCTTTATTTAATAAAATATTTTGCTCTAAAATAAATATAAAATTATTTATTCAATAAAGTCACTTTAAAAAAAGTAATAATTATACCTTAAAAGATTAAAAATATATTTTAAATATCTAAACCCTACAAAAAAAAGCATTATATTTTTGAACAGAGGGAGTAGTAGTATATCTGCAAAGGGATCTTTGAGATGAAATAAATTACTTATAAATAAACTTGTTGACATGTTTTATTATATTATGAGTGTATGTTTAACATGCTGCATATTGATTAATTGCTCTGCTAACCAGATTTTTCCCATTCTTCCATGTTTTTAATATCCCACTATTTCTGGCCGAAAAAATATTCTTCCATTAACCATGTCCTTGTAATTATTTTTCTTTTTATGTCCTTGTAATTATTTTTCTTTTTATTTCGTTAATGTGCATTTGATCTTTTATCCCAAAAAACATGTATGCATGTAATATTTTTATTAATCGGATCTGTCAAAATTAATTTTGACAATTTTCATACGCTACGTAATAAAGGAAAAGAAGCCAAAAATAAATTAATAAACTTAATTGATTACCCAAAAAAAAAAAATCAACAAACTTAATTAGAACCAGAACAATATACATGTATTAAAAATTATTTTTTCGATGATTATCTCGGTGATCAAAAGGAGTGCGAAGAAGGGGTAACAAGAGTGAAAGATGTGTGCTCATCACGCATTCGATGCTAGCGAATATGGCATCACCGGATCGAGGAGCAGCAGGCGCCATTGACAGGACTGGCCGAGGTTGCAGGAAGGAAAAACTTGGAGTTTGACAATTAACGATCAGCTGGTATGCTCACATATTTATTATCATATTATGTACTAGTATTTGAGGATATTTTTTCAATACATATCTGTAAAATATCAAAATACTATATTTTTTTAATCAAAAGATTTTAATTTTTAACATATATAGATACTTATAAATTATAAGTTGATATTTTAAAGCAAGCACTTTAAGATTATTTTTAAAAAAATAATTTTATTAAATACTATAATATTAATTTTTTTATTTTTAATATATTTTTGTGATTTACTTTTAAAGTTAAAAATTAATTTTTTTAAAAAATAAATTTAAATATAATAAAAAATTATATATTTTTATTATAAAAATGTGGAAATATAATTGTTTAACATATAAACTTTTAGTAAAGTCTATTAGCAAATATTAAACAATAGACAATTGAGTATAAATAAAATAAAAATATAATTAATAATTATATTTTGTTTAGTATTATATATATAACTAGTTTAATTTTTTTTAAATTAAAATTATATTTTTAATATTTTTATGTTTTTTCAAAAATATGTATATACATATAAAAAAATACATTGTATTCTATATTTTAAAAAAAAATTAGGAATGTGAGATATTTTTTTCTATTTTATTTATAAAAATATATTTTAAAATATTTATTTAATTTAATTTATAAATTAAGTTATAGTGTAATTTTTTAAGTAATATTTAAAAAATATTTTTAAAATTATATTTTTTTAAAAAAAGATAATGTAACATTATTTTTTAAATTTATTATATAAAAATATATTTAAAATTTTATATATTTTTGTTTTATATATATTTTTTATATTGGTAGTGATAAGATTGTAAAAATGACTTAGGAGAGGAGTAGTATTGCTTTATATATATTTGCTTAATTTTAGAGGCGACGGAGGGAGCAACGATAATTATAACCTGAACAAAACACAATCTCGACTGGTTGAAGAAGCGGATCCATTCTTCCTCGTCGACGAACAAGCATTCCACACTTGGTCTAGATCGCCGTCGGACGCCGTCCGTCGTTGTCAGCCTTGCTCGGCTGTTCTCCGGCAATTATTGAAGAGGTTGGGATCCTAGGGCTTTTTCTTTTCCATGCCTGGACTTAGGGCTCGAAAGCTAACTTGCTATAATATGCTGTTGACAACATTCATTTTTTTTTTTGAAATTAATTATCTTCTTTTCGATTTTTAGAAATGTTAATGTTTGTGTTCTTTCGTTTCTTGCTACTCATGTAGAACTTGGGGGGTAAGATTTTCCTTAAATTCAGGTCTGCTGCTATTGGTACAAATTAGAGTGACTGGATTTTGATTCTTTTAGACTTCGTTTTCATCTCTTGATATGTTATTCTTTTCATGAATATATATTGGATTTGTCTCCCTCTTTCTCCCTCTCCTCTTCCTTCCTTATAGTCCTTGTACTTTTTCTGTTACTTGATCATTTTTAAACGAGATGCTTATTGTTGTTTATTGGCTAAAAAAAATTAGGGTCTTAAGGAAGGCGAGGCAAGCATTAATTTCGGTTTTCATTCAGAGAAAAACCATGTCAGTGACAGCAGGCGTTAGTGATACATAATAGCTATAAGGGATAAGCTCCGGGGTAGGGAGCAACGATAACTATAACCTCAACAAAACACAATCTCGACTGGTAGAAGAAGCAGATCCATTCTTCCTCGTCGACGAACAAGCATTCCACACTTGGTCTAGATCGCTGTCGGACGCCGTCCATCGTTGTTAGCCCTGCTCGGCTGTTCTCCGGCAATTATTGAAGAAGGTTGGAATCCTAGGGCTTTTTCTTTTCCATGCTGGACTTAGGGCTTGAAAGCTAACTTGCTATAATGTGCTGTTGACAACATTCATTTTTTTAAATTAATTATCTTCTTTTCGATTTTTTAGAAATGTTAATGTTTGTGTTCTTTCGTTTCTTGCTACTCATGTAGAACTTTTGGGTGGGGGGTAAGATTTTCCTTAAATCAGGTCTGCTGCTATTGTTACAAATTAGAGTGACTGGATTTTGATTATTTTAGACTTCGGTTTTCATCTCTTGATATGTTATTCTTTTCATGAATATATATTGGATTTGTCTCCCTCTTTCTCTCTCTCCTTTTCCTTCCTTATAGTCCTTATACTTTTTCTGTTACTTGATCATTTTTAAACGAGATGCTTATTGTTGTTTATTGGCTAAAAAAAAATTAGGGTCTTAAGGAAGGCGAGGCAAGCATTAATTTCGGTTTTCATTCAGAGAAAAAAACCATGTCAGTGACAGCAGGCGTTAGTGATACAATAATAGCTATAAGGGATAAGCTCCGGGGTAAAATTGGGCAAACAAAAGTTAAGCGGTATTGGCCGGGTAAAGTTCCTGAATGGGCTGATGATGAGAATGAAGAAAGCGATATCAGAACGGCCAAGGAAGCTGGAGAAAAGAAAGCATTTCCTAGTCAAGAAGATTCTGGTATTGTTAAAAAGGATGATCCTAGGCTCCGTCGATTGGCTGAAAGCAGAATAGATAATCGTGAGGAAGTGAGAGCTGCTCATCGGCGAATTCGGCAAGCTGAAATTGTTTCTACAATTGAAGAGGAAGCCAGGAGACAGGAAGGGTTGGAATTAGAGGAACAAGATGAGGAAGCTTTGGAGGAAAGAAGAAGAAAAATTAGGGAAAAATTGCTTCAAAGAGAACAGGAGGAAGCACTTCCTCAAGAAGAGGAGGAGGAGGAGGAAGAGGAGGAGGAAGAAGAGGAATCTGAGTATGAGACTGACTCAGAGGAGGAACTTGGTGGAATAGCAATGGTGAAGCCTGTATTTGTTCCTAAATCAGAGAGAGATACTATAGCTGAGCGTGAACGTCTTGAAGCTGAAGAGAGGGCACTTGAGGAGGCTAGGATAAGGAGATTGGAGGAAGGAAAAACAGAGACAAAGCAGATTGTTGTTGAGGAGATCCGGAAGGATATAGAAATCCAGAAGAATTTGGACGTGGAAGCAAATGTTGCTGACATAGATACTGATGATGAGATTAACGAGGCAGAGGAATATGAAGCTTGGAAAGTGAGAGAGATTGCGGGACAGGGACGATCGTGAGGCAATGGAAGGAGGAAGAGATTGAGAAGTTAGAAAACATGACAGAGGAAGAGAGGAGAGAGTGGGAAAGGAAGAATCCAAAACCAGCTGCACCACCGAAGCAGAAGTGGAGGTTCATGCAGAAATACTACCACAAGGGTGCCTTCTTCCAGTCCAATCCTGATGATCGATCTGCAAACAATTGGAAGTGATAATATTTATGGTCGTGATTTCTCTGCCCCAACCGGAGAAGATAAGATGGACAAGACAATTTTACCCAAAGTTATGCAAGTCAAGCACTTTGGCCGTAGTGGCAGAACTAAGTGGACCCATTTGGTTAATGAGGATACTACTGATTGGAACAACCCGTAAGTGCATTTCTATATAATTTTCCATCTTTTTGAAACTATTTCTAGCCGACCAGATTATTTATTTTGTATTTGGAAATAGTGTTTCTTTTTTATTTCTTTTTCTCTATTTTTTCCCAACATTTTCTGCTTGTTTTGACTGCCAAATATTACTCTGCCATGATACTGATATGTAATACTCTCCTTCTGACGCCTTCTGGAGGACATCATAAAGTTGAGGAAGCTCAGATCAAAACTTAGATAGTTTAAGGTTTTCACCCTTCCAATCTTGTCGTTGTCTGAATGTTCTATTCTAGCAAGAGTAAGAATGAGAAGGAATTCTGTAAAGGATGGATTCAACAACCTTGGAATTTAATTATGTGAGTGGTGAGACTGACCGGCACTGGGGGAGGGTCTGCATTAGGAAAGGAAAACAGTCCCAATCGGGCATTGAAAGAGGCCTATTTTATTCAAGAAGAAAGTTAAGGAGGACCAAACAATGAAGGAAAGTCAAGAGGGAGGGAAAGGGAAACCCAATGTGACTACCTTGTTAGGTAGAGCAGAGGCCGCGAGAGAGGGAGAGATAGGGTTAAGGACAGAGTATTTCTGAAGGGGGTTTCTGGAGGGACGGACAAGAAGAATCTGATGATATTAAGAGGTTAATGCATCTACTTTGAAGACAGTTCATTGGATTCTCTATTTTTTAGTGATTTGTGTTGACAAGTTTTCTTATCCATCCCGTGTTTCTTTTTCTAATTTAATGGATGCCACTTTATATAAGTCATTAGTTTTTGTAATTTCTTGGCACTATTCTCTCTTCTGTTCCCTCTGGTCAGCAACTCATGATTGTAGTTTTCGTTGGCACAACAGAAAGGTTAAATGGAACTTTACAATCAACTAATTATCGACAGCTCTGTGTTTACCTAATACATTTTGCTGTCATAGAAATCCTTTTTACCTTGCATCCTTTCATATCTGTACATGACCATGAGCTTGTGTTGCCTTTGGATTTGGATGCTCTTGATTTCCTAACAAATTGTTAGTGTCAATTTTGTTGTTGTTGTGTTGTTGTTTTCTTTCTTTCCTTCTTTGTTTTTTTTGGGGTGGGGTGGGGGCCCACACTAGTCCGTATTGTCTCAATTGGAGAAGGAGAATGAGTAAGTTCGTTTATTTCCCAAAGTATGGCTTGTTTCTTTCCTGGATACGTAGAAAATGGAATTTATCAAAATAATGCATTTTTCTTTTACAAATTAGAACGATCTAGACTTGATTCATTTTCTTTCACCTCATTCTGCCCCATTTTGCTTGATACTTATTTTGCAGCATGTTTTTCTTCAGAAAGTGCATTGCTGTTATTGCTTACAGCACTTTTGCTGTTTTATTTTCAGACATATTACTTTTATGAGAACAATGGTTTTCATTCATGACTTGTTTGGGGACAGAAATGGTCGCCCCATCTAAGATTCCCGTTCTCTATCTTCATTTACAAAGTCTCTACTCTGATTTCAAGTCTGTAAGATAGAGCTGCAAATTAAAGCAGCATTTTACCCTTGCAATTAATTGCTTATTATTTTTATTTTTGGATAGAATCAATTGTTATTCGATTATGTGAATGACCCAGTTAGGCTATCTGTAAATAATTGGTGTCTTATTATGGCCCCTAATGTTATTGTTGCCAACGTTGAATTATGTTGCAGGTGGACATACAACGATCCACTTCGGGCAAAGTACAATGAGAAAATGGCAGCAATGAATGCATCTATGTCAAAACCTAAAGGAAGCAAAAAATTGAAGGATTGGGAATCTCGATAAATTTGTAATTTTAATTTGCCTTGTATTGTATTAGACTAACAGCGTAGCAACAGAGTGGGCAACTTTCACCACACCAAGCTATAGAAGCGGAGCATCTCCTCTTGAATTCAATGACATTAGCTTTGCTCATTTTTCTTCTTTTGCCTGAATAATGGCCGTTGGTTGGTGTGTGTACCACAGGTATGCTTTCTGATTTTTGAGTGTTGCAGACTAACACTCACTATTACAGGAAATCTAGAAGATAGCATCTCAAGGGGTTATTCCACCATAGTGACTCTAGAACTATCTTCTGAAACTGAAGGGTCTGTGAAGCCTAATTAGTTGTCGAATGTCATCTCTCAATCTCCATGTCATCATTCTCCTCTTTGTAGAGTGGAAAGCCAATCCTGAAGTCTTTTGATGAAAAATGTGGGTACATTGATCTTTATTTTATCCCAAACTAGTGCAGGTCCTGGTGTGTCCTGGAGAGTTCAGGATATAAGTGGTATCGTTTGACCCATGAAAAGTACTGCTAGTCGGAATTTTTATATTATATATTGATTGATGATGTATAAATTCCTTTCTTGAGCAACCTAGCTGTCAGATGATGCTGTCTTGGCATGCCTAGTGGGGAAATTTTCTGATATTCTGTTACCAAGGCTTTTCTTTTCTCTTTTCCCCTGAAGACGATTGTCAATTGTCATTCTCACTTTTACCATCTTGGTTCTTCTTCTTTTTTTTTTAATACAAAGGAAAAAGAAAAAGATAAAAAGAAAGAACGAAAAAGAAAGCAAGAAAAGAGAGACCACTAGGGAGGTCTCAACAAATCAGCCCGAGACAAGTCATTTGACTCAAACGTGTAGAATCCAGGTGTGAAGCAAGAGAGCACGTTTTGCTAAAGGATTAGCATAGGGATGTGCTTCATCCACGTCTTCCAGTTTCGTTGGAGTAGTTCCTGAATTTCCATAATCTCACTGTAATAAACTTGAAGATCAGCATCACCTCCCTGAATCAGTTGGATAGTTTCAGAAATCCGAATGCAGACATAACTTCCTAAATCCCTTGTCCCAACCATTCCTCAAACCCATTAGGCATGCCCATTATTCTCCTTTAAGCAAATCTCCGTCTTGTAGTCGAAGCATGAAAGCACCCAAATTGTTTCCATTATAAGTTTGAAAATGCCTCCACAGATGATACCTTAAGTTTGGGTTGAGAACGCCCCATCTAGAAATAGCATAATTGCGTCCTCATCACAAGAACCTGGGACTTAACAAAATCCTTTCGACAATGAAGATTAACAGAGCTCCAGTTAATTCGCGTCTTCCTCATACACCGCGGAATAGCAGAGGCATGAGAACGGATTGTAGCATTGGACATAACACTACTCTGAAATATCCGGTCATTCCTTCTATGCCGTATAAGCCAGCAAACCATAGAGAACCAACTATTCCAATTTTCTTCAATCCTTCCAAATCTTCCATAAGATTAGGTCTGCACCAATCCCAAAGGGGAAGGTTAAAGAACCTATCAATAATGTCAGGTCGAACAAATCATAACCAGATTTCTCGAACCCCTAGACACATCACAAAGTACATGGAGGTGTCTTCCTCTATTAAATTGCACCACGTACAAGCTACATTACAACAAAAGTTACATTTAACTCGTATTTGGTTACTCAAAGGCGCCTATGCCGCGTCATCTACATGAAAGTTTTGCATCGATGTGGCACGTGAAGCTTCCAGATTTTCCTTATAGCTTAGAAACAGGGGTCTCGTCCTTACACAATAGCGAATAAGTCGATTGTATAGAAAATTACCATGTTTTTCATATTCCATCTCACCATCTCATGACCATCATTATTGGTAAAATGTTGCAGCCCAGACAAGAGTGTATCCCAATTTTTGTTTCATTCCATCCATAAGTGAAACCCAAACAAACGCGGTTGATAGTCAGAATTAAGTTTGACCCACACTTATATTTACTTCTCACTACTTTTGCCCAAAGAGCCTCTCTGTTATGAATAAGTCCCCATCCATCTTTCATCATAAACGTTTGGTTTTGAGCTTGAAGATTACGGATACCAAGAACCCCTCTCTTCTTGTCCCTACACACAGTCTCCCAAGCAACAGCATAAATCCTCTTCTTCTCATCAATTGACCCCTACAAAAAACTCGAGAATTTTTTTCTAACTCTTCAACAATAGATATAAGGAGTAAGGTAGTTTGCATAGGGTACATTAGTATAGTTGACAAGACTAAAGAAACAAGAGTTGTCCTTCCTACAAGCGAGATACTCTCTACCTTCCAATTACTCAACTGAGTTTTCATTCTATCTACCACATACTTACAAGTGTCTTTCTTAACCATCATATGGTGCATGGCACTCCAAGATATTTACCAAGGCCAAAGTAAAAAGAAACACCCAGAAGCCCACTAAGTTGCTGTACTTTAGTGTGATGCATGTTAGTAGAGAAGAAAAACTCGGTTTTCTCCTTACTAACCCTTTGGCCAGACGCTAAGCAGAATTTCTCAATACAGCTATTTATAACCTCTACCTGGTCAACTGTCGCTTCAGAGAAAAATCATCAAATCATCAGCAAAGAAAATATGAGACAACGGAGGGTCCATCTATGTTGAGTCTAATCGGTTGCTAATAGCCCTTCTTTTATTTGATCCTGAATTAAGTGATTAAGTTTCTCAATGCAAAGTACAAAGAAATAGGGAGAGATAAAGTCACCTTGATGAAGCCCACGAGTCAGGGAGAACTCCTCTGTTTTACTTCCTTCCCAAAGAATTTGCATTTTTGTTGAAGTTAAGCAATAGCGAATCACATCAATCACTTAATTTGGCAATTGAATTTCTCTACGACAAGAAAGCACGAAATCCCATCTAAGACGATCATATGCTTTTTCTAGATCAATCTTGATAGCCATAAACCCTTTTTTTCCTCTCGTATTCCTCATAGAATGAATAACCTCCTAAGCAACAAGTTCATTATTTGCACCAAGCTTGCTTGGAATGAAACTGCTTTGGTTAAAAGAAATAATGTCAGGCAAAAATCTTTTGATTTGGTTTGCAATAATTTTTGTAATGGTCTTGTAGATCACATTACAAAAATTAATTGGCCGAAAATCCCTAATAGTTGCAGGTTGATCCTTCTTTGGAATTAGCACAAGAAAAGTATCATTAATTCTTGAATAGTAGATGGATAAATGAAAGCCTGTTTGACCACTTTTCCAACAGAATCCCCAGCAAACTTCCACTGACTTTGAAAGAAAAGGCCATTTGGATTAGGAGATTTGAGAGCTCTCATATCAAAAATTGCCCTTTTAATCTCTTCATCATGAAAATATTCTCAAAAGAGGCCAAGATAGAGCTATTTATATTAGGAAATTTGGACTCAATAGTAAGGTCAAAACTACTACTATTAGTTTTAGACAAAAAGCCCAGTAAAAAAAAGCTAACGCGTTACCTTGTGTTTTCTCCAACTCATAAAGCCAATTACCATCATCATCCTGTAAAAAAGTAATTCTCTTCCTTTTTCTTCTAGCGTTAGCTCTTGTATGAAAATGTTTGGAATTACGATCTCCAAGTAAATACCACTCACACTTTGCTTTTTGAACCCACACCAAACTCTCTTGGTTCAATACATCTTCCAACTCAGTCCATAATTTAGCTTGAAGTTCCTCAATGGATTGATGATTGCAACAGTCACGTGCAACCTTAGAAAGTCCCTCAAGTCTATTCAACAAATATCTTCTCTTCTCTCCTAGATGTCCGAACACCTTGTCCTTCCAATTATTTACTTCTTCAGTAAAATGCATAACGTTCTCCTGCCATCCATAACTTCCCTTCCAGGTTTCACTCATAAATAGCTCAAAATCGCAATGCATAATCCAAGAAGCAACAAACCGAAAGGTTTCTCAGTATACCTACGAGGTCCCTCTTCCTCACACATTTTCAAAAAAAGAAGGCAGTGATCGGATTTGAAAAAAAGGAATATTTGAAACAATAGCATTTTGAAACTTCTCTAAACATTGATTATTAAAGAGGATACGATCAATGTGACTCTCACAATTACCCCTCTTCCATATAAAAAAAGGACCAGAACAACCAATATCGGAAAGACCCATCTCATCAACCCATCTAATAAAATCTCTATCCATAGAATAGTGAGAGCATAGCAAGGAGCACCTCTCATGTTGAAATAGAGCAGCGTTGAAGGTCACCACCTACACCCTAAGGCCCTTCAATAGAAACACTCAAATTTTTATAGTTCTTGCCACACCAACCTGCAAGTCACCATATGTGGGCTTGCATAAACTACTGTAACAAAGAAATAATCATTCTCATGCAGTAACCTGAGATGAATGAATTGCGGATGACTGACCAGGACTTCAAAATTCCAATATATCATTCCAGAGAACCCAGAGTCCCCCACTAAAACCTCTTGCATCAACGACATGAAATTTCTTAAAACCCATAGATCTAGCTAAACTCTGTGCTTTAGGAACCACTAACACGAGTCTCTAGTAAGGCGACAAACTCCAGATTATGCTTCTTGGTAAGTTCACAGACAAGACCTGGAAGACTCCTTGAGCCTGTACCTCTAGAATTCCAAAAAAGAAGATTCATTTAAAAAACTAGGCAGAAGAATTTTGGGCTTGAGTGCCCTTTCTAACCTCTTCAACAATCATAGAAATCATGTGGGCATCCCATTTCCTTATCACCAAATTCACAAATGTGAACAGGTCCCAACGCCATAATTTCTGAGGTCAAAGATCTCCTTGGTTCTTTGATTTTCAAATTGAATTAAAGTTGTTTTCTCATGTATTTTAAATTTGAAAAGAGTCAACGCTTTCATGATTTATAAATAGTGACTAGTTATGAGGAATCAATATGTGTGCGTGTGTGTGTGTGATTGTAACTAATTTTCTTCTCCTGTTTGGACCAAAGAGACATTTGCCATTGACATTTTTTTCCAACTTTGTTTCATTCTATTTTTCGCGCTAAATGGGTTTAAAAAAAAAAAAGAAATCAAGAATTGGTTGGGTATTTTATGGATAACATTGGTCCTACTTCCTTGTTTCATTCCCCTTGAAGCATGTCCATAAGCAATTCAATTTTCTACTCGCAGCCCTGAACCTGTTGTTGATTGTTAAACATAATAATTCGACAACCCTTTGTTCAGTTAATTCTGATAAATGAATTGACAAGGGAGGATCCAACTATCTTACTCGAACAGTATTACATATATTGAGATTACCTGTTGCGGTATTTTTGGAGTTGAATATGAACGAAAATTCTTGAAAAAAAAAAGTTTCTGAGAATAACTCCTCAAGATTCTGGTAATAGCTAGGGACAATTTCATTGATGATTTTCCAGGAAAATAAAGTCATCTTTAAAGGCCCCTTGATCAAGTAACCTTCTTCGGAAGAAGATAACCTGGTCTTGTTGAATAAGCTCTGCGTATTCTAGACATGCTTTCCAAATCAATTGAACGTTAATTAAAAAATAATGATTAAGCACATAGAAAGAGAGATTTCATTTATATAATATCCATGTTATATCAATTCATTTAATTTTATATGTTATTTCTTGTTTATGTCATTTTAAATTATTTTAATATATTGAATTTTCTCTCACTCCTCATTTATGATGATAGGGATGGATGGAAGAAATAAGAAATTAAAGATGTACTATGTTTAAAAAGAATTACTAAAAATAAGGACACATAAAATTTATTTAATTAAATTGTATTCCTGCCATTAAAAAATGTAAGACATTTTTTGAAAAGTTAGATATTAAAAAATATAATGCATTTTTAATTTTTTGAAGTGTGATCATTATCTTTTTTTTAAAATGCCCTTATTGATAAATAAATTTATATTTATTATAGGGTATTTAATAGGGGATAAATATATTAGTTTGAAAGTAAGTAACTACTTTATTAGAGGTGAGATTTGATTAAAATGCTTTACATTTTTTAACAGAGGGAGTATGATTTTATTAGATTAAACATAGATAGAGTTAAGGTGTAACACCCTCAAATTTACAAACTAATTTTCGCAAAATTATTAATTCAAAAAATTATTTTTTTTATTGAACCCTTATCATACCCTCATCATGGTAAAAAAATTTTTACCATGATACATCCAAGACAATATACCACAGGTTTTAAAATATCTTAAAAAGCAATTAAAACCATGAGGGGCAGACAGGATCCTCATGGCATGATATTTAAATCAGGTCATGAACCAAGAGGGATAAACATAATCCTCTTGGTCATATAAATGCATTTAATAAAAAGGATTAGAGTTTACATGTTGTCAAAATAAGGTATGTCCTAGGTTGGCACAAGATACATTGCATAATACAAAATGAGAGGCAACGTAAAAGTTGGTGTCTCATACACCAAAGTTACGCCTCTGGTGCTTTCTCGTCGGACTCTTTCCTATAAAAATATTAACCACGGGAAATGAGACTTAAAAGTCCCAATAACCAAAAATTAATATGTAATGATGCATGCGGATGTAACTAATCATGTGATTGCTAAGTGGGTACACAAAACATTTAACTGAACAATATTTTTAAACAAACCGACCAAGTATTTAATTGCATGACTGCACCTTATATCCTCCTTTCATCATGCTCGGACGCTAAATCACCCGGCCAAAGGTGAGTTAGACCAAGCGACACGCCACTCATTGGGTCCAATGAGGGTTTACCACGTGATAATAATTAACCGAATAGAAAATTTCATTAACACCATATATTAAAATACCCTGACAAGTCATGTATCATTCAAATATCCAAACAGAAATATATCTGAACAATAATATCTCATCATGATAAACAAAAATAAATTTTAACCCACTTGGCAATAATTTCAAACAATTATATATAGTATTTATTTTCAATAATTTATAATTTTCTAAACAATAAAACAACACATAACTATTCGTAAACACACCATCACAACACGTTAATAATGGTTATCTTGTATCTTGAATAACAAGTTCCCCTCCACAACTCCTTTTTCACCGCTATCTTTGTCAATATAATCTACATAATTATTTCACAATACTATGTATTAATTTTACATTAAAATTAATAAATAACTCTAAATTAAAGAGTTAGAAAGTTTAGGCCTAAAATTCATATTAACACTAATTTAAGATTTATGCCTCATTTAACTTTCTAAATTCTTTTCTAAAATTCTCATATCCTGATAAACTATTTTTAAGCCTCAAATCACTCCTAGTATCACAATTTCATCCATCTATCTTCTAAAAATTTATTCAAAAATAAATTAAAAATTTTAGAATTATCCTGAGGTCTCAAATCACCTTTCTATAATTTCAAAAATACCTGTTCATACTTAAATAACTATTTAATAATTAGACGTTCATCCCTACATCTCAGATCAACATAAATTTAACAATATAGATCTAGATTTTAACTCAAAATTTTTAAATATGAGTTTCAACCTCCAAAAAAATATTCTATAATTTATTATATCCCTAAGAGCTTTAACTTATATTTTTAATCCATCATATCATTAGATTAACTATCCTATAGAAAAATCCTAATCAGAATATTTACTCTATCCTACAAAATAATCATATCACTAGAAATCTAATATTATTTAGAAAATAACTATAAAATTAATTTTATACTTAAATAAATTTTTAAATGCTAATCTAAACAGGAAAATTGGAGCATACCTGAAGAAAAAAAAATAATCCCTCCTTACGAGAAAACGCCGAGCAACGTGAGAGGAAGAGAGAAAAATAATATAAAAATGGGATTATGGGTTCCAAAATTATATTAAAAAAACTATAGGTTTGAATTTAATTATTCAAACCTTTGAGCCATTACTTGCAATTTTTACAAATTGCATCTTGGGCTATTAATTACAATTTTCACAAATTATAAAAGTTTTTTTTATTTTGCTCTGCACCTCCACGATGCGCATCGCTCCTTTATACACGAGGAGCGTTTCTCCCTTCCCACATCTAACTGATGTGAGATTTCTACAGTCTCTCTCTCTGTTTTTTACTTTCTTTTCTTTTTTTTTTTAACTCACACACACACACATTTTTAAATCTTAAAATTATATCTTAATAAAAATATTTTTTATATAATTTTAAACCTAAATTTTTAATTCATAATTAAATTTCTAACCATATTATTATTTTCAAATAACCTCAAATAATATAAATTCCTATTATTATATTTTTTTAATAAAACTTAAATTTTGCAAATTTTTTTATCTAAAATTAGGATATTTCTCAGGATTTATTTTGTGCCCAAAACACCTCTTTTCATCCAATTATCCACTCAAATATTAGATCACTATATAGAAACTCAAAACATACTCCCTAGGATTTAAAGACAAAAAGCTTACAGAATATAAAGCCTTTGGGATCAAAATTCAAAAATCTCCTCTCCAAAAATTGAAGAAAATCAAGAGAAAGAGAAGAGAATTGAAGTAGGGAGTTTACCTATCGTGTAGCCGAGCTCGCAACGGTCGCAAAGACTCCTAGATCCGAGCTTTACCTCCCTCTCTTCTCCTTTTTCTTCCTCTCTCTCTCTCTCTCTCTCTCTTCTGCGTTTTTTTCTTTCCTTTTTTTTTTTGCATTTTTGCATCTCTTTTCCTTATAAAAGCTGATCCAAAGTTCGGGAAAAATTACAAGAAATGACCCAACATTTTTTATTATTGCACAAAAGCCCGGGTCAACTTTGGAATTTTTTCCATAGTTAAAAAATCAAATAAAACTAAACTTTTGCTTAGAAAAATTCAAACTCTGGACCTCTATCAAATTATTCTAAATTTTAATTTAATTATAGATATTTTATTTATTTTATTTTTATAAAATCGAGTCTTAAAATTTCGGGATGTTAATTGATCTTGTCCATTATCTAACTTATTTTTTTTCCTTTTCATTTATGAGAGGTAGCCATTTATTTCAACACAATAAACTCAATTGGCATAATAAAATTACTTATAGTCATATAGAATTTATCACAATAACAATAATTATAAATATGCAACAATCTCCAAAAACAACAAAAAATATTTCAATTATAATACAAATTATTCAAACTAAAAAACCTTCAACATATATAAAATTCATTACACCAAGTTAATAACAAAATTCATCAATAAAAGAAGAAGAATGAGATTGGGGAATGTTAGAATTTTGCTCAATATTTATGACTTTACAAGTATAAACACAAAAATTACTAATTATTACTATAAATTGACTTACTGTAATAATAATTAATAAATTAATTATAATTATGTTAAATAAATTATAGGATCGGATCGATCAAGTGGTCCGAATGCTTGGTCCAATCCGAAGAAAGAGTTTAGTCTTTTGGTCTTAAAATACTAGTTTTTATTTGGATCGGATTGGATCGAGTTTGTCTTGAATTAGATCAAACCAGACTGGAACAAAGAACCTTTGCACAGCTTAGATGGGATGCTTTACTTTTGCTTGTTTCAATCAGATTCCCATATTTTTTATCATATAATTAATAATTTATATATTAATAAATCTTGTAGATAGCATTTGTTAGTCAGATTTTGAGCCTTATCATTGGTCATTTTATCTTAGTTAAAATTTAATTCTTCTCCATTGTTTAATTAATTTTTTACATGGCCTCACCTATTTTAATTTCAAATTTGAATTGTAATTCACAACTTGGATGAAAGTATTGGTTGACTCCATTTTCTCCTATTCATGGCCAAAAAAAAAAAAATTAACTCTCATTAGTTAATAGATTTCATATTAATGTTAATAAAAATTCTCTTAATTCATTAATAAAATTTAATTTATTTTTTTATTTTTTATGTATTTTCAGTATATTTTATGAAAGCTTTTAATTAGTTACTTTTCTTTTTCATGTATTTTTAGTTTAGTTTCACAGGAGTAAGTAATTTAAGAGCAGTCCTATTTTTTTTAAAAAGACTCTCATTGATTAATAGATCTTAGGCTAATTTTAATATAAAAAAGTTCTTTTTCATTAATGAGATTTAATTTAATTTCTTATTTTTCATATATTGCAATCTACTCTCATGAAGTATTGATTTAAAAACAATCTCATTTTTAAATTTTCATGATCGTTAGTACGAACTCCATCAAGCTATTCTTTTGGATTTGTTATATTTTTCATGTTTTTTCAATTTTTTTAATCAATAAAAATTTAATTTATTTTTTATTTTCCACGCATTTTTAGTTTATTTTTATAAAAACATTAATTTAAGAGCAGTCTCATTTTTAAATTTTATTAATTACTAATATTAACTACATTCAACTATCTTTTTGTATTTTCTGTATTTTTTCATGTCTTTTTAATATATTGATATCAATAATATCAATAATATTTGTTTTTAATTTTAATTTTAAATTGTACAACGCATGAGAAATTATTTAGTTTAATGAAAATGCGCATAAATCTTTTTAGTTATTTTTGTATTGTGGATTTTTTTGTCCTAAAGGTGGGGGAGGAAAAAGCCTCAAAGAATAATCCGTCCAATAGATTAGAAAATCTGAGCTGATAAACCCTAACCCCCTTGTCCTATCTCCTCTGGACAGCGTAGCTTCTCTGCAACAACCGTCTTCAGGTTACAAATTCGCAAGCTGCTGTCCTCTTTCCACCGTCTCTTCGTTTTCTTTATTTTCCTCATCAACTCTTGGTATTCTATACAAACTCAATGTCCTGAGCATTGTGAATCTGATGGGTCGTCACCCCTCCGAATCTCCTCCGCCTAGGGCGCGGAGAGAAGCCCAGTATCCTACTCGAGAAAAAAACAGAGAAAGGAAAGAGAACGAGAAAGAGGCAAAGACAGAGAAAGTTCACCTCCTCGCCGGCATAGACATTCCCATTCCAACAGGCATGATGTTTCTCCGGAGAGAGACCGGAGCATTTCTCCGCCTCCTCCGGAGAAGCGCCGCCATTCGAGTCGTGGGTCGGCGAAACTCGTCAGGGAGAGTTCTGAGTCTCCGGTAGCTCCTACTCGCTCTCCCTCTCCTTCCCCGCGAGCAAAGCGGTTGAAGAGAGCTCAAGCTGACCGTGGGAGCGAGAAGAATCACGAGGGTGGCAGAGGAACTGATTGGGATAGGGACAGAGACAGAGGAAGGGGTTCGGATAGAGATATGGGGACTGAGCGGAAGGAGAAGAGGTCTTCTGGAAGGGATGAAGTTGATGATACCCATAATGACATCGCCAGAAACAGGTCTTCAAAGTCTAGACATGAGAGGCCTACTAATTCTCCTGAGCATCATCGCAATGGCAGGAACAGGCACAGATCTCCGTCTCCTCAGCAGCTGATTGCTCGTGATGAGGTGTCCGGTGATATCCAACCCTATGAATAATTCATATAGTTCAATACTCTTTTCTATCGATTTAAATGCAGCTATTAATACCTTTGCTGCAACTTATAGTTTGCTCAAACCACTACGATATTTTTTTTTTGAAAGAACTAGTTATGAAGGGAACCAATATGTATACTCGGAGCGAACAGCATCATTCTTTCAATAAACATTAGTTAGATATATATAACATTTTGCTGAATGGAAAAGTTTCAAGCACAAGTCTTTATTTATTTTTACTAACGTGTGTAGACTTTATGTTGGAATGCATTGTAGAGGCAGCATTTAAATTGATATTTTTGTATATATTCGTATGCCACTCTTATAGTGTCTTGTGTGCGGAAGTATTTATCAAGTGTTAGCATCAGTATGACTTGGATGGCTAATCTAGGTGCTGTTAGATGATACTCTGTATTCAGTTAAACAGATGGAATGATGATATTTGGCTGGGTCAAAGAACTAAGCATGATCGAATATTTTAGCACAACGAGGCCAACCTCAGAGGGATAAGACTTTTGTTGATTTAAGAGAAAGGAAGGCATCTTTTGAATTTGATGTATAAGTGGGCAGCAGCTTGCTTGGAAAGGACTATGGTGTTGGATGTGGTTAGGAGATTTTCAGCATGGAATAAAGCTTGGGTTAGGATTGTCGATTGTCAAAGAGATTTGCCCCATAGAGGAAAATTAGAAGAAAAATGAGGAACATGTGCATTTGCTTGAAATTAAATGTTTAGATCATGATTCATGAGTTTGAAAGCATGCTTCTACTAAAATAAGTTAAACTCATGATTTTATTTGGTCTGTTTGGACTTCAGATCTATCCTGCAAAATCTTGATTTATGATTCTGGTGCGTTTGAGTCAAATTAAATGTGACTTCGGAAATGCAATGCATAAGTTGAGAATTGCATTGACATGATTGGTTAAATTTAAATATTGCAACTAAGGTGATGTTCACTAATTAAGGTGATGATTAGAGGTCAGATCTTCTTGTAATGGGCCTTGATAGACTCTCAGTTGACTGGTATACGGGGCTGTGACATTAATTTTCCCTTCCTTTTTTTTATTTTATATATCAGTGATAATAAGAAAGAGAGTTGAAGCCACTTATTAAGATAGTTTTTTAAGCTTGCCCCTTGCCCCTTGGAAATGCTATTGGGTAAACACTTGCAGAGAAGTACATTGCTGGCCAGAGTGTTGTCTTGCAACACTTACTGCTGGCCCCCGGTTTTGACAGTTACTCCTGATCAAAGATTAGTATTTCATGTTAAGCTTGTGGCAAAGCCAATAGAGCTCAAGCCCATACATAATACTTAAGCTGGCAAGAAATGTGGAGGATGAGACAAAGTACTAAAATCAGACATCATTGTAGTCATGCAGTAGTGATGGTTATTGGATATCTTTTTAACAAAGGCTTGGTTGTTGATAGATCACAGTGGTGTTCATGTAATTCATATAGCCGATTTCACCTAGTGGGATAAGGTTGTTGTTGTTGTTGTTGTTTCTATTAAAAGCAGGATGTTGCATGTTGGGTGCATGAAATTATATAAATAATAAAATAAATCTGCACATTAGTGATATTTTTCAAATGAATGCAATTTATCTTTTCTCGTTAGGTTTTTGTATAATATATGTTTTGCCTTGTAGGCTAGAGGGAGAAAGGAATTACTAATTATTGCTCTTCATTTTTAGCTTCCCAGATATTACAGCTTTGTTTCATGTCTTCTAGTTGCATGATGAAATTGATTAATTAAAAAATATGTCCAACAACCATGTTATTCATCTATTTCTGACCTTGTATTCATGATGAACGGTGGTGCTATCCCCCCTTAACCCAAATTATTGATTTATTTATCCTTCCAAACTTTCTGAATGATATTTTTCCTTTGGTTTCTTTCTCTTCCTGCTGTTTACTTTCTTTGGCTGCATGGAAGTTTTCCTTGTAACTTGTACTTATTCGAACCAATTTTTCTTTGGCAGATGACAAATTCAAGAGGAGTTGAACATAGGTGAGTTGCTGCTATAATTATAGTTTGCATGTGCCAGGGTTAGTGTTGGTTGACTATTTTGTTCGGTCAGTTCTAATGTCTTTAGATATGATACCTTTTGATTGAATTAATATATTTTCACCTGATATTTTGACTTAGTTGCTCCGATGATCTGGATGCCTCGTGTAGAATTGATTTGTTTTTTAATCAAGCCACAAACTAATTTTTCAAACTGCATTTCAGAAGATGATAAATTCTGCCCAAGATGTTAAAAAGTGTATTACACGGTTAAACAAGGATGGTCCTACACTCTAGATTAATGATTTGGATTGTCATAGAGTAGCTGATAGTGATAACCTTAATGATTATTGAGAACAAATCCTAAAGTAAAATGGTGTTTGGGTGTTGTGAGACTGCATCAAACTTGTAAGGTTGCCTGTACTAAACCAATACTTATCCTCAACCTCCACAATAATCACGGGACTAACCCAAACTGATCACCCAACCATGGTTGACCAACTTGAAACATTACAAAACTCAAAATGTAAATTCCTCAATATTTGGGATCCCAAGTATATCACTTCAAAAACAATTCAAATACAACTTTAATAAGTCTAAATCATAATAAAATCAAATATGGAAGCGTGAGATACCTTGTAGAAGTCAAATTCTTTGAAAGTCGGTTGAAAACAAATAGGATAAAAGAAATAGAGGGTGCGCTGCGGCTCGACTTATCACGAGCTAGGCTTGAACCAGTGCTTTCTAGATGTATGGCTAACTATAGTAAACCTGAGTTAAAATTAACAATAGAGATATCCCCTTGCAGTTGTATACTCATTGAAATGTTAGCTATGAGGAATATTTGAAGTGATATGTTAAAGACATGCATGGCATTCTTTTACAAGAACAAGAAAGAATTTATGAAAGGGAAGAGAAAGAGATGCAAAATCAAGGATAGTGATGGGATGTTGTTAAACATATACTCTAAAATACTTAGGCTATATTTGGTATGGAATAATAAGGGAGTGGGACTGACTAATCCCAAGTTTGTGTTTGGTACGTGAGAATGAAGATTTTAATCTCAATCCCAATCCCACCCTCAGTATCACCACCTCCTAGTATTGCAAAATCAATCCTGGGATTGATTTTTGTAAAGACCAAAATGCCCTTATCCCTACCTCCCGTGCACTTCATCTTCTTCTTTCATTAGTTGAGAGTGTCCAGACCCAACATCATGTTCTTTCACTGGTTCGACAACTCATCCATTTCCTTTGTCTTCGAACCCAGTTCAGCGGCATCGTTGGTGACAATTCGAAACTCCAAATTTCATCATCGTCTTCCTCAGTTAGTCCAGGTTTGGGAACAAGTTGTTGGATAAGGTCCACCATTGCGTTTGCTCCCAGATCTGCCGCTGTCGTCTTCAGTTCGAGAGATTCCAGATTTGGTTCCAAGTGATCGGAAGATCTCTGCTGCTGCATTTGATCCCAGATCTGCTGTCGTTGTCTTCAGTTTGAGAGATTCCAGGGCTGGTTCCAAGTCATTGAACAATCTCTGTTGCTGCGTTTGCTCCCAGATCACGAGTCCATGACAGAACTTGCTGTGTTTGTTCCAAGTAATCGGTGGCAGGGGGAGGGAGGTGGGGTTTGATCATGAGCCATGACAGAGAAGATGGATTTTAGCCTTTTAGGGCAAATTTTTTTATTAATTATAAGGGGTACTATAGTCTTTTCATAACTTATGTTTAATTGTAAAATAAAAGGAAGTGAAGTTTTCTTGCAATTACTACTCCATACCAAACATAATTTTAAAGCTCCAATTCCACTCCCAATTCCAATCCCAATCCCTCTAAATTCAAGCCTACGTACCAAACAGGGCCTTAGGCATTCAAGTTTAGGGTACTTTATGCCTTTTTTTTTTTTGAAGCAAGGTGAAAACTTTGTCTTATTTTTTATCTGTTCAGATTGTTTTTAATCTTTTAGGATTTATAGTTTTAACCAGAACAACACCCTGCAAAGTGCAAATGCAAGAAGATTTTAATTTTTCTGGGTGGTCAGAAGTACTTAGAACTAAGAAGAAACGGATTGGAATGAAAACAATGAGAGAATAAAACTGAAAAAAGTTTATACTAGCTCAGTTTAGTTCAGTACCGTTGATTAAATAAAAGTTCGTTGTTTTTTTCTACATCTACTTCCTTCTCTTGCTTTCTTTGGTCCATCACACTTTTTTCACGATAAGAGATTAAGAAATAGTCTCAATCAGCCATGAACATGCTGTAGACATCCTTTATCTGTTTGATAAAGACATTTGAAGCTTGAACATTGTTAGAATAGCATGCAACTCATAACATTTGATGCACTGGATTTTATATAGTTTCCTATTCAAATTTAAAGAAGGAATCATGTTATTATACTGTGCTTTAAGGGCAAGAATGGTGGTTTTAACTGCAGTTATGAAATTATCTGAGCATGCTCCATGGAATCTATTTTAATTCGTCAAATGATTAGTAGTAAGACTGATGACATTTTTCATGTTACTTGGCTTGAAGGTTTTCTCTTTATTTTATTTTCTTGAAGGTTTTCATTTTTGCAGGAATGATGATAATGATTCAGTAGCAAAGATGAAGGCTGCTGAGGAGGCTTTGGAAGAAAAACAGAAGGTACTGTATAGCCTGTTTCTGCCAGTTATTGCAAGCAATATGATTTAGCTTGTTGCATGTCCTTTGTAAATTACATTCACCTTTGGAAAAGAATGATAAGAGGGAAAGGGTGTAAAAGTTGAAGAGTAAATTTCATTCACGGATTACCCAAAAAAAAAAAAAAAACACTCATCGGCCTTGAAGTTTTTAGAGCCTACACTGTTTCAATTTATACTAGGTACTGTGTCCCTGAGGTTTGTAAAACCTGCACATGCACACTCTGAAAATATTACACTTACCATCCTTATGTTATATTTTTATAATCATTAACTGCTTTTTGTTGATTTGTGCTTAATAAATTAAGCTATTGGGAGTTTCTTAGAGGAAGAAATCTTATAATGTTGGGAGGAGGTAGGCTCTGTTAACAATTTAAATTCTATATATGGAGGGGATGCCTCAGTAAAAATTGAAGCTAGAGGGTCTTTGACTGCATGCATTAAAAACCTTGGAGAAGAGGAATGTGAATCGTTCCATTAAAAGTAAAAATGAAATAATATCTGTTTTCTATACCTGCATTAATGCAGTAAATGTTTAGGCATGTGATGTGAGCTCAGATTATATGTAATATGTATTTACTTGAGTTGCATGGAGAAATTTTATGATATAACAATATGGTTAGGCAAATTAAAGTCTCAGAATAATGTTGTATTAATGAGGATTTGGGGGTTTCAAATGTTTTATGTCTGCTGGTTTTTCTTAATCTTCCTTGCCATTTGCAGCAAAAACCTTCATTCGAGTTATCTGGAAAGCTTGCTGCAGAAACCAATAGAGTTAGAGGTCAGATATCAACTTGTTTATAGATTAAAATACTTCAAGCACGCCTGAATTTTTTTTAATCTCCTCTCTATTTTAGAAACCTACACAAAAATTTCTTTAACGGGGAAATTGTGAAAAATCTGGAAAGTAAGGGAGGTTTGTGTAGGTTTTTGCGAGAAGTTTGTGTATGTTTTCAAAATAGAGGCTTTTTTTAAGGGATCAGGACAATGCTGGATAGGTTGAAGTATTTTACTTTTATCTGCATAAGCTTTCGGTTTTGTTTTGAGATTTGCCTCTCTTCAATTTAATTGTAAACTAACAGTATATTGTTATCAGGTGTTACATTGTTATTCAATGAACCTTCAGAGGCTAGAAAACCTGATATAAAATGGAGGCTTTATGTTTTCAAGGGTGGGGAAGTGCTAAATGGTTAGTCTATACGACTTCTGACTTCTCAGTTTTTCTCAATCTCATACAAGTTAACTGCTTGATCATCAGAATTGTGAGTGCTTTGCACATTTAATTTTTCCTTTATTTCAATAGATGAGTGACTACTCTTGGCTAGAGTACTCTCTCTGTTCACTGCAGCCCTTAAAGTTTCTGATTGTTTTATAGTTATTAGTTGTATGTTTATTCCTTCGCTGATATCTTGCCTGCACTTTTGTTGCCTCCGTTCTTCTTATAACTTATCTATTGTAATTCAATATGCTCTTTCCCAATTCCTCTTGTATTAAAATTGTTATTGAAATCCCCATTTTGTATTCTCAATGTAAATACATAGTATGAACCCCCCAAAAAATAAATAAATAAATAAATAAAATGTCTTTTTGTGCTTACAAAATGCATGATTTACAGAGCCCCTTTACATACATCGGCAAAGTTGTTATCTTTTTGGAAGGGAAAGAAGGGTTGCAGATATCCCAACAGATCATCCGTCCTGCAGCAAGCAACATGCTGTTATCCAATTTCGGTATTCCATTAATTTAAGCAATTTATGACGTTCTTTTAGTTTGAAGAAATTTTTTAATTATCCCTTGAATTTCATTGTGATGCAACTATTTAGAGTACATATGTAGAAGATAACTAGCCACAACCCCATGCATTGCACGGGTTGGCCAATTCAAAAGACGTAAATTTAAGTAATAATAGTATAGTTCAGGCAATTATAACCATAATATGTGGCAGGTGGTCAAGGAGGAGATGAAGTATTGCTCAACAAAAGCTATTGTATTTGGTAAAAATGTTTAAAAAGGACATCATTCTTTACTATATAGTCAGCTCAAAAACAAAAAAAATATGCATTTGTAGCTTGGAGGTTTTGAAAGATCTCATGGAAGACCACATTGGTAGTGGTTGTTTTGGGCTGTTTATTGGTGTCATGAATAAGCATTCTCAATCCATCCGTGCTTTTGACTCTAGAAAATGCAACATATGACTGGCTTTGACTTTTGTTTACTGTCATTGCAAGAGAAGAGTGATTGGGAACTTTTAAAATAGGAGAACTTTATCCTAATCAAAGGAGGTCACTTAGGCTACTCCTAAAACAAATAGAAGCTTAAAAAAAAGAAAAATTAAACAAAGGAGCCTTAATTACAAAATTAAATAAAAGAAAAGAAATTGAATTAAAACAGTGGCATAATAGCGTAATTTTCATTGCTCCCCTCACGTTAAGTACTCCTAACTCGAGTTAATCTTATGTTAGTGCAATGATTTTTCCTCTTTTATTTTTCTTGACCAAAAGAATTGTCTCCGACATAGTTGTTTCCTTCACTGAATTTTCTGAAGTTTCTTTGCTGCTTGTGTTTTCAGGCAAGTTGAAAAGGAGCAACCTGATGGAATGATGTCAAAGCAAGTAAGGTAACAGTTTTGTCTATTCCCCTATGTAGGGGCTGTGATTTCAATTTTAGAAAAACCTGACATTCTCTGTCTCTCTCCACTAGACCTTACTTAATGGACCTGGGAAGCACCAATAAAACTTTTATTAACGTAAGTAGTAACTGAAGCGCCATTTATCAGTTCTTTGCATGTTCATATGTCGTGGTGAAGATGAAAAGCTGAAGTGAGATACTATATGATCCTATCTGAAGATTGCCGCTCTATTTGCAGGATAACCCCATTGAACCTCAACGTTATTATGAGCTACGTGAGAAGGACACGATTAGATTTGGTAACAGCAGGTAAGAAACAGATTTTTCCGATTCCTGACTACGTTTGTCTTGTTTGATTAAAAGATATTAGGCAGTATATATTATTTTTTCCTCATAATACAGACGCTCATTTTTTGATATGGGTTAACTGCAAGCTACTCTCTAGTTGAGCGGTCAAATTATTGTCCATTAATAATGTAAAGAAATCTTTCGAAACTGTTGAAGTCCCAGGGTATCTGACGTGTAATTGTAAATAGATAAAAGATAATCTGTTAGTTGCTGTTACGAATAGATGACTTGGGAACCTATATAGGGATCCTAATTATAATCAAAGGCTATGCTTAGTGAAATTCAGAGTATTACTCAGAACTTCTTGTGTCTTTTTTTTCCCTGATACACTCCTTGTCTCTTTGTTTTCCTCTCTAACTAACTGATTATTCTTTATTTATTTACAATTACATGTCGGTGTCCTCTATAGAACTTTGAAGCTAAATAACTTCAAAAGCTGCAAAACAAGTAGCTTGTGTTCAGTGATAAATCTGAAAATTGGTTTTTGGGATACTGGGATTTCGGGCATTTTATTCTTAGGGATTGGATTTCACCGATCAGTTTTTGATGGCTAGATGAGGTAGTCTGATTTGTTGCATGTTCAAGTAAACAAGTTTTCTATTAACTACCACTCACTCAGGATGCATTTGTACTGATTATGCTGTGTCAGAAACCTGTAAAATAACCTAATTTCTCTGAAGGCCAGACTTTGTTAGAGTTTTCAGCTTTATCATTATCAAGTTTTCTGATAAAATATATATAAGGAATTTTTAAAATCATCCAATCATGTAGTATTGATTTGCCAAAAAAAAAAAAAAAAACTTCTTGGTCACTTCTCTCTCTCTCTCTCTCTCTCTCCCCCTCAAGAATTTGTTACTTAGCTCTAGTTCGTTTACATGAATAGAATCACTTGTTTATTACAACTTATAATTTTTCAATTTCAAATGATTTTGCAGCCGAGAGTATGTATTGCTACATGAAAATTCGATTGGATGATGGGCTGTGTCTTGTTGGAATCTTGGCCTTTCTGCTCATTGGAATTGATAAAAGCAACACTCCATCAACAGTTTATTTGATGATGTTCATCTTTTTTGTATTTATTTATTTTCTTGAGGTAACCCATATTACTTGAATTTTGGTTGTTTTTTATGTAGAATACTACAAAATATCGAAAGAAAATATAATAACTGTAACATTTAGTGTATGCTAAAGCTTATTAATGTTAATGATATGCGATTACCCTTTTTTTAAAATATAGGACAATGCCATTATTAATTTCACTTGTTTAACATATAGTAATTTTTGCTTTTCTTAAAAATAAATTCCTCGCACGCAAGGCAAGAAGTTAAATCTAAGTTTTGTCCGTGTGCGACATTGTTAGAAAAGAATGATCGACTTTTACCGACTTTGGCTATGGTTTTTTGTATTTTTGGCACACTTTTTCCTCATTTTCAACTGTCCTCATTTTTTAAATAGAATCTAAATGTTTTTCTACATTTTCTTTACAACTATTTCATCTTTAAAAAGTTTTTCTTGTTCAACTCAAATGTGTATCTGTGCAATAGCAATGATGATGATAAAAAGCAAGATCCACATTTATGGAGATGCATTGCTTATAAATAATTAATATTGCGATTATTATTATACTCTTCAGTTTTTTATTTTATTATTTTAATATTTCTCTACAGATCTCATTAGGTTCTGGGTAATTATATTTTTACCGTGTTAATATTTCATAATATATTTTAGTAGGATTTAAATGTTACAAAATTGAGTTATATTCTCTTGGCAAAGATCGCATGACAAGGATATTTGATTATATTATATAGGGTTAATATGTAATTTAAATCTTGAACCATAAGTTTAAGTGTGATTTAAACCTTAAACTCTTATTTAATATATTTAAAATTTTAAACAACTAAATTTGATGCAATCTCGTTCCTATCATTTAATTAAAACAAATGTTCATTACTTTTTAAAAAATGGAGCTTGAAATGTAATTTTTTTCAAATAAAGATATGAGAGAGATAGAGAGTGAAATTTAGTGAAAATCACACAATAGGCCTCTTTTTTAATGGTGGAGGCAAAATTGTCTCAATTTTAATTATTTAAAGTTCAAAATGTACTAAAGTTTATCATTCAAATCACCATTCAAACCTATAGTTTAGAATTTAAATTGCATATCATATCTTGTAGAATATGAAATTTATAGGGTGTTTTATAAATTATGAGCAACATAATTCTTCTTCACCTCTATTATTCTTCATGGCTTTTTATTGAATATTTAGATATGAGTAAAAGGTTGTTCCGATTTAATTAGTGATTTCAAATTCAATCGTTAGGAGTACAACGGTATTAAAATTCGGTGGTGAAGTGGGCAATCTAAAAGAGTCTCGTAATGTTTAATCTAAAATAATGTGGGCTCTCGTTAATTTCTTTCCACTTGACATGGTGCAAACACCGGATGCCTCAGAAAAAAATACGTAATTATAATACAATTATATAAGTATAATGATAAAGTGAAAATGTTTGATTTTCCAATTTGAGCACATGTTGTTCATCTCTTATGGTGCAGCCAAAAGAGATGGTGGTCTGACAGCGATCGCACTAACTTGGATGAGACACGTTGCCAAGTTGCATAGCATCCGTCTTTAACTATATAATCAATATCAGTAATTGGGAAAATGACATACAATTGATATTTGAAATGACATAACAACAATACAACCTCTTGAATTCCGAATATATTTATAATGCTACCTTCGCATCTGCTTGTTAAAAAACTAGGAAAAATATCATTTAAGAATCAAAAAGATTTTTTGGCAAAAAAAAAAACCAAAAAGATTTAATATAAAATGAAGTTCAAAATATTATATAATATCATTATAAGATCATATGATTAAAATATAATCGAAATTTATAATGAAAAGACAAAACTATTCTTCTTCTTCTTCTTCATTATTATTATTATTATTATTATTATTATTATTATTATTATTATTATTTGGCAAAAACTCCACTGTGATTGGAACACCACTGATGGTCGAGCCCTTAGCAATTGTGGGAGCTCGTACTATTGGCAATAGTGGCAACGAAGCAAATAAATTTTCCAAGGTGGTCAAGGGAAGTTTAACTATATAAATTTTAGTACTTTATTAATAAGTATTTATTTAGAGTTTGATAGCAACTTATTTAAAATTAATTATAATCTATTCAAGTTTTAACAAGATGAAAAAACTAATAGGATAGGATGAGCTTAATTAGATAAATATTAGTCCTCCATCAATAAATATTCATTCAAATTTTAACAACAACTCATATATGATTAATAAAAATACAATCAGACTTTAATAAATTAGAATAACTTATATGTTAGATTTAATTGTACAAGTGTTAATACTTCATCATTAAATATCCATTCAAATTTTAACAATTCATTTAAAATTAATAATACACCGTTATATTATAATATAAAATAATTTAAAAACTTAGGTTAATATATATATTTTTTGTCGTGTGTAAGTAAATAGACTCGGTGGCTTGGTAACCACCAATCTTTTCAAATAGTCAAGGGGTGTCATGGGATCAAACCTCCCATTGATCATCTTAAAAAATTAAAAAAATAATTTGCTTAATTGTCACTGGCAGTTGAGGGTGGCTAGAAACTTAGGCTTTGCTGGCGGTGTTTCGATGGCCAGTGACTATGGGATTTAAAAAAAAAAAAAAGTGAGGAGTAGTTTTTTCAATGATATTTCAATTTTTTTATCCTTTTTTATATTAAATCTCTTTGTGATTCTTGAATGATATTTTTTTTTCAAAAAAAACTAATTAGTTAAGATTTAATTTATCTATTTTGGATTTCTGAATTTAAATGAGTGTGTTTAGGTTAATGAGAATTTAAATTAGACCAAATCTCACTTTTGGGTACTCAAAAATTTAAGTTTCAAATTTAAATTTATCTATTTCTTATTATTGATTTAAATTTCTCATATTTTTATTATTGATATATCTATGTCTTTTTATCTCTCGTTCTTATTTTTCATTAATTAAAAAAAATAGAAGTTAACACATCACTTTTAATTTTTCAATTTTGTTTTAAATATCAACTTATTTCTCTTTTTCATTTAAAATTTTTTAAACTATTCAAATAAAGAATTTCAAACAAATGAATTTTAAATGTCAAATTTAAAATGTGATATTTTAAATATAAAATTCATATCCAAATCTGTATAAATAACAATTACACATAGGGAGCATTTCATTAGTCTAAGCAGGAGGTAACAATACCTCCAAAATTTTCAAGATACCAAGTAATAAAATAAAAAATAAAGAGAAAGTGATAATTATTCACACAAAAGAAATATGAGAGAAAATATTGTGAGCTTGTCACATTAATTTTTTTTTAAAATAAAGTATAGAAACCTTGGCTGAAACTGAATTCCATACTTTTATAGTAAAAAAACTTTAAAACTTAATTTATATCAAATTAATTTTTAAATTTATAGCATATGAGAAAATATTTTTAAAAATGTAGTATATGGAAAAATATTTTTATTTTTTGGAAGTATTACAGTCAAATTGCCTATAACTAGGAAAATGACATAGAATTGATATTTGAAATGGCATGACGACGACGACGACAACAACAATAATAATGCAACCCCTTGAATTCCAAATTTATCTATTGTACTACTTTCGCATCCACTTGTGAAAAAAAATAAGAAAAATATTATTTAAGGACCATTAAAAAAATTTAATATTAAATAAGAATTAAAAAATTTTAAAATATCATTTGCAAGATTAAAGGACTAAAATGAAATTAAAATTTATGGTTAAAAGATAAAATTACCCTTTACATTATTTTCTTTTACAAAAATCCCATTATCACTATGACATTATCAGTGGCAGTTGGAACTCTTATTGTCAATAATGGTGACAATGAAGCAAATTAATTTTTTAAGGTGGTTAAGAAAGGTTTGATTCCATAGCCTTTTAGATGGCCACTAAGCCACTAAAATCATTTAATCAAATGTAGCAAATGTGTGTGTGGAGTAATTCAATCTTCTAAATCACTTCAATGTTATAATAATATTATTAATTTTGAATGAGTTGTTAAAAATTATAATGAATACTTATTTATGAAATACTAACACTTGTATAATTAAGCATATCCTATAAGTTTTTTTAATTTGTTAAAATCTAAATGTATTGTTATTAATTATGAATAAATTGTTGTTAAAACCTGAATGAATACTTATTGATGAAGGATTAACATTTATACAATTAAACACATTCTATCAGTTTTTCTCTCTTGCCAAAGCCTGAATGAATTGTTGTTAATTTCAAAAGAGTTATTGTCAAACTCTAAATGGATTTTTGCTAATGAAAAACTAATACTTGTACAATTAAGTTTATTATTTTTTTAACTTATTAAAGCTCGAGTGTATTGTTATTAATTTTGAATGAATTGTTATTTAAACTCGAATGGCTTATTATTTATATAAGGTGAATACCTGTTCCATTTAACCTATGTTGTTGGTCATTAATAACAAATATCCATTCGAGTTTTGACAAAAGCTCATTCAAAATTAAAAACAGTTCATTTGAATTTTATCAAGTTAAAAAAAATGATGAGTTTAATTATATAAGTGTTAGTGTCAGTTTGGATATGCTACAAGAAACAATTATCTGCAAGGAAATCACGCTTTAGAAACAAATATCCAAACACTCTCATTTTTGCCCAATCGATTTATCTTGCCCTTAATTGTGTTTTGCGGCAAGCAAACAAGAACTGTTCATCAATTCCAATTATCATACCATTAGTTGCATTGATTAAGTGTCAAACGTCCCTCTCTCCTGTGCGTCTCGTGAACAAGGTGTTTCTCTATCCCCTCCTCTTCACTCTCCTACCTCTTCCTCCCATATCCATGCTAGATTGATTTCAATTATATTATAATATTAATAACTTATATTAAATTACTAGTATTGCATTATAATATAATGCAATTTAAATTTTAATATGTAATCACTATATATATGTGTGTTAAGTAATTATATAAGTTTTAAATATATGACTATTATATATATTTTATATGTTAAATAAATCAAAGAAAAATTAATAATATCATATGAATCTTTATTAATATTACATCTAAAATTGACTCTCACTGAATCATCCAAACATCTTCAATTTTGTCAAAATTA